CCTCGTTGGCCAACAAATGTCAGAGGATTCACAACAAGTGCTGCACTCAAACCACAATTGTATCGTTGTCGAGTAAGATCAATACTGACCGACTTCGAACCGATTAATCCTCTGACAATGAGAACCGAACTGAAATTTATTTATATACTTGTATATACTGTCGAGTCTCCTTGTCTATTGGACTCTCTGTTTAACTTACGGACATTAATTTGCTAATTTATGGTCCGCAGCACGGCAAAACTCCTGGCCGTTGCGCCACAATAAACACCACATTTAGTTTTATTGATTTAAGCAAAAATTACCCAAAAACGAACGGCTGAAATGGCAGGCTGATAAATTTTATAGTCGAGGGCAAACAGTCCTGAAGAGCGGCCCATAAAGTCGAATGTTAATGTTAATGTCTTTCTACGTGTTTGTTCCATAATTAATGGACAGCCCGGTCATTATGCAATACCAGTAATGATCTGTCCACAAGACTGAAGAGGAATAGTTTGCTCTTGCATAAATAATGAAGAATTAGGAATGTCAATATTTAGCCAAGGTTTATCACATAATTTGTGAGAGTCATGAATAACTTTAGCATTTTCCAAGACTCACAGTCCTTTGACCAAATTACTTGAGATACTGAAATTCTGCATTCTGGAAGTTACAATTCAAAGTGAACTTATGCATTAAAATGAAATGTCCAAGATAACTTGTTTAAGCATTTTGAATGCAATTATATCTCTTTGTGTACCCACAGAAAAGTACTTTTAAAAACGGAATTCTTTCAGCAATTGCCCGTAACTTTTGAGATTTGATCATTTAATTGCAGGACACTGCAATATTCCAAAAAATATGGTTTAGATAAATAAAGAAGGATGAAGGGGTTTCAAAGAGTGGCCCCCTTAAGGTTCTTGGAAATGTAATTTGTTATTTTTTCATAAGTTTGAACACTGCCATTTGCAAGCTCACAGATGGACCAAAACAAATTGAGCGTAAACAAATCAATGGGATGGAAGGGCTAAGAGTTCCATGGAGAGGTCACAAAGGAAACCGGAATTGCAGATGGGGGAGATCCGAGTGGCGAGATAAACAAATCGCAAGAAGGGGAGACTAATTGCAGCCTGTTGCTGCAGTTGCTGCTGCTGCTGCTGTTGCCGTTGCTGCTGCAGCTGCTGCCTCTGTGGGTTTTATCTTTTAATTTGCCACAAAACGCACAAAGTGCACTCAACACTCGGTGGCGTGGGTGTGCATCTCTGTGTTTGCTAGCCAGCCAGCCGATGAGCTCGCTGGCCAGGCCTGGGAATCCTCTCACTTTTTTCACATGCACTCCCCATTGTGTCTCGGGGATGTGCTCGTAGCAACGATGATGAAGATCCCAGCTGGCTCGCCGACTGCGTGCCTGCCGCTTGCTGGATATGACACAGATTACGTAACGCGAAATTAACATTTTAACACAATTCAACAGAAAGAGAAGACGATGACGCGGCTACAACGTCTGCCGCAGCCTCACATCGAGAAATAAAACAAGAGAGCTGGGTTTTAACCGAAGACCGTAGCCTGAAATACCCTCTCAGCTTTAGGAAATATAAATTCTAAATGCTGACAAACAATGAGTAGATCCTCAAGTTCGAAATCTCCATTAATCCAATTATCCTTTAAAGTTACAACTTAATAAAAATTTATTTAGGAAGCTTATTTTACCTATCATGGCAGACCCCTAGAAAAACCTCGAATACCCCTTCTTCGAGTCACAAAAATGCAAAAGAGAAAAAGTGGAAATGGGAACCCGTTGCGGATTGGACTGCTGCCCGCCTCCTGGTTCGGACCTGCCCATTTGGCCGGCGATGGCTCATCAGTCTTGGCTCTACCTGTATGACGTGTCCAACAGGGGCTCAGCTTTCGGGAGGACGACGGCGGCGATTGTAATGATGACGACGGCCAATGCATGGGCACTTTCGGGCCAAGAGTTACGCCTCTTGCAGTCAATTATGCAATTAACGTTGTGCCAGCAAACAAGAAGCAATCGCGCCAAATGAGCCGCGTTTCCTACACATTGCACATTACTCGTCGCCGCATTGACAAAACAGCCTCAAACGGAGATGGCAGATGCAAATTCAGAGGCGCTGGCCAGCTGCCACCAGATCGATAGTTAGATGGGCAAAACCAAAAAAAAAAAAAAAAAAAACCAACCAACAAAAGAAAAAAAGAAGAAATAGCTGACAAAGTAGTGATACTCGTACTCAATCCAAAGTTGCAATCGCCCGGGGCTCGCTGAAAACTGTGAAGTGTCATCGCCCCAAGTCAGCAACAATATTATTCCCCCTCCGATCTCTGATTTCGACTTATTGTTTTGGCCGCGGTGTGTTTCCCAGCAATTAGATGATGGTCTGTGATTTGCAACTCGTGCAAACGAATTTAGGAAACACTTGACAAATATTGACAAAGTGCAACGGCGAAGGGAATGCAAAATTGCGAGCGTGCGGCGTTTTTTCTTGCAATTTAAAGATAGAGAAGTAAGAGATATTGTATTTTATTAAGTAATTTATCAGGTAAAACGTTTAATTTAAGTCTTTTAATAAATTGCTCTTCCCACGTAACACAACCAATTCATCCTTTTGCCCACTCAAACAATTAAGCTAAAGATTACTCAACAAGTCAATGATTTTCAATCGACTTTTGACAACGGGCGACAATTACGATTTGGAGGAAGCTGCGACAGAGTCGAGGTCCCATGGGGAGATCGGGTAATTTGCTAATCATTTCAACTGCCAATTGGCTGAAATATTTCAAAGACGCCAGACACAAGGAAGAAATTGTCAACGATGAATTGAGGGGGGAATCGAGCGAAGGGAGCAGCCATGAGAAAATGAGAAATCCAAGTCAGCAAAATTGTTGCCGGGTTAAGTAACCAAATAACTATTGGTAGCCACTTTTTGGGCAACTGCATCGAAGGATGGTCATTGGGAGCTTGGACATCGGCGGGGAGAGCCAGTGCATCAAAAAGTGAATGGCAGATGAAGCTGCATCGCCTTGGGCTCGAATTGGGTAACATTGCACAGCGGTGGGCGAAACTGTCAGCAATTGTTTTTGTTTCCATTTTTTGGGTTGGCTTGGGCTCTTTCAGTTCGGCAGACGAAGGAGTCCCTGTCGGATGAAGTCTGTCTGATCTCATCGGGATTGGACAGTCATTGGATGTCGGCATTCCCCCGCAAATATGGCAATTATAATTACTGGCCAACCCGCAAATATGGGTCGCAAGCACAAATCGGGTTGGGTTAATATGATTATGTTATATTATGTTTCTTAATCAACTCACTTTAATTTATAGGATTTAATATATTATTTGTTCAACTAGGAAATGGGGAACCTTTAATCAAGAAGTATAGTTTTTTTCGGCCAGGAAAGTTTGTAGACAGCTCACATATTCACACTCTTGGCCAACTGGCTTTGGCTCCCATCTTCTTCTTCTGTTCAGCTGCACAATTGGCCGTCGAGTTGGGGGCTCGTTTGACAACTAACGTGGTTACGTGGTACCCAGTATCCAGTACCCAGTACCCAGTCCACCCCCACCCTCAAAGCTATTGATTTCCTGGAAGACCGCAAAATGCTGGATGGCATCTTCAGACGGCGTCTTGTACGCAGACGCAATGGCAATTGCATCGCGCCAAAGGCCTCCAGCTGGCAAGTGGATGGGTTCGGGGACCCCTGTACCAAGTACGGACCACATGCACCGCATAAATCTCTTCTCATTTACTTTTGCCGAAACTCGGCTCGTGCAAGTTTATAGTAAATAGTGGCTGTGCCTTGTGCCGTGTGATTATGTGAGCATTACATGCCATTTGGCACGCTGCCACAGCCCAAAAAAAGAAAACAATTGTTACCAAAACAAAAATTTGAAATACTCTCAAAACAATTTTAACCAATACGCAAATACAGTAGACATTGTTTTTCCGCGATCGTTAAAATGTTTCAAAAGTATTTTATGTTAAGATTTTCTGCACAGAAAATCACCAAGATAATTGGAAGTTATCCAAGAGCCATAAAAGACACAAGTACCCTCCGCAAGGGTATAAAACAAACTGTGAGGAGCAGGAAGCCAGCCTTGCCTTGCTCCCCATTGACCCCAGATTTTTCTACGCTCGAGCGGAGAAAAACGAGAAAAAATGCAAAATCAATTTGAAGATTGCTTGCTTCGACAGCTGTCGTCATAGTCGTTGTCTGTTCAGCAGACTTTGTTCCGCTGATGGCTCAGTTTGAGTCTCGGTTTGGCTTTAGGTTTTTGGTTTTTGGTTTTCGGTTGTAACCGAAGTGAGCCCACTTGGAGCAGTCAACAAGTGGGGGCCTGTCATTGACTGCAGATCGAGGTAGTGGCAAGGTGCTGTGATTGGGGTTAAACTTTAGAGTCAACAAAACGCAGGCGGGAGATGGCTTCGCTTATGCAAGAGGAGCTGGCAAACCAATATTATGGGTACTTGCCAAAATGCCTTTTCAATACACCCTAATTGCGGAATTTTTCCTAGTTCGTATAATTAAATAATCAAGGGAATTACCCTTAAATATGCTTTGATCAAGTAAACGACAATCAAGAAAACCAACAACAGCGTTTCTCTGTGAACTCGTTGTTTAATCATTTATTACTTTAGACAATATGCAATGCAAAATGTATTGTATTTAATTATAAATCATTTCTATGTTTGAGCAATTCAACTTGTTTTAATCTGTAAGTGTTTTTAGTCGGATTCCACTCATATTAAAGAAATGGAAAACGTTTTTACATATTTAACTGCTTTAGAATTGGATTATACATTCTTTATTGAATCACTTTGCTGTTTTAAACCCACAAAATCTTAGATAAGGGACCACCATATGTTTTGGCCACTTTATTCATTTGAACAAAACCCTTTTTGCAAAGGCCTTCCTCTAAAGGGATTTTTCCACTGGCGCGCTCCATTTAAAAGCAAATTAGTTTTTGCGGTGGCCCGGAAAGGGGGATGACCGGATTGGGATGGACTCACCTTGCGTTTGGAGCGGGCCATCCGCTGGTCACGGGAGTTCTCCGCCTCGCCGGGCGGTCGTTTGCCCCAGACACGGATGGCGATCCGGGTGTAGGTGAAGATGAGCACCGCGAGCGGCACGACGAACTGCAGCGCGAAGAGGGACAGTGTGTAGTAATACTCCTGCGTCCGCGAGGGCCACATCTCCCGGCAAATGTATCTGATGGATGCAAAGGACACCGCATGAAAAGAGGGGAGAGGCGGGGAAGAGAATTAGTTTCGAGTGGACAGATCCGGCGGGCTCCCAAAATCATCTGTCACAAAAGGATACCCGCAGATGCCGGCTCAAGCTTTTCCCTTCACGACTGAGTGCGCATTTTCATTTTCATGCTAAGCTCTTCAAGTTCCTGCGAACAATTTCAGGATGCGACGCTCCCCAAAAACTTATTTGATTTTCCCCGTTCTGACAGAGTTTCAGTTGCATTCAACTGAAGTTTAATGAATTTAAAGATTTACTTCTAACGAAATGATATGCTTCTGTTGCTCTTTTGACAATAGAAATAGTAATATAGTTTAACGATCCACTTCCTTTAAAGCCATAACGTTGTGCAGCTTGACTTTTAACTTGCTCATCCTATTCTTGCCACTGTGTTGCTATTCCAATTAAATACATTGTAACGTGACCTTCGTTTCTGCAGATGAATTTGCAATTTGCATTTACATTATTCTCGTCCACTCGTCTTTTTTGCTTTCAGAGTAAAACAAGAAAAGAAGCTAGGTTTGGCAGGCTGAAGCGTTTATATCCTTTCAGTCATTACAAATGTCGAGCGAAATGCATAACGGCTAAACAAAGCCATTTTTTGGAAATTCAAAAAAGGCTGCATCATAAAAATTGAAAAAAATCGGTCAAAAAATAAACAAATTTCTAAGAAGTCAGTTTGTTATAGAATTAAAATACAAACATTTAGAGGTATGCCACTTGTTAGTTAAAGAAGTTAGTTACAGAATTAATATGTAAACTTTTAATTCATTTCAAAATCGGACTTAAATTGTAATAGTTATGGACTAAGAACTGGTGAAATTTGATAAATTTTCAGCAAAACCATTTTTTTCTAGGGCAACAGAATCCATAGATGGACATTTTAATTGGGGCTTAAACTGTCTCTTTCATTGCATTTCACTTCTGACGCAAATTGTAATACCTTCTGCAAGCGTAAAAAAAAAATACTGCTGGAAGCTTAGCTCCCTGATTTGTGGGTGATGGCAGAAAATGTATGAATCAGACTTAACTTTAAAAACGTGCCCTGGACTTCGGAATCCTTTACCGTTCCCGCAGTCAGTGATTTTTTTCTCAAGTTGAAATTCCGTGAAATAATGGCAGTAAGGCCTAAAGACAAGCCCATCAGTCTTAGCAAGGAGACAATTCCATGAAGTCGTTTAATGTGAAACATACAATCACTCTTAAAGCCTGTCCTACATATGCGAGCAGTAAGCAAGTACACTCAAAAAAATAAACTTTTGTTTTTAATACTATAAAAATAGATCTTGAAAAAAAATGCTCTTCAAATGGAATATGAAAATCGGTTGTTGATTTACTTTACAACATTTCTTATTTAAATGGAAAATTTTATTAAAGCCAAAGTAAAATATTGTAAGCATTTTACCGAGTGTATAGAAATATAACAAAAGCACTCCGACACTTACGGTTTATTGTTCGGGGGCTCGGTACTTACCTCTCGCATTTCTCGTGCCACGGCGACATGGGAATGTCGAGGCCGGAAACCAGTGGTATTGGGAAGGCCGTGGCAAGGGCGACAAACCAAACGCCGCTGATGATGAGTTTAGCATAACTGCGGAAAAAAAAGAAGGCATATTTGAGTGGGTCGTAAGAACATTCAAATCCCTGCTAAATATTTAAATTGTCAGTTATTTTTAGTCATCTGTCATCCGCTTTTCTTTTGACACTTGACGAATGCTCCCATAAATTGTTGAACAATTTACATATTTCCGTTCAACGTGGCGTATGCGTGATGCTGGAGTTTGACGAAGCATGATAAGCGCGCATTAAGCTGGCTTGTTTTGTCTTAAAGACCGCTCTGCGGGAGCTGCGTGTGGGTAAATTACAGTCAAGTTGAATAATTATCGGCCATATTTGCGCTTTGTCCCCGCAAATATTTGCAGAAGCCATGAAGGATGACTTTCGCTGGCCACCAATACCAACACACTCGCACGCACGCACACACACGCACGCAACCCCTGACGTCAGTGTGTGACTTCCATTTGCTCAACACAGAAATAAAATGTGGGTAAGTATTTTAGATTTAAAACAACTATAATGGAATAAAACAAAATAAAAGAAACTTATAGACTAAATAAATTAAATAGAATAAAAGAAAGTTCCTGTTTTTTTTTCCTTCAATTTCTGTTTTCTTTTTGACTTTCATTATTGAGATTATCTCCTAGAAATGACTAAAAATTACTTTTAGACGATTGGCGATAGTTTTTTTTTTTTTAGCTAAATGCTTGCAGGGTATATGCTATTCGAGTGTAAATACTCGCGCTTTTGAACTCAGCGGCAGATGAGATGAATGCCCACGGAGTAGCTCCGTAGATGGTCTGACTTTTAAAAGGGGACAGCTATATCATGTTACCAATGAATTGACGTTTTCGACGCCTTCAAACAATGTTGGTTTGCCAGCCGGCCGCTTTGGATTTTTAGTAAACGCTGTGTCAGGATCTCAGATTACTATTTAAACCAATTAACATGAGGTGACGTGCTCAGACGCCGTCTAACTAAAGGCCTGCCAAAACCCAGTCCCTAGGGAAAGTCGCTTAGGTCAAGTGGCCAAAGTGGACGCCAGTGTAAATACCCCAGAGGCCACTTAACTGTGTCCAGGCACGCCAGTGAATGTTTGAACTTAGCGGGTGCTTTGTAAAAAGCCTACTAAAATGGTGACAAGAGATTGCAAAAAAACAAGAAAAATTTAGTATGCCCTGCAAAAGAGCGTCTTTCGAAATGTAATATAAATTTAGATCATTTCAAAGTCTTATAACTTTAAAGGTGTTTATTGCATTGAAATGATATACAAATGCTTTAAAATTTTTAATTACCGTTTTGTGATCCGTGGCCGCAATGGCCACATGATGGCTATATAGCGGTCTATGCTGATGGCCACCAAAGTGTAGGCTGTAACCAGAACGGATACCGCCTGGGAGTAGTTCACAAAGTGGCAGAGAAACACGCCAAAGGGCCAGTAATTGAGGATAAAAAGCGAGATAAAGGACGAGGGCACGCAGAAGAAGGACATCAGGATGTCGCCGAGAGCCAAGCTGGCTATAAAGTAATTGGTAACTGTACGCATGCGCGGCGTTGACTGGACGATATAGCAGACCGTTCCGTTGCCGATCAGTGCGAAGAAGAAGATGGGAATGTACAACATGTAGATGGTGGTTTTAAAGTAGACACTGGACCACATATCCTCCGACTCGATGTCGTCGCCATCGCAGCTGAAGTTCATCATCATGGTGATGTTGAAGCTCTCGTGCTGCATTCCATTCAGTGTGGTTGTGGACTCATATCCGTAGGTTGACCCTTCATCCTGGGATTGCTGTATTGTGGCATTGTATAGAAGCGAGGCGGAGTCCGGCAGGTTGAAGGATCCCTCCTGGTAGTCCTCCTCCTCGTTCCTCAGCAGCGGCTGCTGAGGAGCTATGTAGTACATCCTGTCGATGCCCTCGGGCATCCGACGGCTCCTCCTGAGCAGCAGACTATTGTCGAAATCCATTCGAGCGTGTCGGTGAGGAAGCCACAAACTCTTAAGCCAACTTCAAGTCGTTGAGAACTTTTCCGGGCATTCTAAACCAAAATCCTGGCACTTCAAACTCGTCTCCTGGCTGCCATCTGCAAGTAAAAGTTGGAGGATATAATAAGCTAAAGAAATAAAATATTTGCAGCACTACATTGCGGCTACGTGATAATTCGCTTTAGCCGTTTCAGAAATAAGCGTTGCATAGTTTTTGGCGGGAGTAAGTATAAGAGTTTACTAAGCCATATCAGCTTTATAAATGGAATAAAGTTTTCTAAGGGAAAACTAAAACTAAAACGGTTTTACATTTGCAATGCTGGTAATTAAACGCAACCCACAATTTAAAATTTACGACATCCACCAGTTGAAATTGAGTTGAATGCGAAAGTAATTAAATGCGCAGATCGAACAAGTTAATGCGTATCAACTCGAGTTAACGTATGTGGGAGATGAAAGTAATTTAAACGTGAACGTTGCGATACGTTGACATGTCGTCTGCCGCATGGACTCATTTAATTCCATGCCATTTGAGTCAGCTTCACATCGTTTTAATATCTTGCTGAATGAACTCTGACAACAGTCGACATCCCTTGGCAGCCGCCCACTTTCCCGTCCAATCGACCACCCACCGACAAGGACAGTATAAGGTTATCAAGTGGGTAAATTGCTTATCTCAGCACAATAATGAGGCTGGGAGCTTTGCAAGTGTCTGAACGTGTGAGGAGTTGTTTTCTGTCATTTCTCCAGCCTTCAGTGTTTTTTTTTATCAATTATTCTGGCAAATTGCTCGACCCAGGAGTCCCTGCCAGGAAATCCCATTACATTTGGACGGATTTAAAATACTCGACATTGTTTATTGACATTTTGGGCCACTTCCGTTTACAAATTCGGTAAAAGTTGAGGAATTTTTTCATTACTGTCATAGAAACACATTTATATTCGGAGTTTTTCGATAAGAAGGCCACGAAATTACGCATTACTTGAAGTGTCATTTGATAACGTGGAGTGCAAGATGAGGTTGCTAGTAATGCATAAATTCCAAAGATTGTGATTATATAAATTTTTCTAGAATAGCCTGTCTAAAGTACAAGTTCAACCAGGCTTTTATGTTATCGACTGTTATGGTACCTGGATGGTTAAAAATCTTTATATTAAGTTAAAGTATTTTTAAAGTGGAATTAATTTCGCGACTCAAAAATAGCCAAAAATAATTAGGAATTCGACTGGCAATCAAGTTGTGTGCATTGGTAGGCAGTCCTTGATTAACGATCAGCTCATTTATTTTGTATTAACATTACATGGTGAAATGTGCACCGAATGCCAAACAGGAAAAATAATTACATGCTGGTAAGCCACCTTCGTTCAATATTCCGAGGAAACCACCTAATAAAACGAAATAAAAATGGCTGAACCAAGGCAACAAATCCAAATTAAAGCACGCAACACAGGCCGCAGGCAACTGGATGGGAGTGAAGGTCCCGAAACGGAAAATTAATGTTGGTAATAAAATAAAATGCAAAATATTGACGAAAAATCACGTACAAGAATGGACTCCGTGCACTGTATATATATATGTGCGCCACTGAAAATGTATATATGCGCCACTGAAAATGTAATAACGATTTAGATTTCCCAGGAAAAAGGCAGCAAATCAGATTTTTCGGGCTTAGTTGGCGCATTATTTTGTATAGCGGGCTTTTAGGCTGAGCGAGAGCCAACAACAAAGGCGCCGCTTAGACCAAAAAAGGTAGCCACCCATCAAAAATGGATTTCATAAAGTTAATTCTCACACAAAAATAAACAAAGTAAAAAAGCGGGCAACATTTAAACGAAAGCCTAGGATAACAGAAAATTTAAAATTCTTCAAAGGCCACAGAGACCAAAGATGAAACTTAAAACCCCTCTCAGCGGGCAGCCTTTTGGTCTGAAAATAGAATTCTACTCTGCCTTAAGGCTTAAACAATGATGAAAGAAATAGCCAATAAGCTTCTCTTATTTAGCTTGAAAGGTATATTTTGGAAGACTCATTTTTGACTATGAAAAATTACCAATCCCTAGGCTTTAATTTTAATGATATTGTTAAGTACACATTTTTTAGCCTAATATTCACATAGGTATGCGTAATCCTGTTGTTATTAACAAAAAATAAAAATAAATACTTGCCAATCAATAGATAAAATGCCATCAGATTCCGCATTCCAAAAAAAAAAAACGTTTTGTGGCAATTGTGTAGCAATCAGATTCATTAAAATGTACTTATACCACCAGGCGAGTCCAAGAAATGCCGGTCGATCTAATCGCAGACAGATAAGACGACCACCATGGCACCTATAAAAGAGCCTCTTCTCCAACTGAACAACCATCAGTTGTGGGTCCCACTACAATATGAAGACTTTCTTAATTTTCGCACTCTTTGCTCTAGCCGGTAAGTTCAGATCAACTTGGCAGTCATGGTAAAATCTTTAACAAAATGTTTTCTCCACAACAGCTTCGGCTTACGCCTTGGAGGAATCCGAGCGCATCAATGGCGAGAACGGCTGGTACGTTCCCCAGCAGGACGGCTCCCTCGAGTGGGTGGACAAGGACGTGGCTGAGGAGTGGATGGAGGCCCAGGAGAAGCTGGAGGCTCGTGGCCTGACCACCGTTCCTGTGAACTTCTACCTGTACACCCCTTCGAACCCCACGAAGAGCAAGCACATCTATGCCACCACCAAGTCCATCAGTGCCTCCAACTTCAACGCTGCCCACCCGACCCGCATCGTGATCCACGGCTGGACCCAGAGCTACCTGAACAGCATGAACACCGACATCCGCAAGGCGTGGCTCTCCAAGGGAGACTACAACGTGATCATCGTGGACTGGGCCCGTGCCCGTTCCGTGGACTACGCCACCTCCGTCATGGCTGTGGCCTCCACCGGTAAGAAGGTGGCCAACATGATCAACTTCTTGCACTCCAACTACGGCATGTCCCTGGATTCCCTGTATGTGATTGGCCACAGTCTGGGAGCCCATGTTGCTGGATACGCCGGCAAGAACACCAACGGCCAGGTGCACACCATTGTGGGTCTGGACCCCGCCCTTCCCCTCTTTAGCTACAACAAGCCCAACAAGCGCCTGAATGCCGACGATGCCTGGTACGTGGAGTCCATCCAGACCAACGGAGGAACCCTGGGATTCTTGAAGCCCATCGGCAAGGGAGCCTTCTACCCCAACGGCGGCAAGACTCAGCCCGGATGCCCCCTGGATGTGACTGGCGCCTGCTCCCACGGACGCTCCACCACCTACTACGCCGAGGCCGTCTCCGAGGACAACTTTGGAACCATCAAGTGCGGAGATTACGAGGCTGCCGTCTCCAAGGAGTGCGGAAGCACCTACAGCAGTGTTCGCATGGGAGCTGACACCAATGCCTACATGGTCGATGGTGACTTCTATGTGCCCGTCAACAGCAAGGCTCCTTTCGGCATGATTAACTGATCGAAAAATAATAAACAATAATGCTCAATGAAATATTTTTTTCTCAGTATTTATTTTCACTTTTAAGCTTTTTACCTTCCCATGCTAAATATTTATTTTTCAAGAAATTCTAAAGCAAACCATTGTGCTGACTGCTCCTAACGCTTTAGCCTTTTTTAAAGAAAAGAAAAAAGTGTTTTTGCTAAATATTTACTTTACCAAGACCAACGAAAACATTTAAACAAAAGTCAGAGTGAAGGGAAACTTTGCTTTCGGCACTGCTAAAACTTTTTGAGCACTGAAATAAATCCGAAGCAAAATTTCGTAAGATATTCACCTGCACTAGTACATTTAAAAGAAATTGGAGCACCATTTTTCCTTTCTTACTCAATTACTAAATTAGTTTAAGCTCATACCATTTAGTATAAAACGAAAAATAACTTATCTTGGTGGGCTTAAGAATTTCTCCCTGTACATCTCCAACCGCAACTGGCAATATCTTGACACTGTCGTCAGAAACATTTTGCCACTTTATGAGGCATGTTTGTAATTATTATTAATGAGCAACCAGCAAGCACCATTTTGCCTTGGCAAACTCAGCAGCCACTTCCATATGTATTCCATTGTAGTTGAGGGCACACCCCACCAGTATTTGAATAGAAATCCTCTCCACTCCGCAGGAGGTCTGTGCGTCCTTGTGGCCCAATTAGCTCTCGAGTATGCCAAGAATTTTTCTACGAGTATGTGCAGCTGTCGGGTTGAAGTTCCCTGACTCCACTTGAGATTCGCACAGTTAATCATCCGATAGGATATTTTTGGGGGCAGCTCTTGAGGCACAAGAGACTGATAAGGGGATTTGCCGACCTTCAACCCGCCCCGAAAAAAGATGAACAATTTTATTTGCCTCCTGTCCTTATTTATTGTCTGACATGTTTATTGTTTCTTGCGGCTCTTGCGAGAAATTGAATTTTATTGTGCCCAAATATTGCCCCTGCCTCAAGATATTTAACCATATGAGGCCAGTGATTTGTGGCCTGAAGTCCGCTTAAAGCGGGTCGAAAAAGGGATTTAAACTTTGTCTGGCCTTAAAGCAACCCAAGATGACATAATGCCATATAATTTAAGTGCAAGAAAGGAAATATAGGTTTTTTCATTTGCATCCCTTTTAATTTGAATAATCAAACACATTTTTTAGGAAGGGAGCACGTGCCACGCGAAATGCGACACTATTCAAAATGGCAATTCAAAATGTTCACTGAATCTGTCATCAAATTGCTGTCACTCCACCTTTCTTGTTATCCTGTGTCCACAAAGGCAATTCCACGAAAATATAATAAACTTAAAATTTGCGGGGGTTTGTGGTTATGGTCGTGTTCATATTTGCGTTATTAATTGAATTAATCTTTCAATAACGATGATTAATTAGGAGGGGGATCATTAAACAAAGAATGCCTGAAAGTATGCAGTCATTTTAAAATCAACTAAAAGGTTCAATTTCCGCTTAAGCGGCTCAAATATGATTAACCATTTCCTGTAAACAGGTGATGTAAAAATGGCAAGTGTTATATACGTTATTGTTGTTGTCTTATTCATTACCTCACATCAACACCTTCTGCGAGTACTTATGCCATAGATTACAAACAACCAACTGACCAAGATAACAGAAGCCGAGCAAAACAAGAATGCACTGGAGTGTTAAATTAAATGCCCATTTAATGATACCTTCAATTAAGTCCACTCAGCTGGACTTACAGCAGATTAGGGTGGTTGGGGCGGCTACCATTGTAATCGATAGCTGATAGTCGACTGCCATTTGAGGCTCGTGCTCCCCTGGATTCAAATTCACTGGCCATAAACACGAATTTCCATAGTCATTAACACAGGGCACTTGTAGAATCAGTTCCCAAATCCTTAGCGAATGGCGCAATTGAAAGCCAATCAGTAGATAAAAGTTCCATCTGATTCGTAGTTCACCCAAACACTTGCAATGCCGCCAGCAATCAGATTAATTTGAATGTACCCAAACCACCCAGTCGGCCAAAGCAATGTCAGCCGATTAAATCGGTTGCTGATAAGTTGGCCACCAGCGGACGTATAAAAGCAAGGGTTTTCCCGCCGAAGAACCATCAGTTGTCGGTTCTACTACAAAATGAAGACATTCCTTCTTCTGGCTCTCTTTGCGCTAGCTGGTAAGTTTACTTTACAATCCTACATAAAAGAATTCCCTAATTAAATTGATTTATTCCCCTTCAGTTTCGGCTGCTCCTCTGGAGGAAGCTGAGCGCGTCCATGGCGAGAATGGCTGGTACATTCCCCAGGAGGACGGCTCCTCCCAGTGGGTGGACATGGAAGTGGCTGAGGAGTGGATGGAGGCCCAGGAGAGGCTGGAGAGCCGCGGCCTCACCACCGTTCCCGTCAAGTTCTACCTGTACACCTCGTCGAACCCCACCAAGGGCACCAAGATCACGACCACCACCAAGTCCATCGACGCCTCCAACTTCAACGCTGCCCACCCCACCCGCTTTGTGATCCACGGCTGGACCCAGAGCTACACCGCCAGCATGAACAAGGACATCCGCAGTGCCTGGCTCTCCAGGGGAGACTACAACGTGATCATCGTCGATTGGGCCCGTGCCCGCTCCGTGGACTACGCCACCTCCGTCATGGCAGTCTCCTCCACCGGAAAGAAAGTCGCCAACATGATCAACTTCCTGCACTCCAACTACGGCATGTCCCTGGAGACTCTGTACGTGATTGGTCACAGCCTAGGAGCCCATGTTGCTGGATACGCCGGCAAGAACACCAACGGCCAGGTACACACCATCGTCGGTCTGGACCCCGCCCTTCCCCTCTTCAGCTACAACAAGCCCAACAAGCGCCTGAATGCCGACGATGCCTGGTACGTGGAGTCCATCCAGACCAACGGCGGAAACCTGGGATTCCTGAAGCCCATCGGCAAGGGAGCCTTCTATCCGAACGGCGGAAAGACCCAACCCGGCTGCGGATTGGACTTGACTGGCGCCTGCTCCCACGGACGCTCCACCACCTATTACGCAGAGGCCGTTTCCGAGGACAACTTCGGAACCATCAAGTGCGGAGATTACGAGGCTGCCGTCTCCAAGGAGTGCGGAAGCACCTACAGCAGTGTTCGCATGGGAGCTGACACCAATGCCTACATGGTCGATGGTGACTATTATGTTCCTGTGAACAGCAACGCTCCTTTTGGAATGATTAACTAATTGCCATGCAATAAACTTAATGTCTATGAAAGCATCTCTGTGTTTTTAATTGTAGAACTTTGTTTTTAAAGAATATTGTGGGAAAAACTATGTGTAACATGTAAATAAAAAAAATGTTAAGCAAAAAAAGACATAATATATTTTTTAGATGGAATAAAACCTATCTTGCCTCTTAAAAAAGTTAGAACCTTTTAGAACTTAGCGAAAATGCACAGCTTAAAGGATTTTTAAAGTACAACAAATAAATTCTGAGTTTATTTTTTGACCGTGAACAATGAGGTCGTCAATTATTTGTGTTCTTGGTCATGAAATGCTGTTAAAATTCGCCTTGGCGATTTCTCGCTGAACTTCCTTATCGGATCAAGCCGGATCATAAACCATTGTATTGACCAACTTCCCATTCAGCCAGACGTTTATTAGGGTGAATTAGCTCGAGGGGTTTATTGACATTTACGGCTGCTCTTGACCATTATTTCGGATTCCCTTGGCTGTTCATTAGTCATTGCAAGACAAATAATGGTTTGATTAATTATCAACAGAATTACCCCAATTTAATGTTACATCCGATCGTGTCTGGGATAAGAATCCTCAATCTTATCGTACCCTAATCTATAACTTACCGATGAAGTTAAGGATCATGACCCCGAAACCTTATCTTAAATGCGATGTTAGCACCGATAAAATTAGGTATCTTGACCCTGAACCCTATCGCTGTGCTAACGCAAGTCAAAAAGCCCAACCCCTTGACTTTCGTTCTTATCAGCTTCGTTGGAGAAAACGTGCGCTATCAGTGTAGTACAAGTTCTAATCGTTTGTATCGGTACTATCTTATTGTTCAGAAGCTGTCAAAGCTTAAGTGCTTACTGATATTAAGCGGTGATTACGGTGATTAGTGCAGGCCTATAAAAAGCGCCGACCAGGTTCCTAATTCAACACAATTGTGTGAGACCCCCAAGATGAAGGTGTTTTTTGTCCTAGCAGCTTTACTGGTAGCAGGTAAGTTCTCCAAAAGGATTCAAAAGTGTCCAAGTAATAAATGTAAACATTATTGATACTTTTTAGTGAGCGCCCTGCCCATTGAGGAGCGCGTGAATGGCGAGAACGGCTGGTTCATCCCCAAGCTCGACGGGAGCTTCGAGTGGATGGACAAGAGCGATGCCGAGGAGCTGATGGCCAACGGAGCCCAGATGGAGGGACGCATCAGCACGAACGCCGTGAACTTCTACCTGTACACCAAGTCGAACCCCACCGACGGCAAGGAGATCAAGGCCTCGTCCGGATCCGTGGACGACTCGCACTTCAACAAGGACCACGGCACCCGGTTCGTGATCCACGGCTGGACCCAGCGCTACTCCGACGACATGAACACCCGCATCACCAGGGCCTGGCTCTCCAAGGGCGACTACAACGTGATCGTGGTTGACTGGGCCCGTGCCCGATCCGTGGACTACGCCTCCTCCGTGCTGGCCGTTCCCGGAGCCGGCGCCAAGGTGGGTGAGATGATCAAGTACCTGCACGACCACCACGGCCTGGACTACGACAGCCTGGAGGTGATCGGCCACAGCCTGGGTGCCCACGTGGCCGGATACGCCGGCAAGACCGTCGGAGACAAGCGCGTGCACACCATCGTGGGTCTGGACCCCGCCCTGCCCCTCTTCAGCTACGACAAGCCCAGCAAGCGCCTCTCCACCGACGACGCCCACTACGTGGAGTCCATCCAGACCAACGGCGGCAAGCTCGGCTTCCTGAAGCCCATCGGCAAGGGCGCCTTCTACCCGAACGGCGGCAAGAGCCAGCCCGGATGCGGACTGGACGCCACCGGCTCCTGCTCCCACGCCCGCTCCGTGCTCTACTACGCCGAGGCCGTCTCCGAGGACAACTTCGGCAGCATTAAGTGCGGCGACTACGAGGAGGCCGTGGCCAAGAGCTGCGGCAGCACCTACAGCTCCGTCCGCATGGGAGCTGTTACCAACGCCTACATGGTCGACGGAGACTACTACGTTCCCGTCAACAGCGCGGCTCCCTTCGGCAAGATCGAGTAGATCCTCTATTAGTCTTCTGAATAAAGCAGCAAACTGAATACTCTCGAAAAAACATTGTATTAATTATGGTTAATTAGATGTTTGCGATACAGGGGCCTTACGCTGAAAGTATCTTATGGGACAAACACTTTTAATATATGAAGTAAATATAATCAATACAAATTTATTTAAAATTATTCTTTGTTAGGTTTTGGATTATTTTGGTTGCTAACCATCGGAAAAACTATAAACCGAAAGACCCACCAAAGTTGGTAGCTATCATAGCTTAATAAAGTACTTATAACTCAAGTGCACCGGGATTTTCGAACCACTTGAAATACCACAAGCGAAACCGAGTAGTTCTTACCAGCTGTTGAGTGCGTATATGAAAAGATTAAAAATATTTTTAGCTCCATTTACGTGGGCTTTGATTTTGGCAAAGGTTATTGTTATTTTTCATATGGCACCATATGAAGTCGATTTGGGGACTAAAAATAACTAATAATATGGCACCATATGAAATCGGTCTACTAAGTGATAACTGACTGATAAGTTACAGCCTATAAAAGCACCATCGAAAAGGTTAAGCTCGGTAGATTCTGCCAAGATCAGCATGAAAGTGGCTGTGGTTTTGGTGGCTCTATTGGCAGCAGGTGAGTTTCATAAATAATTTTGTAACAATAAGTTTTTATATAAATAAATAATTTCTTAATGTTTTAGCACATGCTCTTCCGATTGAGGAGCGTGTCAATGGAGAGAATGGCTGGTTTGTGCCCCAGGATGATGGAAGCCTTGAATGGATGGACATAAAAGATGCCGAGGAACTGTTAAGCAAGTATACTCCCATCGAAAGCCGCTCGAACGATGTGTCCTTCTACCTCTATACCAAACAAAACCCAACGAACGGCAAGGAAATATGGTCAGATGCATCCTCCATTCACGACTCCCACTTTAATAAGAACCATGGCACTCGATTTGTGATCCACGGATGGAAGGGAAAATATACCGACAGCATGAATGTCAAGATCACAAAGGCCTGGCTCTCGAAAGGGGAATATAACGTGATTGTTGTCAACTGGGAACGTTCCCAAACTGCGAACTATGTGTCATCTGTGGCAGCTGTTCCTGGAGCAGGAACCAAAGTGGGAGAGATGATCGAGTACCTGCACGAACATCACGGCATGTCTCTGGAGGATCTGGAGGTGATTGGTCACAGCTTGGGAGCCCATGTGGCTGGGTTTGCTGGGAAGAAAGTGGGGGGCAAGAGGATTCACACCATCGTGGGTCTGGACCCAGCCATGCCACTGTTCAGTTACGATAAACCCGACAAGCGTCTTAACGCCGACGATGCCTTCTATGTGGAGTCCATCCAGACCAACGGTGGTGAAAAGGGGTTCCTGAAACCCATTGGCAAGGGCACGTTCTACCCGAACGGAGGAAGGGATCAGCCAGGATGCGGCACGGATATAGGAGGATCCTGTTCCCACCATCGATCGGTGCTCTATTACGTGGAGGCAGTCACGGAGGATAACTTCGGCACCATCAAGTGCGGTGATTACCAGGCTGCTCTGGCAAATGAGTGTGGAAGCACCTACAGTAACGTTCGGATGGGAGCAGTCACCAATGCCTACATGGTCGAAGGAGATTACTATGTTCCAGTCAACAGCGAAGCTCCTTTCGGCAAGATCGAGTAGATATTATAATGGTTATCAGAATAAAATATTACATGACAAAGCATTCGGTTATTTGAGTTTCGTTGTTTATGTTATAATTAGTAATTTAATTAAGTAATTAAAACTAAATCAATTGCTCTCATATATGACAATTTGTTCCCAAGATTATACCAACTAATTAGCAATCATAGGATTCATGGTTTGTTTCACGTATGTTTTGTTCATTTGAAGAGTGTGTTCCTGCCTTGGTTCTAATTTCCTTTCAAAAAGTACTTAAAGCTTGAGTGTATTGGGGTTTTCTAACCACTTAAGTAATGACTATTATAAACGTGAAAGTATTGCACTTCGAAATTTTAGATTAAATATATTTGCCAACATTATTTGCTTAATTTTTTTTACATAGCAAGCATTATTATTGATTAATTATAACTACGCATAGATTTTTAATTTTCAAAGTATTTTAGGTATGCGTTATATTAAGGGAAAAACTATTTTATTTATAAAGTAATACAAAGATTTAATTTTATTACCATATTTATATGAGTAAATACAAATGATAATATTTTAAGTGCTCTCAAGTATTCTGTCTGGAGATAATTTACAGCCTATATAAACGCTTGTAACAAAGCTCTAGGTCACTAGATTTTGAGGAGATACCAGTATGAAAGTAATCGTGGTTCTATCAGCTTTATTAGCAGCGGGTTTGTAAAAACAATTAAATATTTGATAACTCGACCAAAAATTAATATCTTCTTGATTTTAGTGAGTGCTCTTCCTATTGAAGAGCGTGTAAATGGTGAAAATGGCTGGTTTGTACCTCAGAATGATGGAAGTCTTGAGTGGATGGACTTAAAAGATGCCGAGAAGCTCATAGAAAACAATGTTCCAATCCAAAGACTTTCCAATGAAGTGTCCTTCTACCTCTACACCAGAAACAACCCAACAGAAGGCCAGAACATCATTGCAGAGGCATCTTCCGTTCAAAATTCGCTTTTCAATAAGAACCTCGGCACTCGTTTTGTGATCCACGGATGGAAGGGAAAATACACCGACAGCATGAATGTCGATATCACCAATGCCTGGCTTTCAAGAGGGAACTTCAATGTGATCGTTGTCAACTGGGAGGGCTCCCAATCCATTGATTATGCCATGTCGGTGCGAGCTGTTCCTGCAGCTGGAACGAAAGTGGGCGAGATGATCGAGTATCTGCACGAAAATCACGGCTTGTCCCTTGATACTCTGAAGGTTATTGGACACAGTTTGGGAGCTCACGTGGCTGGTTTTGCTGGGAAGCAAGTGGGGGGTAAGAGGATTCACACCATTGTGGGTCTGGATCCCGCCTTGCCGCTTTTTAGCTACGACAAACCCGACCAGCGTCTCTCCAGCGAAGACGCTTTCTATGTGGAGTCCATTCAAACTAATGGCGGAGTGAAGGGTTTCGTGAAGCCCATTGGAAAGGCCACTTTCTACGCGAGTGGAGGAAGGAAGCAGCCAGGATGCGGAATGGACCTCGCAGGAACCTGCTCCCACGCCCGCTCCGTACTCTACTACGCCGAGGCCATCACCAATGACAATTTCGGGTCCTTAGAGTGCCAGGACTACCAAGATGCCCTGGCCAACGAGTGCGGCAACACTTTCAGCAGCGTTCGCATGGCAGCTGAAGAGAATGCCGACTCCGTGGAGGGCCACTTCTACGTGCCCGTAAACAGCGAGGCTCCATTCGGCACAGCTGAGTAGAGACCTTTGAAAAATAAATATCAAGTAAATGTGCTCCCAAATATCAAGTTCTTTGTTTTTGAGTCGGTTTATCTGCATCGCGATAGAATTCGCGGGGGTTCTAATCATTGACAGAATGTCAAGTGGTTTGTCGCACGTCAGTGGATAAGGACAGGCTGAAATCATCCTGTTTGGAATGCGAGTCGCCATTCACGAAGAGCCTTCCCATTGCAAGTCATGGTCACGTTGGGGTAATCTGAATTATGAATAGAAATCTTCACCTGCAGGGTTATCTTTTTGTTTCTATAAAAATTCTTGATAGTGAAAATATTTAAATCAAAATATTTGAACTGATTATTCTAGGTCTAAAATATCTTGCTTATCTTAGCATTTGAAATTGGAAAATAATATTAAAATGTATTTCTAACAGTGACAAAGAGTTATTGATAAACTATTGATTAATTATTTTCCAGTGCTATGTGGTAATCGCATGTCATAGAAAAGCTTTTCAGATAAAGTTTATAACTGTGTGTATTATCAGTTTTCTTGTTATGACAACGGACACTCATTAATAAATTGACTTGTTGATAATATAATAAAATATATAAGATCTTAAAATATAAGAATAAAAAGTAATACAAATTAATAGATTATGAATAACTGCTGTATCATTTTTGAGATCTTTTTAAACACGTGTTATCTGAACACGAGCAACTGATAATAGCGCTGCTAAGGCAATACGTCAACTAAGTTTGTTGCCAATCTAGAACTTTATTTCGCCAAAGGGCCAATCAATTCAATCAAATTAAATTCAAGATGGACATTCTACTTAGTCTAGATTGCCGAAACACATGGATCGCCTTTCGAACCCGCGACCACAAATTATCAAAGGAGTCGAATGTTGCGATTGGCCATCCAGTGGCCTATCTCGAGTGGTGTGCTTCAATATGTCTGAGATTGGATCGGACGATCGCACCCAGTGTCCCTATAAAGAAGCACCCATGCCACCCACAGTTGTTAGTTGAGGTTCACTTTTCGCAACGATGAAACTCTTGCTGGCGCTAGCTTTCTGTGTCTTGGCGGGTAAGTTGAAACCAAAGTTCTAGAAAGGCAAAAAAACGCGTGACTTAAATTTGAAACACTACTAAAACACGGCAACATAACCAAACTAAAGAAATCATAAATATTTTATACGTAAGGATGAGTTGTAAATGTTCATTTTCTATATTTTCCAGCTCACGCCGTGGAGGTCCGTGAGAACGGCGAGAACGGATGGTATGTGCCCCAGGCCGATGGCACCCTGGAGTGGATGGACCGCGAGTTCGCCGAGGCCTACCTGGAGACCAAGAGCCGCATGGAGGGCCGCAACGTCCTGAACCCGGTTACCTTCTACCTGTACACCCACTCGAACCGCGACAACCCGCAGGAGATCAAGGCCACCTCATCCTCCATCTCCGGCTCCCACTTCAACCCCAACAACCCCACCCGCATCACCATCCACGGCTGGTCCTCCAGCAAGGACGAGTTCATCAACTATGGAGTCCGCGACGCCTGGTTCCGTCACGGCGACATGAACATGATTGCCGTCGACTGGGGACGCGCCCGTTCCGTGGACTACGCCTCCTCCGTGCTGGCTGTTCCCGGAGTCGGTGAGCAGGTGGCCACCCTGATCAACTTCCTGCGCAGCAACCACGGCCTCAACCTGGACAACACCATGGTGATCGGTCACAGCCTGGGTGCCCATGTGTCCGGATACGCCGGCAAGAACGTCAAGAACGGCCAGCTGCACACCATCGTGGGTCTAGACCCCGCCCTGCCCCTCTTCAGCTACGACTCGCCCAACAAGCGCCTCAGCTCCACCGACGCCTACTACGTGGAGTCCATCCAGACCAACGGCGGAACCCTGGGCTTCCTGAAGCCCATCGGCAAGGGAGCCTTCTACCCCAACGGCGGCAAGAGCCAGCCCGGATGCGGAGTCGATCTGACCGGCTCCTGCGCCCACAGCCGCTCCGTGATCTACTACGCCGAGTCCGTGATCGAGAACAATTTCCCCACCATGCGCTGCGGCGACTACGAGGAGGCTGTGGCCAAGAGCTGCGGCAGCGCCTACAGCTCCGTCCGCATGGGAGCCACCACCAATGCCTACATGGTCGCCGGGGACTACTACGTTCCCGTTAAGAGCGAAGCTCCCTACGGCATGGGCAACTGAGTCCGGTTCCAATCAAATAAATCGAGTGAAAGCTCTGTGAGCTAAAGCAATATATTGAGAGCTTTGTTTACTGATATAGGGGGGATGCCTTTGTGGATCCCAAGTTTGGGTTATCGCAAGTTTAACGTCATTTTTTTAAAATATAGCAAGTCATGCTTGATTTGATTTAGTAACTTAAAAAAGTTCTTTTAGCTATTTAAAAATATTTGCGCTCATAAAAATGATTACTCAGACCATGATTTCGAGGTCAATCTTACAAACGGTCGACACTTTTTTGCTTAGCTTACAGACCACTTCCATGGAACATTTTAACTTTTTGTAAGGACAAAATAAGTTAAGATACTTCCAAGACAAAATAATTTACTTATCTGCTTGTACCTGAAAGCCGATATCTCGAAACTTAAAAATGTGAAACAAAATAATTTGGTGTTTCCTAGAATTTTGTTAAGTGCCCATAACGTCACGTTTTTCTTGGATTTGAATCGCACTGATTAGAAAGGGATCTTATCACTGTGTTTTTGTTGTTGCGCAGATTTTGATTTCTATTAATCTCGTGCAGACTGAAGGTATAAATACCAGTTCCAGGTGCGCCAATAGACCATTTAAAAAACTTTTCTTCAACGATGAGATTGTGCTTCCTTGTGCTGGGCTGCGTGATAGCAGGTAAAGACTTTGCTCTTTGAAAAAAACCGTAGTTGACATTGAATATGTTTTTATTAGCCAGCGCATGGCCTGTTGACCAACTTTCCGTCCGAGTCCATGGCGAAAATGGATGGTTTGTTCCCCAGCGGCAAGGCGGACTAAGATGGGTTGCCAAGGCGGAGGCGGAGCGTCAGTTGGCGGAGTACGAGGCCCAGGATGTCTTGGAAGGTCGTGTGTCGACCAACACGGTTAAGTTCTATCTATACACTCAGCAGAATCCGACAACGGGACAGCAGATCAAGGCCACCCAGTCTTCCATCGACTCCTCCTTCTTCAATCCCGAAAATCCAACGAGGTGGGTTTCGAATGGAAATGTTTTAACAAATAAAATATAATAAAATATTTACTATAGGATCACTATTCACGGCTGGAACTCGAACTACAAAGACGGCATTAACACCAGGGTTGCGGCTGCCTGGTTCCAGTACGGAGACTACAACATGATCGCCGTGGATTGGCAGCGAGGTCGTTCCTTGGAATACGCCACCTCAGTTGCTGGTGCCTCGGGAGCTGGCAAGAAAATCGCCGCTTTGGTTGACTTCTTGGTGGAGGGGTACGGCATGCGCTTGGACACTCTGGAGATCGTTGGCTTCAGCTTGGGTGCCCATGTGGCTGGATTCACGGCCAAGCAGGTGACCACCGGCACAGTGGGCAAGGTCGTGGGCTTGGACCCCGCCTCTCCGCTCATCAGTTACTCCAAGACAGAGAAGCGTCTGTCCAGCGATGACGCCGTGTATGTGGAGACCATCCAGACAAATGGCGCCATTTTGGGCTTCACCCAGCCAATTGGCAAAGCCGCCTTCTACATGAACGGAGGTCGATCCCAGCCAGGTTGTGGACTTGATCTCACCGGCAGTTGCTCCCACACCCGAGCTGTTCTCTACTACGTGGAGGCCCTCCTGTATAACAACTTCCCCTCGAAGAAGTGCGACACCTACCAGCAGGCCAACAAGAACACCTGCGGCGACCAGTACAGCAACATCTTGATGGGGGCCTTCATCAACACTTATATTGCCGAAGGTATCTTCTATGTGCCGGTGAACAAGGAGTCTCCGTACGGATTTGGTCAAATCAACAGCAACGAACCGACAACTACTGCTCCTGCCGTTCCTACCACCACCGTTGAAGATGAATCCACAACCGAAGAGCCTGAGGAGGTTCCATCCACAACCAAGATACCCGAGGAGCCTTCCACTACCGAAGAACCCGAAGAGTCGACTACTGCTGGCGAGGAAACCTCTTCAAAACCGGAAGAACCACAGGACTCGACGACCGAGGAGCCCGAGGAGGTTCCCTCCACAACCGAAAAACCAGAAGAGCCCGAAGACTCTACAACCCCCAAGGCACCCGAAGAAGATTCCACCACAACCGAAGTACCAGAAGATGACTCCACTACACCCGAAGAACCAGAAGAGGACTCTACTACACCCGAAGAACCTGAAGAAGACTCTACTACACCCGAAGAACCAGAAGAGGAGTCTACTACACCCGAAGAACCAGAAGAGGACTCTACTACACCTGAAGAACCAGAAGAGGACTCTACTACACCCGAAGAACCAGAAGAGGACTCTACTACACCCGAAGAACCAGAAGAGGACTCTACTACACCCGAAGAACCAGAAGAGGACTCTACTACACCTGAAGAACCAGAAGAGGACTCTACTACACCCGAAGAACCAGAAGAGGACTCTACTACACCTGAAGAACCAGAAGAGGACTCTACTACACCCGATGAACCAGAAGAGGACTCAACTACACCGGAAGAGCCAGAAGAGGAATCAACTACACCGGAAGAACCAGAAGAGGACTCTACTACACCCGAAGAACCAGAAGAGGACTCTACTACACCCGAAGTACCAGAAGATGATGATACCACCGCTGCTCCAGAGGATGATATAGAAGAATCGACAACCGAGAAACCAGAAGATGACTCTACTACCACCGAGGAACCCGAAAACGACTCCACAACCCCCGAAGAACCTGAAGATTCGACCACTACTGCTCCAGAAGACGGAGGGGATGACGATACGACCGAAGAGCCAGAAGAAGACCCTACTACCACCGAGGAACCAGAAGATGACTCTACTACCCCCGAAGAACCTGAAGATTCGACTACATCAGCTCCCGAAGACGGAGGGGATGAAGAAACGACCGAAAAGCCAGAAGAAGACTCTACAACTCCAGAAGAGCCCGAAGATTCCACCACTGCTGCCCCAGAAGATGGAGGAGATGTTGATACCACCTCTCCTCCGGAGGACGAGGACTCCACCACCGAAGAGCCTGAGGAAGTGTCAACGACTGCTGCTCCTGAGGTTCCCACAACAACTGTGAAACCCACTGAACTTCCTTCAACCACAGCGGTTCCCATTGAAGTTCCCACCACTACTCTTTCTCCCGAAATTCCACCTACTATCCCGCCAAAAGATGACAATCTTGCCCCTGCAGGAACCAAAAATATCTTGATCTTCAACGTCTTTTTGGTTAATGTTAAAATCGAAAAATAGTAAATTAACAAAAGCATTTTCGTTAAATGCCAGCCACTCAGGTTGTAAAAAGCAATAAAACCAAAGCAATATTTGATTTCCATTACCTACTCAATACCACAGATGGTCGCGGAATTTTAATTCAGTTGCCTAGCAATATTAATAAATTAGAGAAGAATTTACCTAGCTTCCGGTGTGATTCATTAAAGAATGATAGTAACCAAAAATCCATGCTTTATTTTTAGTTAATCAGCAACTGATTATTGTTGAGACAGAAATCGTACAGGCCAGTATACAAGTTCCCTTATCGCATTAGCCAGTCACTGCTGCTTTCAATGGCGGCAATAAAAAACTTTCCTACAAGTTCCAGCTACCATATGCTTACTTACCAATTAACTTGATTTACCAACTTGAAACTTATCGCTTGAGCTTATTTATTATTCATGGGAAGTCAACCTTCTTTAGTATAGTATAGATAATATTCAGGGCGTTAATGTTACTGTTCCTAGACATCATTACTCTTTTTTTTTTGGTTTAAGAATTATTCGACTTATATGTATCCTGACCTTACACACACATTTCATCCTCATCAACAAGGCACTCTCTTTGAAGAACACTGAAATATTCTCCAGAAGCACATTTGAGGTTGGAAACTTCTCCTCCAATGCATAGTCTGTATCCTGCGCAATCCTGTGGATTTTCCTCGCGAGCTCCTTCATCACAAACTTCAATATTGGTCACACAAATTCCCCTCCTGTCCACCAAGCAGACCTTCAATATGAAATCGAAGTAGGATCCACTAGGACACTGTTCCACAGACAGTCTTCCATTTACGCACTCCAGATATCCTGCACAGTTGTTGGGATCCATCTTCAGTTGTCCTTCAGGGCACTGCTGCTCAACGAAATCACCAACAACACTCTCATTGTATGGAATAAGTATTTCGTCTTCCGACTTTAAACACACTCTGTGGACATCAACTAGGCAATCTCTTTCGGCCGCGTTGTAGTATCTTCCCGGAGGACACTGTAGGTTTTTAACCACACCTCGGATGCACTGCCTGTATCCAGCGCAATCCTGTGGATTTTCTTCGCGAACTCCTTCGATACAAAATTTTATGTTAGTGGCACACACAGCCCTAATATCCACGGAACAATTCTTTAAAGTGTAGTTATAAAAAAACCCAGCGGGACACGTTTCCTGCCTCAGAACTCCATCAACGCATTTGAGGTATCCTGCACAGTTATCGGCATTTAATCTCAACTCTCCTTCTATACACTGTGCAACTGGGTCATAGGATGTAAGCTCTACAGCAGAATCAGTTGTTTGAATATCAGGGACCGCACTCTCTGTATTTAAATCTAGCACCTCATCTTTAAAATATTCCTCTTCAAACTTCTCATTGGATTTAGGAATTTCCAGAGCAGAATCTGTTGGTTGCAAATCGGCTACAGTACTTTCCGTATATAAATCACTGGAATAAACCTCGTCTGAATCGGTGCTTTGAGGATAAGAAACAGTACTCAACAAACTTTGGATTTCAGTAACCTTTTCATGAGCAGAATCAGTAGTTTGCGTATCAGCTACAGTACTTTCCGTATTTACACTACTAGAAATATCCTCATCTGAATTGCTACTCTGGATAAAGGTTACACTACTCCTAATAACACTATTTTGTATTTTTTCCTTGTAATATTTATCATTATAATTTTTGGTGAAAATTATCTTTTGTTGAGCAGAATCAGTAGTTTGCGAATCGGTTACAGTACTTTCCGTATACACATTACTGGGGTAATCGGCTTCTGAGTCGGTACTTTGCGAATAGGAAACATTACTCCCGGTTAACTCATTTTGTGCTTTATCCTTCTTATATTCATCGTCAACATTTTTATTTTTAGTGACACAAACACCTTCACTGTCCACCAAACAGGATTCCAATTTCGGGTCGTAGTAAGATCCACTGGGACACGGTTCCTTCACGAGTTCTCCATCTATGCATTTAAGGTATCCCGCACAGTTATTGGGATCCAGTGTCAGTTGTCCTTCAGAGCATTTTGCTGGTGGATCAACACATACTCCATTCAAATCGACAACGCAGACTTTATAAGTCGGCTCAAAGTAAGTTCCACTAGGACAGATCTTAGCTGCAAGCTCTCCATTTTGGCAGTTGAGGTAACCGGCGCAATTGTTGGGATCCGCCTGAACTTCACCTTCGTTGCATTGACTCGCTGATGAGCAGACGCCATTCTCATCCACCTGGCACAGCTTGAAAACGTCTTCGAAATAACTGCCACTGGGGCACTTCTCCTTCACAAGGACTCCATTTACACACTGCAGATATCCAGCACAATCCTCGGAATTCACTTGTAATTCTCCCTCCGCACATATTTCTCTTTTAGAAGTGCAGAACGCAGCGCGATCAAAGCTGCAGCTTTTTGATATGGCATTGAAGTAGGTTCCTTCAGGACATTTCTCTTTCACCAGATTTCCATTAAGGCACTTCAAGTAAGCAGCACAGTCTTCCAAATCCCTCGAAACGTAGCCTTCAAAACATTTTTTCCTCGAAGTGGGACAGACATTAAACTCATCCACAATGCACACCTCATTGTTTACCTCAAAATAACTTCCATTGGGACAATTCATGTGCACGGCTTCATCATCGAGACACTGAAAATAGCTGGCACAATCATCGTTGTCGACCGCCACTGATCCTTCAGTACATTTTACAGAATCCTTGATAACTGACGCTAGAGAAGGCCGCATAAGGAAAATTAAGGACCATGTCGAACACACTGAACCAAGAAGAACTCAATTAATTTTGAAAACTTTATATTTTGGGTAAGGAAATCTCACCGTGGTAAATCATCCGTAGTCGTTGCAAATTCATGTTCTTTAGTTTTTTCAATAGAAACCGTTTATTGCAGTCACAGCTTTTATACTGCAGCTCCATTAGCACTATTGTTGTCACCGATAAGATAGTCTGGTGACCTTGTCATGAAGAAGTTACATATGTCTCGCCACAAGTGGCAAATAGACAATGTGGGAAAAAACTTCCCAGAAATGACTCAGCAACAGAATCATTTTTACAAGTTGAATAATAGTCAACAAATATCAACCATGTAACAATGTAAACTTGAAGATTTTAAGGGACAGCTGAAAAGGATTTGTTTCCGGAAAACCCAAATTAAAATTTTTCTTCAGACTGAAAAGGGAATATTTACATCAATGAATGACAAAACACGAACTTTGTAAGGCATGGTTGAATTCCCACTTTGTGTCAACTGATTTGCATATTTTCACAACTGGTTTTCCCCACTTGTTTGGGCTGAGGTTTCCGTCGAAATTTCTGCATATCCTAGCGACGCCAACTAACAAATTAACATACGAAAGGAGCCCATGAGCATTTATTGCTTTTTAAGCAAAGGTCAAAAGGTCTGAGACGTGTCGGCGAAGACGGCCAACACATGCCACATCATCTGCCAGTCACTTCGGGACTCATTATTCACTTTTGCCAGCATTATTAAAGCCGTCAGCCTTTAATCCCAGTGATTTTCCACTCCCAATCACTCGTTAATTTATCAAAACACAAAGGGCCAAGGCTTTTTCACGGCTTTTCACTCTATTTTCCCCGATTACGGAGCGGAAAACCTTTGATAGTCGTGTGTTGTTGTGGGAATTTTAGGTATGCCAAGCATCCTAAAACACTACCAATGTTTGCCCACTTGCACGCCAATAAATATTCCGTTTGTTGCTCAAAAGGGAATCGTGCCCTGACTCCCCCTCTTTTGGTTGAAGTTCACGCATTCTCGAACGTTTTTAGTGGCTCGTTTTCCAAACGGCCCAAAGGTACACAGGACAAACGCTTTTGGCCGGCTAATGACACAGGTCCTTTTACTGCTCAATGTGGACAACTGGGCCAACTAACAAGTGTCAACAATTGGCGCAGTTCTGGGAATTCAACACCATTATTGCCTGCTTTTCCCAGTTTCCAAATTGCAAAACGTCGCAAGAACATTAAAGAATATTTAAAGTTTAAAAAATGTCAAAAATATTTTTAATAAGGCCAAATAGTGACTTACAGTGGAACCAATCACTGCTTTGAGCAATTTATGACCAAGGTTACCGAGCCCTATCAATTTTTGGACGATTAAAAATAAATGATTTTTTGGCAATTTTCGCAATACAAATTTCCATCAACTTATTAAGTCTTTAAAATTCCAACAATATAACACAGAACCCGTTTAGAAGGTATTTTTCGTCTGTGTATTTTCGCATTTAATAAGCACAAAGACCTCCTACGAACACATTTGTTCGGATCAGTTGTCTTTAACAATGGGCTCTCCATTTCTATTAAACAGGACTCTCGCACAACAGCTGAAATAATTCACAGGGCCGTCAAATGTGAAAGGCTAATGCAGTCCTCATATGGGAACATTATGCACAAGCTTGACTTGTAATCTTCAGTGTAGGCAAAACCCACATGAAGTAAAAAAAATTTTTAAATTAATTTTTTTTCAACATGTTATTTGTACTGGCACGTGATTTTAAGCAACGAAAAAGAGAAGCACCACTAAGAGAATTTGCCTGAGCACTTCGCCGAATTTTGTATGCATATTTGTGTTATTTGGCAGGTCCTTTTGTCATATGTTGAACATATTGAAAATAAATTTTTGCATAAATATTTCACAAGACAGTTTTATTTTTTTGGCTAAGATTTTTGGCCTGCTTCGTATTTTCAAGAAAATTTGCATATAACTTTTTTCATGCTCATCCCAAAACGCAGTTCTTATCAAAGAGGAAACCGTAGGAAAGGCAATAAAATAATGTGAGTCAGTGTGCACAAAAATCCCCCAATCACTTAAAACTTTTTGGCAAGTAAACAAAGCTCTTGACTGAGCAAAGAGCAACCTTCAAAGCTATGAATTTTTAATATTGGCAGCTGAGGTGGCATCAGTCTCAGTGCATCTTGCAGATTGCTTATGAGATTATTCAAAAGCCGTATAAGATGAGCACACAAACTGAATTTTGCTCACTTGCCTAGCCAAAATAAAATTTTATAAACACACAATAGTTTTTTGTGCCTGCAGTCAGTCAACTGTTCGAAAGTTTTTCTACAGGCATTTGTGTGTATTTTAAGTGTAAACAAATTCAATTTGATGCTTTCATATCGTTTCCCTGGTTATCTTACTATACAAGTTCGCAGAGTTCTTTTAAGCATTTTAAGTGCTTTGAATTCAAAAGTTTTAAAAACAAAGAATACAAAGTCTAGTAAAAAAAATAGAAACAAAAAACGTTGCCGAGAGATAAAAAAAGTTTGTAAAAGCGCGGTCTATTCATTCTTCCCATTAAACCATATTTACTACGTTAAAGCCATTCCTATTATTTTTCATTTCTGTATTCGTTTATTAACTCTTTCGCTACGTTGAATAAAAATACGGATGGTAACAATTCAAGGAACTTTATTAAGCAAATAAAATTGCCATTTTCTGCTATCAATATCAATTCTTTGGTAACAATTAATTTTTGTACGAAACAAGGAAGTTTATTAAGCAAATAAAATTGCCATTTTTTGCTATCAATATCAATTCTTTGACGTTCTGTCAATTGCACAGCCAATAATGGGCATTTAATCAGAACCCTTGACGGTTTTGTTTAATAATTTACCTTTTGGAAAGCTTTAAAGAACACATAAAGGGGCGATCAATGATGAATTCGAGTCCGAAATGCGCTACGAAAAATAAACATTACAGGCAAACAATAATGAAAAACCAAATCAAACGGATGTCTGTCAATGTCAATTTACTTTTATTTATGATGCTGCTGAAAATGATTGGGAAATAGTCTGCCGTGAGTTGAGGATATACTCGTACATAAGTGCCGACAAAGTGTTGATATGGCTAATATTGATTTTGGCAGCTTCCTCCGATCAGGCGGCACAAATGCAAATGTCACAAAGCTGGATGTTTCGACTAAATCAATATGCCATAAGCCATAATCCATGTAGACAAGGCATACAGATAACAGCAAGTCAAAGGCGGCAATAAATCTGTGTGCATCGCTCGACACGCGTTGACATTAAAACGACACATAAGGAGGGCCAAGAGTGGCGCGGCAGTAAACAGGCTAAAAAAAGAAAATCTCAGACCAATCTTGCCGCTTAAATCAAGGGAAGGCCTATTAAAGCTCGACGGAGGAGTCCCGAAAATGGAACTCACAAAGTGATTTCATTGCAAATTGATGATAAAATATGCGTTGACCTACAACGCACACATGAAGAAATTTGCTAAAGAGACTTAGCCGTAAAATGCTCCATTTAGCTAGGTGCTGCATAATTTACAATTAACAAGTCCACGTTTTGTCGTCTGTTGTCACCGAGAAGCAAATGGATGGGAAACTAAGGATATAAGCCCGGCTAAACTCCATTTCATACAATATTTACAGCAGCAGCAGTGACAACGTTGCGTATGCTTTTTATTTTTATTTTGTTCAACCAAACTGCTGTTCCTGCTGCACAAGAATGTGCTGATTGATGGTATTTCCGGCGAAGACTAAGGATAATGCAATCCAAATACGAGTTTATTGTGAAATTGTATTTCCGAGAACTTTTAAAGGGCATTAAAGCGATGAGCTTCTAAGCCACCAAAGCTATAGTTTAAAGTTCAATCATTTTATTCATCTATTTTTTTTTTCCAAAGAAAAAAACTAATGCATATTTTGTAGTGAACTTTTGATGTTAATGGAAAATGGCTCGCAAAAAAAGGTGGTCCTGTGTGTCAGGGAAAAACGAAATCTAAATTGACACATATGTCAGGCGTGTCAAAGACTTGTAACGTTTATTGACAACATCCCGAAAGCCGTATAAAAATTCTGGTCATGTGTCCGTAGTTAATCCCAACCAGAACCGAACGACCGACCTGATGTGTGAAACTCAGCCAAATGCTAACGAGCGGAAAAAACAAGCCAGATGCCGGCGGAGAGGACAAGCTGATTAGCGGGTAAACAAAGCTCATTACAACTTACCTGTCGAATTGCAACGCGGTGAATGGGAGACAATGGCAATGTCAATGTCAATGCCAAATGTAATGGCCTGAAAGAATGGCACTCGGTTTCACTTGCACTCACTCACTCTCCGAATTACGTACACGCACCGTTGGCCGAATGGTAATGGTCGCCGTTTAATAATTGTTTATTGTTCACTGATTGTTTTTTCACTGTTTATTGCCACCCACCGAAGTGAATTGAATGGCTGTTTTTAATGGGCTTATAAGTCCGATTTCGGTAACCGCGAACGTGGCGATGGACGATGGGGAAAAAGTGAAGGAGCACGCCCACCAACGATGCGACTCGCGCGAACACAAAAAGCGAACTGAATGTGCCGGCGGAATTTCCATCCGACTTTTTAGCTGGCTGACTGATCAGCCGCCACGAAACTCGGGCACGAACTACTCGACACCGGGCACTCGACACTCCTGCTCCTTTTTTTCGGCTGCCACCCACATGTTGCTGCAACGCTCTGCGCAGGCACCGAAATTTTGGCGGGAAGTCTTGGCAACATGTTGCCACTGGCCACAAACCCTTCTGCCTGCTATGATGGCTATAACTATTACGATTATTGGCCGCAGAGCAATGAGGAAAGCCATCAACAGTGGGCCTACCGCAGAAATTAACAAATCGTAACGCAATTAAGCAGGCTGTAAATTCGCCAAGGTCACGTCTTCACACAGGGTCAATTATCATTTCGGCCGGCCTTAGCCATCATTAAATCACTGAAACGAGAAATTCATTGTGGTATTTTGGTTCAATACATTGCTGGAATGGGCCATCAGTTGTGAATTAGCAAAAGAGGGGATAGTAAGAATAAACTATTATTATTATTATTATTATTATCTAATGCTAACTTATAGTTAAAAACTATAACCTAACAATGGTTTCATTTTTAGAGCTATAGCAGCAACAGGCCTTAAGCTCGCTTTTTGTAGTTTAGCAGTTGTGATTATTATTTTTATTGTATTTTACAGATTTTTTATATCTTATATAGTATGTTGCAATTATTAAGGAAAAGTATAATTTTCTGGGTGTTGATTAAATTAGGATTTGAGATACTGTGGAGAGGGTCTTGGGAGTTGAACAATGCAGTTCGTTGGAGAGTAAGGGCGGGACAAGAGGTAAAAATATGGGTTAGGGTAATTGGGTTGTTGTTGCACATGGGGCAGATAGAGGAAAGGTTTATATCAATGTAATGCGCGTTGGTGAGCTTGGTGTGTCCAAGTCGTATTCTGTTGATGATAATTTGGTGTCTTCTATTCATTTCGTATTTGTGTGGGAATGTTGGGGGTTTTATAAGTTTGTACCAAGGAGAGGCTGTTTCCAAGGTGTCTATCAGTTCATTGTCTGAGCATTGTTTAAGGAGGCGAGCAATGTCAGTAAAGTTGTAGTTAGGGGTGTATATAAGGGGGGATTGAAGGGTAAGTTTGGCAAATGAGTCAGCAGTTTCGTTACCTTTTATTCCTATGTGGCTAGGAATCCAAATAAGGCTTATTTTTGGGAAGTTTTTGGTTAGGATGTTTCTTATTGATGTTATATAGTAGGAGTGTTTATTGTGGTTTTTAATCGAGTTAAGGGAGGAGAGGGAGTCAGTGCAGATTGCGTGTTTTCCAGACTTTCTTTGACAAAGTTTTGTGGCTTCTAGGATGGCAATGATCTCGCTCGTGTAGGAGGAAGAGTACATTGGAAGTAGACCGGATTTTAAAAGGTTATTTTCATCGGTAATACTGAATCCAGATATACCATCAGCCTTAGAACCGTCAGTATATACAAAATTGTGTTGTGGGTATGAGGATTGTAAGGACCTGAAAAGTTGTTGGTAGGTTGTTGCAGGGGTATTTTGTTTATTATGAGATGACAGAATAGTATCTATAGCTTTATGTATGGTTGGCATATTAAATTTATTACATTTACTGGTTCGGATAGGAGAAACGGGAAGAGATAGATGGTTGCATGTTTTGATTATTCTGTCTATGGTACTAGGGTATTTGTATATTCTTTTGTGTGGCTTTATTAGTTTAGTTATATGGGTGTCGTGGGCGAAAAGGATATTTTTACTTAATTTGGCTGTAAGGAAGTTTCGTTTTTGTTCTATTGTGTTTGTTTTAGATTCTAGTAGTAAGTTGTTTACTGGAGTGGTTCGATAGGCTCCCATGGCTGATCTTAGAGCTGCATTTATTATTGTTTTTAAGCAGTTTAATTTAGATTTGGGAGAATACCCGTAAATAGGCAGGCAAAAATCGATTTTTGAAATAAGGATAGATTTAATAGTATTGATAAGAGTGGATGTGTTACAGTTATATTTAAGGGAAGAGAGATGTTTGATGATATTTAAAGGTTTTAATAGTTCTGTTTTTAATTTTGAAATATGGTTGGACCAGGTGTATTTGTTGTTAATAGTAAGACCTAGTATTCTGAGGGAGTTGGTATTGGGAAATTTTGTGTCGCCTGTAAGGATATTGGCAGAACAGTTATGTTTTCTGCATATATGAAGAACTTGGCATTTTTCTTTCGATAGGATTGATCCTGAGTAAGTACACCAGTCGTCTATTTGAGAAAACAGGGTTTGAAGGTTGGAAGTGGGGTTTTTTTGTTTATTGTGTTCGATTATAAGATGGAAGTCATCGGCGTAAGCTGTTAGTTTTATTTCTTTGTGTACGGAGATAATATTGGAGAGTGCGTTGTAAGCTATAAGAAAGAGAATTACTGAGATTGGAGACCCCTGGGGGATGCCATTATTGAGTGGGAAAATGTTTGAAAGGTTGTTGCCGGATTTAATAATTATCTTTCTGTTTGTCATAAAGTTAAGGACGTAATTTAATATGCGTTTGCCAATTTTCCATTCCTTCAGCTGGTTAATTACGGAGTGTATGCCAATTTTATCAAATGCCTTGTTGAAATCAAGAGAGATCAATGTGATGTGTTTCTTGAGGGAGAGGGATCTAGTTGCTATGTGGTCTACTAAAAGTAGACTGTCTATGACAGATCTTCCCCTTCTAAATCCAATCTGATGGCTGTTGATTAGATTGTTATTTAAAACAAACCACCACAGTCTCTTGGCGATAATTTTATCAAGTGTTTTGGCGAGGCATGAGTTTAGGGATATAGGACGGTACGATTTTAGGTCTGTTTTAAGTTTTTGGGGTTTTAGAATAGGAAGTACTAGGCTATGTTTGTAGGCTTGGGGGATTGAGGAATCTAGGATTGAGTTAAAGTGGTTAAGGACTCTATGTTTGAATGATATAGGGGAGTTGTTGATCATAATGTAAGAGATGCGATCTAAGCCAGGAGTTTTGCCTTTCAGGGAGTTGAGTGCGCTGCTGAATTCAATGAATGAAATGTCCTTTTCTATTTCGAGTGCAGAATTGGAGGGTTGGTAGTCTATGGTGGGGTTTAAGAGAGATTTGTTAGTGCGAAAAGTTGGAGAAAAGTTACTGTCGTCGCCTTCTTTGGACCAGGCAAGTCCAAAGGAGTTAGCAATTTCGCTTTGGGATGTTCTGGGGGTGGGGAAGGAAGGGTCGTTAATGCAATGTATATGCTTTGAGGGGTAAAAACCGCAAAGCCGCCTGATGTTGGACCATGTTCTAGCTGGAGATGAGAAGGGGCTAATATCAGAAGTGAAATTGAAAGTAGAGATGCGTTTGGCTTCTCTAACTGCTTTTTTTAGTTTCGCGTTGGCTTTTTTGTATTCAATTGTATTATAAGTAGTAATGTTGCGCTTTAATATAGACCACTTAGACGCTTTGGCTTTCTTCAAAATTGATAAGTTTTGATTCCACCAAGGGACTGTTCTAGGAAATTGAAAAGTAGTGTTCTGGGGGATAGATTGGTGCGCGCTTTGGATAATAATTTTTCTTAACATAGCTGCTTCTTTATTGACATTTTCGCTTGGAGGCTTGTCAGTAGAATTGTATCGAAAAGATTTTTTGTATGCTTCCCAGTTTGCTTTTTTTAGGTTAAAGGAGGGTTTGGAGGTGTAGGATGAGGGGGAGGTATTAAGGTTCATTGAGATTAAAATAGGGAGGTGATCACTACCGTAGAGGTCGTCTATTGTTTCCCAGAGAAATTCTGGGGCTATATTGGATGAAGAAAAGGATAAGTCTATATGTGTGAAAGAGTTGTGTGTGGAGAAGTGGGTGGGACTTTTGTCGTTTAATAAGATGTAATCTGAACGGTCTAGGAATTTGGCAATAATATTGCCTCTGGCATTAGGGCTAGGTGAGCCCCAGTAGGGGTGCCAGCTGTTAAAGTCTCCGAGGACTAACGTGGGAGTGTTGTCGAAACAGAGGACGTTTTCTAAGTTATTTCTGTTAAAGGGCTTGGTTGGTGAAATGTAGGCTGATATTATGTTTAGTTTAAGTTTAGTGTCTATTGAGACTCCAGTTGCTTCGAAGTCTTGGGTGATTGAGATTTGTCTTTGAGATATTGAGTTATGTATCAGGAGTGCTGCGCCCCCGTAAGAGTTGGAGCAGCATTGTTGGTAGAGTGTGTAGTTAATGGGAATGGGTAGAGAGTTAAAGTTGGTTATGTGTGTTTCTTGTAGGGCAAGGATTAGGGGGTTAAAGGTCTTGATCAGGGATTGGAGTTCGATGTAGTTATTTCTATATCCATGGATGTTCCATTGAATAATTTTAAGCATTAAATGTAAGGGGAAGGAGTATTACTTAGTACTAGTTTGAGCGATTAGTTTTTAAAGTTCAATAACAATAATAAACTAAAAAAGAAAACTATTTAAAGCTCTTCTTCAGAGCTATTGCGATTGGCTAATTTGCTTAATTCGTTTGCTAATTTTGATGTGTTTATGGGCTTAGATTTGTCAGATTTGTCTTTAGCCTTGAGGGAGGGTTTGGAAATTACATTTGATTTATCTTTAGTTTGGCTTCTAAGCTTACGATCGGATTCAAGGGTTGTATTTTTAGAGCGGGTAGCGGTGACTTCTGCGGAGGTTTCAGTATCCATATGTTCGATGCCGGGGTTTGTTGTTTGCTTGATGAGTTTGGACGAAGTGCTGGGTAGTGGATTGATAATGTCGTTGTAGTTCCTTATTTCACGGTTGGTGTTAGTGTTGGTGCCTTCGGTGCTGGCAGTCTTTGGAGCTTGGTTTTCTGTGATTGTAGGTTTTTCGGAGGATGCTATCTTGGAGTACGGGGTAGATTGGTGGGTGTGGCGCGTGTGATAGATTTTTGTGGCGGTTTTGTAGTCGACTTTTTGTAGTGTTTTAATTGTTATTATTTCTTTTTGTTTAATGAAGGCTGGGCATGTTTTATCTAGGGGACTGTGGTTGTATTCGTTGTTAATGTCGTTTTTGCAGTTTATGCAAAACTTGGGTTTGTCGCATTCAGTGTCGTCTGGCGTGTGTACTTCTCCTGAGCAGTTGCTGCAGGCTTTGGTGGGGGTCCTGCAGGCTTTCGTGGGGTGTCCAAACCTGAGGCAGTTGCGGCATTTTAATGGGCGTGGAATATGTGGACGAACTCTTATTCTTTCCCATCCTATCATTATGGTATCCGGGAGAAACGTTGAAGAGAAGGTGACAATTACGAGTCCAGACTCTTGGAGAATGTTGTTCTTTTTGATGAAGATTTTTTCAACATTGTTGACCCTTTGAAGCTTAAGCTCGTTTAATATATCAGCTTCGTCTACATGCCGTAGTTCATTTGAGTATATTACTCCTTTCGAGGAGTTTAAAATTTCATGTATAGTGACTTTTACAGTGAAGTTGTGGAAATTGGAGAGTTTTAGCAGTTTTACTGCCTGTGCTGAACTTTTGGTTTTAACTAATAGGGTTCCGTTTCTGGTTTTAGTGCATGTTTCAATTTCTCCGCCGCAGGTGAATTCAATAACTCTTTTTATTATGAATATCGAAACTTTTTCAAAAGTCTCGTTATCTGTTCTGGAGATTATGAGGAACTTCGGGTCAAGAGTTGTTGTTTTATTACCCAGTGCAGGGTAATCTAGATCAGGTGGTCGATTCATTGTTATTGTGCTTGGGCTGTCGCCCGTTGCACAGAGCACTTTTGTAGCGGTTTTGCTGTGATAGTTGTTCTTGGGTTTTTTTGAAATCTTCTTTACGCACTTGTTTGTTTTTGCCAAAATTGGTAGAACTTTGTTTTTGTAACTGATGGTACTCGCGAAGTTCTGCCGATAGCACGTCTTTACTCAATGAGGTTTGGACTGGTACTGAAGAATAAACTAATTTCAGATAATTTTATTTGGAGAGAGCTAATAATTTTCTCAATGCATAGACTAAGAAAGAATAGAATAAATGTTTGCACTAGTCAATGGAATGTTATTGGCTAAATAAATTATAGCCTTTAAGGCCTCACAAAATATTCTAAAGAATTCAGTAAATAAAATAAGCAATTGTTTTCTTTAAATTCGATTTTTATTAACTAGACAGCTTTAATAAAACAAATGTAACAAGTTTTACAAACGAACAAACAACGAGATGTGCATGTGGGGGGGTGTGGCACGTGTGCATGTGTGAATTGGGAACGGGGACTGGGAATGAAGTCGCCTCCAATGGACATTCGACTATGACAAACTGTGAAATTCGCTACTGCATCTCGATTCAGAGACTTCACTTCAGCTTCTTGAGGAAGAAGCGGTTGGGAGGACCGTAGCTGGTGGCGGGGATGTGCGAGGGAGCCAGTCGCTGCTCGGGCTGCTCCTCCACGACGATGGGCGCCATCGAGGGCTCTTCGACGGCCAAAGCAGCGGGAGCGGTGGCGGGGGGGCAGGTACTGGTTGGCGGGAGCGGACAACGTGGTCGAGACCTCCTCGCCCGTGTACGCGGCAGCTGTGGGTGGACCATAGACCGACGAGGGAACGGCTGGCTGCTCCACTTCCGGCTCGGGAGCCAAGGTGGTGGGGGGCAGGACATCGGAAACCTCGGCCAGAGGAGCAAAGTCCTCGGCGGTCGCCTGGCGTGGCTCCATCTCCGCTGGCGGGGGTCCGTAGACGGGAGCCTCCTCCTTCTTGGTCTTGTACTTGATGAAGTACACCTCCGGCTTCGATGGCTTCGTGGGCGGCGGCGTGGGGATCACGATGTCCTGCTCCTGCTCCGGCTTCTTGTGCAGCACGTAGATCAGGGTCTTCTCCTCGTTCTGAGGTGGTGGTGGGACCACTGGCTGGCGGATCGCGGGAGCGGATGGCGCCTTGATGAACACGATCTTATAGTGCTTCTGCTTGGGTCCCTGCTGGTGGTGGACTCGCGTCTGGATGGCGTCCTCCTCCTCGAAGTCCTTGGGCGGCACATGGACGTAGATGTGCTTGTGCACCTTGGTCTCCTGGGGCGCGTTGTTGTATCCGCTGGCGTGCTGAACTCCGGACAGGCGGTGGGCCATGTTGTAGCTGTCGTCGTAGGCACTCAGTGGCTCAGCGGCGGCGGCGGCAGTGGGAGCCACCTGCTCGATGGCCTCCAGATGCATCTGGGGCGGCAGGTAGGTCTGCTGGGGAGCCGCGAAGTTGGCGAACGACTGCTCCTGGGGCAGCGGTTGGTAGATCTGCGGGGGCACGGGGTGAGCTAAGAGAAGGAGAGAGATTGAAAAAGGTTAACAAATGGTAAAATAGAACCGAATCAAACAAAAAGATTCTAGGAAATGCTAGTATTTATTTTTTTGATTGCAAAAAAAGATAACAAAATTTTAATACAATTACTTTAAGAAGGTTGAAACAGAAACAAATAAAAAAAACACATTTTGAAAAGATTTAACTTTGCCAAAAAACTATTTAAAATATGAATATCCCAATTACATGACATAATCTTTAAACAGTTTTGTTCACCTTTACATTTCTTATTGATAACTTTACTTAAAATGTCACAAATTTAAATGGCTTGCAATTTAAATGGCTGACTAATATTCCTTTTTATTCCCCGAGCACTCACCATTTAGAGGCAAAGCCCGCTGGCTCTGCTGCTGGGGTAATCCGTGGTAGGCATAGGGGGATGGGGGCTCAGGACGAGCCAAAGTGGTGGCCACTAGGGAGGCCACGCACACCACGAACAGCGACGAAACACGCATGGCTATAGCTCCTGTTAGTCGAAAGTCCTTGCTGCTAAATAAACCCGTAATCCTTTGGCTCGATGGAGTGCTGCGATGGAGAAGCTCGCTGCTCGACTGATGCTGAGTTGGTCGCCGCGGCCCGAATTTATATGATTCGATGTCCGGCGCTGAGTGCTTGAAATCTCATTACAAAAGGTAAACGAAAAAATGAATTTAATTATGCTTCAAAAGAGACCCGAAGAGCGGCGGATGAACTTGGCCGAAAGCGAAGACACAGATACGGATGCAGAGAGGAGTCGGCGACACGTATCTTTCAGATGTTCACAAGCGAGAAATTGGAGCAAACCCGGCTGCAAATCCAATCTCGCAGGAGGGGGCAGCCAGCCCATAGTACTAAATCAACGCCCTGGGCCCCCGCCAATAATGTTTGCCCAAATCGTTTTGTGTAACACCCTCGTCCGGGTATCTCATAACTTTTATCTCGAATCTTGTATCTCGTACCTGGCATCTCTCATCTGTGAGATGCAGCAGCCGCAACCTTCGGCGGAGTTCGCCAAGTGTTATTTTCACAATTGGAGCGCACTTAAATCGCTGGCTCGGAATCGAAAGTGACCCACGATTACCCACTCGACCGGGTCCCATTGATGAAGTTCATTCATGTGACGCCTCGAGGAACTCGTTTGTCCAGTTTGGACTTCCTCGCAAGCCGGGTCAAGTGATTCCCCGGCGGTCCAGCCATCAGATAATCCACTGACTCACAGGATTAGCCAGGGAAATACAAAACAGACAACGGAAGTACAATAAAAGCTTATCAAAGTAGTTTTAGAATGCCTAAACTAATTTTTACTTTGAGCTTAGCAAGCAAATTCTGTATGGTTTTTAGGTCTTCAAGTTTCTAAAATATATATTTCTTTGATGAAGGTTTTTTCAAAGTGTATTCTTAACATCTCAACCATTGCATTTATCACAATAGTAACACATAATTATGTACTGTATTTTCCAAACAAACACTCAAGGCATTCTGAGCCACAACAAATTTCTTGATAAAGCTAAAAATACACCAAGTCATCTCACCAAAAAAAAACACAATAACGAAGGGCTTTTCAAGGCCAGTTCATAATTTCCCCCAACTGTCAACCGTGGACGGCGAACACTTTCAACACCTACGACAACAATTACGAAACAATCGTAACAAAATCAAAATCAATTTTCAAATTGAAGCAGACATTAACCGTCGAAAACGAAATCGAAACAATAAGCAATAAAACAAAACAGCAGCTACCCAAATAAAGTGAATAGCGAGCGGCGTTTAATTGGATTTGGTGCACACGGCGAGGGATTGGAGGCAAATAGAGCCGCGGTGACCGATGTAAGCCGAGTCGAGACACTTGTCCACTTGCTGTCCACACACAGAAACCATTAATCGTAATTGCAGCCGACGCATCTCGACGCAGTGAGATGGAGAAATGTCGAGTGCCTGTTTGGACACATGTAGCTTATGGCCACGAGAAGCTGGGGGATTGGGGCTTTACGTCACCGATCGAATCGATCGGAAATTGGTGCACTTGGCCACCGAAGAAGAAGCCCGACGAGTCAGTCGATGACGACGGAAGAAGGCTGAACTCCAAGCAAAATCAGGGATGCCAAAGTTCCACCAAACGTTCACAGTAAGGATCGCACTTAACTTTTCATAATTAAAATAAAATGCATTTTTAATATGAAACAATAAAACAAAAAGCTATCCAAATATTAATATTTTTAATATACATATATATACATATTTCTTGCTGAAATACATTAATTTGTTACTACCAATCCAGTTTGGTAATTAAAAATCCCCCTAACCACAAATTATATATTTTTCCATCCCTGACAAAGAGAAAGAGCGAGAAAGACCAAAAGGAGCTGCCGCAGATTGTGTCATCGACTATTCGAAATTGGTGAAAACGAGGTCAACAGTGCAGTAGCACGTCCATCGAGGAGTTATTGATTCGCGCCGATCTCCTGCCCTTCCTATCTTGGCATTGGCTTTGTCTGCTTCTCGGTGCCCTTCACTCGGATCGAAATCCATTGACATTGCCGGGGAGTTTGGGGGGAGTTTCCATTGAGGCAGCTTAAAATAGACGGAGCGACCTGGGATGCGCCACTTGACTTGCCACTTGTTGCACTCAAGTGCCACGAATAGCAAAAGCCAAAGAAGCAGTACAACGGCAAACACGAAGGGGCAGAAGCTTTGGGGCTTTGTCATTGAGATGTGAACCCACAAGTCGATTAGTTGGCCATTGGCAGTGGAGAGGCGCATTCCATCGCCGAAGAATGCGTAGGTCACTTGGCTCTAAGCACGGAGTAAAAGCAGCTACGAACCTTGTGGTAAGTGGGTATGTTGATATGGATAGGAGGTCTAAATTTAGTTAACTCTTTTTTAAATACTTTTATTCCAGGTTTCTTAAAAGTATTTTTACACTGATTACATTAAGCTCAAAATAATACAAAACCATTTCGTACCCCAAACTTCAAATTAAGGAAATCCCTAATAATTTGACTTCCATATAAATGATTTAATGAATTCCCAGAAATGCTTGACTACCAAATTAAATAATTTTATTACACTCCATGGCGAGTGTATTTTTACTTTTACCACAACCACCGCAAATGAGAAGGCAACGTAAAGAAAACATGCAAATCATGCTCCAAAATGTTTATAAAAAAATCGCGAGCAAATGTTATATATTAAACTGGGGCTTCATCCCACACTCCGTAAATCATGACAAATAGCAAATGAATGTGATCCTATGCCTTCCCATTCCCGTCGTTATTAATAGGTTGACAAATTGTTCGGCCAAGTGACTTAATAGCTGGCCCGGAGGAGCATAACGATAATGATTATAGCGATCGGCGGCGTCGATTATCTCGTTAATTAGAGGGGACAGACAAGCTAAACGCTTTTGCACCACTTGCCATTCCGCCCATCAAGGTCATTCGATTTTAGCACAATTATCGCGGCCCTTATCCCAGCCCATCATCATCGCCTCCGTTTTTATGTAACTCACTTACAACCTGTGGGAAGTAATTAAAACTGGAGCAGCTCGAGTACTTTTTTATTTAGGTGGGTGACTGCCGGTGGGCTGAGTTCCTATGGAAATGTTAATAAGGCTAATACCAGTTTTGGCCAACAATTTAGACCGTGCACCGAAAGGAAGGAAATAAATTGGATTGACTAAAGTATTTCTCCTGTTTATATATATAAAATTAAGAGCTGCGAATTAGTCATAAAAGTTGCTGGTAAAAATACAATTTAATTACTGGTTTTACCGCGAGTTTTATGACCTTAGGAATTAATGGATGTTTTCTTGATTAGAAGGATATTTCAGGTATTTTCAGTGGGTGGGAGACTCTAAATAAAACCCAAGTTTATTATAGTTTCGGAGTATTGTAATGCAGGATAATCGGGCTAGACAAGATCCCGATACTCAAAGACAGCTGATTTAATTTGTTAGTGGACTTTCCCGCCCTTCGACGTCAAAGCCTAACCAAATGAAGCCCACTTGCGATGGAACAATTGTATTCAACATGCGGCCAAATATTGACATTGAATTATAATGCCCATTGAAACACAGAGCAATGAAAGGCCTATATATAGAGTCTCACACATGATTATTGCCGGCCTAAAGTATAGTGTAAGCAGAGGAAAAAATAACATGGTTACCGAACAAAGGTAAGTGGCAAGTTTTTTGTCACTGGTCAAAATGTTTTGTGGCTAATGAAGGGTAAAGGGCTTCCTCGGGGGGTCGGAAAAAGCTGGCAGCATACATCGAAATCGATTTTACCGCTCTCAGATACGCAAAAGTATCCGAGTATCTGCACATCTGCCGGTTTCATTGATTTAAGTGCCCGGCTAAATGCTGTGAGCCGCAATTTGTATCTCGTGCTTTGTTTATTTACGCTGTCATCTCCTATTGTTTGGCACTAGTTTGCCCAGCCCCCAGCCTCCAGTTTCCAATTTGTTAGCCATTTGCAGTCAATCGCATTGTGGTAAGTAACAAATTCGCTTGTCAGGCCGCTTTGGTATTTCCATTTGCCTTTTCATTTCGGCTCTTTAGTGGGCCGTCATCTCTGTTTGCTGGCCAACTAGCAATTAAAATCGTATTTACCAGCACTTTGCCATTGTGGAGCACTTATCGCACGACTTGCACTTGACCAATTCCGATTTGAAGAGGTTAAAGCCAGTCGAAGGACTAGCCCCTAAATGGCCGTTACTAAATGTTGTGTCGTATTAAGCCCACTTGTCGTATACTCGATGTGCGATCATAGTCGCCAGCTGGCGCCATCTACATGTCATCCAACTTGATAGCTTATCACCCGCGTCTTTCTTCTTCTTTCGCCTTGAACGCGTTCAGGCGATGAAAAAAAACATCAGATGAGAAAAAAAGCTTTGCAGAAGCCAAACAAAGCCAAACGCAAACAAAGGCGGTCTGGGACTTCAACTTTACAATACCCCTTAGTCAAAAAGTTGTAGTTAGAAAATTTTTCGTTTGGAGGGTCTTATTAATGCCTGAAAACCTAGAAAAAAAAATTCATTAAAGTAATTTTCTTGTCTATAAAATAATTTAAGCTTATAAATCAAAGGTGCCTCCGTTGATATTTGTTACAAATTTATCTACAAAAGAATAGTCCCATTAAACGAACAGGGTACTAACGAATTTTAAAGAGACAACCTAAAGACAGAAGCATTCGGCCACCGACTGCAGCAAAGTCGGGCATTCATTTCAGTTGCTCACGAGAAGATCGCCGGTGAGGTATCCGAAGCAACACTCACTCTCTCGTTAACCACGTTTACGATATATCTCACAGCCATGCAAACGCCAGAAAACAACGACAATCAAGTAAGAAAAATAAGGCTTATCTGACCGAGATTACAAAACGTATCTCATACTTTTCGTTTACTTGTTTAGCTTATTTTGGTGCAACAGAATTTACGAACGCTGCCTCAGGAATTAGTTAGGAGCCATGCTGATCATGTTGAGCACTTGGATCTAAGCCACAACTGCCTGAAGGATCTTTCCTGGCTGGGGGAGTTCGAGCATTTGCGTCATTTGGTCCTGGACAGTAATCGAATGCATGAGGCTCATCTGAGGACATTGACGCGACCCCTGCCACAACTGGAAATACTGATGCTGAACAAAAATGAGGTGGGTAATAGAATTATTCGCCAAATATTGTAATTAACGTTCTATAGAGCCTTATCAAAAGAATATGTTTGATTTCAGTTCAGTGACTTGCCAACGACAATTCGGCTGATCAGGAGGTTCTTTCCCAATTTGGAATACTTGAGCCTACATGGCAATCCCATCTGCCCTGATGGCCTGGAACTGCAGCCGTTCTCTAGTTACTTGCGATACGACTACGAGTACTACAGGTGGGTCTGCTGCAGTATTGAACCTTCTATGCTTAGCTCTCCTTCTGTTTTAGTAATTACATTGCACAGTCACTGAGCAAACTGAAATTCCTGGATCATGGGCTGGTTCAACGCACCTACCAGTACGAAAGTTTTCCACTCAAAAGTTATGCTGGAAAGCAACTGATCCAAACAACAAGTTTCTGAAGTATCAGATAATATTATGAACATTATGTATATAAGATATCAAATGAATTATTTCTATTAAAAACAAGTCTATTTACCAAGAATTTTTTTCTATTTTTTACTACATTTTTACATACTTTTTAACAGTAAAATTATTTTCAAAAAGCTATATATCTTACGTATTGTTATTAACAATTTCTACATAGTCAAGACACCAACCGCTACCAAAAGCTTGAATTTGTACAATACGAATAAGTGGCCAAAACGAATCAGTGATAAAGTCACCCCCAAAAGGATATTTCATTTAAGCTTAAAACATAGCTAAATGCCCTGCACGCCATTAAAGTTATTAGTTAATATACATATAAATCCTATAAAAACGAACACCAAAAAAATTATTATTAGCAATTTCATTGGACAAATTAAAGATTTAAAAATCTTTAAACCAAAGCTATGAAATCATCAATGGACGATTTATATTAATAGTAGGGTGCATATCAAAATATATACTTGTCCCAGCCGGCCGGCATAAGCCAGAGATAATTCAGAGTGCCAAGACCACAAGCAAAGCAAAAAGGTGATAGACGGGAGAGCAAAAACAAATCGCTGATAGCCAGTTATCGGTGTCTATATAAAGCGGCATCTGGCAGAAATTCAATTTCAGTTTCGCGACGACTTCCAGCCAGCCGGATTCTTTTCTCAATTCCAGTTCTTGAAAGCAAATATATATCGCTCAATATGGCCGATCCCAACGTCAAGCCCAAGTACACAAAAGTAAGTATATTTATTGTGTTGCCAGCTGCATACTAAATAATATGAGATGCACCTTAGCAATTGCACATTAGATGCATTTAATATTACAAATAGGCAGCCTCAACTTAAGAATTTTCCAATTAAGGTCCACTAAAAACTTGTTTGTGTTCGTGTTGCAATTTGCAAATATTTGTTTTTTTGCGACTACTGACCTCCTTTTGCATACTATACATACATATGTACCTACAAATATGTTATGTTTTTGGAAAAAAAAAAACAACTATTTGTTTGTTCTTAAATACAGGGTGATCCGCTTGTTATCAGCAGTTGTTGAACGTAAAATAAACAAATCTAACAAAAGTAAGGCTATAATAATTATGAGGTCTTCTAAGCAGATAAGGCAAACCTTTAGAAGGTCCAAAATGAACTGGCGATTCTTTCGATATGGATGAGACTTTGAAACTTAAACACATGTTGGCAGGCTTAGTAGCTAAATCTTTAAATAAGAGAAAATAACAAATTCAAAAGGGTAAAACAAAAACTATTAATAAAGTAATTTTATAATATTTCTCTTTAGTTGCCTGTAGTTAACGCTGTTTCCAATTGAGTACTTTACTTGACTGGTTTATCTCGAAGTTGACAGGGCTTATCGCTCAACGAACTATTACAATTCTGTATTACACTGAAACGACTTCAGTTTGTTGTCAAATGTTTCGTTTTGTTCATAAACTCGACAATTTTAAATCGTGACTGGTAGAACACTTAACGTTGTTTATGTACATTGTCGCGTGTTCCCTGCAAATTAAAATGGGCCAATTGAACGCCTGATAACTTGTTTACGCAGATAAGCAATGGCAAACAAACTGGGCTAATAATAATGCACAAATTGCACAAATTGCTGGCACAACAGCCAATTTGTTTAAGGATGAGATTAAATCATAACTTTGCACACTGCGAACCCAATTTTTGTAAGGTGGGGCGGATTCTGGGTTACAAATATTAGTTACTAGCATTTTATTTATCATCATATTCTATTAAATTTATTTATAGCTCTTCATCAACAATGAGTTTGTTGACTCGGTGTCGGGCAAGACCTTTGCCACTTTCAATCCGGCTACTTCGAAGGAGATTGTTAAAGTCTCCGAGGGAGATAAGGTAAGTGCAGTATTTTTGCCAGTAATTGAATTTGATTTTATTGCCCTTACAAAAGGTGTCATGATTAAGAAACCCGCCTGGAAACACAACTCTTATCAATCGTATCTTAAGTTTCATATCAAGATTATATTTATTTCGAATATTATCTAGGCTGACGTTGATCTGGCTGTGATTGCGGCCAAGAAAGCCTTTCATCGCGACTCGGAATGGCGCAAGTTGAGTCCTCTGCAGCGCACCAACCTGATCAACAAGTAAGCTTATTACTTAACCTTTCTTTGAAAAAACTCTTAGTAATCCTCTACAGACTCTGTGCCCTGATGGACCGGGACAAGGCCTTCCTGGCCAGTTTGGAGACCCAGGACAATGGCAAGCCCTACGCAGAGGCCCTCTTCGATGTGACCTACTCGATGTTGACCCTGCAGTACTATGCCGGCTGGACCGACAAGTTCTTCGGCGACACCATTCCCGCCGGGGGATTCACCTCGATGACGCGCAAGGAACCGGTGGGCGTGGTGGGCCAGATCATTCCCTGGAACTACCCCCTGCTGATGCTGGCCTGGAAGTGGGGACCTGCACTGGCTGTTGGCTGCACCATCATCATGAAGCCCGCTGAGCAAACGCCGCTGACCGCTCTTCACATGGCCGCTCTGGCCAAGGAAGCTGGTTTCCCGGCCGGAGTTATCAACGTGGTCAACGGATTTGGACCCACTGCAGGAGCGGCCATCAGTGAGCATCCCGATATCGCCAAGGTGGCTTTCACCGGATCCGTGGACATCGGAAGGATTATCATGCAGGCTGCTGCGAGGACGAACCTCAAGAGGGTTTCCCTCGAACTGGGCGGCAAGAGTCCCGTGGTAGTCTTCGATGATGCAGATAGTGAGTGGCTTTTTCTCATCGAATATTTTTCAGAAATAATCCCTGATTTTCTCCATTAGTTGACTTTGCGGTGGAGACTACACACGAAGCTTTGTTTTCCAATCACGGACAGAGTTGCTGTGCCGGCAGTCGAACCTACGTTCACGAGAAGATCTACGATCAGTTTGTGGCCAAGGCTGCTGCCAAGGCAAAGGCCCGCAAGGTGGGAAATCCCTTCGAGGAGAACGTCCAGCAGGGTCCGCAGATCGACAACGATATGCTGACCAAGGTTCTGGGCTACATTGAAAGTGGCAAGAAGGAAGGTGCCAAGTTGCAGGCTGGTGGTAACAGGATCGGCAATGTGGGTTACTTTGTGGAGCCCACTGTTTTCTCGGATGTGAAGGATGACATGCGAATTGCCCAGGAGGAGGTGATTACTGCTTACTAACTTCAAGGTTGCATACTTTATCCTTATTATTCCCTTAACATCTGTAGATCTTTGGCCCCGTGCAATCCATCTTCAAGTTCAGCACTCTGGAGGAGATGATCGATCGGGCCAACAATGTGCAATATGGCCTTGCCGCCGGCGTTATTACCAATGACATCAACAAGGCCATGAAGTTCGCCAATAATGTTGATGCTGGATCCGTGTGGATCAACTGCTATGATGCCGTGCTGCCCTCCACTCCCTTCGGTGGATACAAGCACTCTGGAATCGGTCGTGAACTGGGCAAGGACGGACTGGACAACTACTTGGAAACCAAGACCATCACCATGAAACTGCTTTAAGCTGGAACTTGAAGGATTTCTGTTTCGTATACACAATATTTGTATTTTATTTGCACTTATTTTCGGTTCGTCAGCGGTTAGACTATTGCATTTTAAATAAAACTCTTTGATCAAAGTTATAAAATTATCGAGGGGATCGACTGGAAAATGGAGCTTAAACTCAAAGGCGGGATTGCATCTTGAGTATAGCTTTATTTTAGTAGGCCCGAAAGTATGCAAACATTATTGTTCAATTAATATCGTTCAACACTAATATTTAATAGGATTTTGTTAACCCTTGATTAAGCCACATTCGGATATTCGATTTCGAGGCACGAGTTCGCTAAACTAAGACAGTGAAAAATATCAATTAAATATCGAGGGGTCTTCCCCTCTTAAGCCTATTCTAAAATCCAGTTTAGTTAAGATAATATTCCTTAGGCATCATTTGCTAAACACTAACACTTCGTATAAAAATAAACCTGAGATTGCTGATCAGCTGGCCGGCCGTGGGATTAGGCCAAGCTCGTTGGCGGGATCTGCGACTGGCTCTGCACCTCCAGAAGTGGCACTGCGAGATCGCTCAAACGCGACCTGGCACTCTGATAGTCATCCTCCGATCTGGGCCTCATCTGCAGCTGGTGCTGCGGACTGCTCTGCTGCACCACCTCCGTGTAAACTGGCTGAATCTGAGCCTGGGGAGCCCCGAACCTTCCATTATCGAACATCTCATCGATGTCCACCAGCTGGAAGTCCACGGCGAACACGAATCGCAGTACCATGACCAGCAGAGCCACGATCCACAGCACCATTCCGATCACGTAGCTGCAGCGGAAGAGCTCCAGATAGGTATCGTGGGACACATTGTGATCGTGGACGACGGGACGCAGCAGGGCGATGGCATCGCCACAACTGATGGCAGTGGGATCGGTGAGCTCCTTCCTCAGTTCGCCACACAACCGCTTGAGATGACCATTGGTCAAAATGGTGTATATAACGCTGCCCAGACTCATCAACGAGAAGATCAAGATAGAGGGCACCACAATGCGCCAGGGTTTCGGCAAAACTCTGAAGAAAATTATATTAAGATTAGGTTGGTAAAAAAATTGACTTTTTTTAGTGTGTTAAGAAACTTACGAACTCTTTTTGCTGCCGGTCTGAAAGATCAGACACATGGCTGTCCAGATAATGGCCACAATCTCTGATATAACTGGAAATGCATACACAAACTGAGCGCCAATGCTGCGATTCCAATAAGTGGCATGAATATCGATGGACTCTTAAAATATAAAAACTTATATAATGACAAATATGTATTAGTTTTTTATTTGCATTACTTGTGCTCAAGAACTGGCGATCCGCCTCAGCATTGAAGGTTATCTTTTGTGTGGGAGGCGTCGTGGTCGTGACCTTTTCCTCCTTCTTTTCAGCTATGAGACGCTCCAATTTGGGTCGGTTCTCGATTGAATCATAAATATGCGGTATTTTAAACGTTTGCTTTGTGGTTTCTGGGAATAAAACTCATTTTTCTCATGATGTAGTATAGTTATATTATTATCTTACGGCTCTCGCTTTGCAGTGATTCTGGGGTGACATCCTGCACAGAGTACTTTTGGCCATAGGCATTCTGGGTGGCAGCAATAAAGTCCCGATGGAGAATCTGCTTACTGCGATCATTCATTTGATCGAAGTTTCGATCCCGGAAGATAAGTTTGGCACTGACTATTCCCTCGTACAGATCCCCCGATATCATATGCAGTGAAATACTCCACAGAATGGAGAATATTGCTATGAAGACCATCAGACATATTACGGTGTCTAAGTCGATAAAAAGAAAAACAAAAGGAAAGTTTTTAATTAACAAAAATTTTTGTTAGACTTTCCCCTTTAAAATCTGGTAATTAAATTCTTCAATAATGAAATCATAAAAAACAGCCTCTGCCATATTTTAGCATTACCAACATGTTCTATCAAACAGACCGCTGACAAATTTAAATTCGAAATTAATAGTTCGCACAGCTACATATAGACAATCAACTGTTTATGGATCTGACAGGAGCCATAGATCAAGTAATCGCACTGTTGCGTACTATAAATTACGATATTATGAGAATGGAAAACTCTGGTGCTTGAAGGTTAGCCATTCGATAATTTATTGCTTTCTAGTTGTGTTCGGGTTGCGTTTGCTGGGTTTGTTTGTTTCGTGTAAGAAGCCGCTAACTTACGAGTCTCCGAATATTAACGTTTCTGTGCGAGCTTATACCGGAGGTATGATATCATGCCAAATGTTGTATAGCTCGGTTAACCAGTCGGAGCGAAACATTTTCGGATGACGTCGCTAACGTGACTGCCTCCCAATAAAATTCATTTCAATTGATGCAAATATTCCCGCATATTGTTCGAAATAAAGAGAAAACAAACGGCTGGCCAAGTCAACAAACAGATTCGCGAATAAATATACGACTATGCTCTGTGTGCGTAATAAAAGTCCCAGAGCGAAACATGTCAAAACGGAGGAAAATGTTGTATTACCATTCCATTTTATGGTCCATAATGGACAGCTGAATTTTACAAGTTGGCATATCTATAGACTGGGAGAATAGATCACGAGCTGGTACCGCAGATTTCATGCCCCAAGTGCTTTGAACGCATTAAGCGGAATGTTTTTCTGCTTTTTGGCCGGCCACCGACTCGTTTATATATATTCAAAGCGATTTACTGCGCGTTGCACGATCCACCGCAGAGTGGCACCAATGGAATGACATCATTTCCATCATGAGCCCGCTTTCGACTCTCATCTCCACAACTTGTGTGCGGGTAAATAATAATCGAGAAGTTGGCAGTCGTTAGCTCATCTATGAACTGTTTTTGGGCAGGTTTCGTTTGCTAAATATGGCACAAAAGAGGTGAAGCGTTGTAGAAAAAACTATAAATAAATATTACTAATCGGTAGAACAGTAGGATGTAATCTGCATACTACAACAATAACCCATAAAATAGAGTAAACAAGTTTATTTATTATTAAGATAAAAGAAAAGCATTTAAAGTTTACATTATAACACAAACTGTCTGGTTAACGATTTCCCTTGTCCGGTGATTAAGTGCTTGTTTATATCTGCGACGGCTCCCGGAAGTTTGGCACTTTGGCTAATTTGTTAATGCCAATAATAGGAACCACATGGCGAATACGTACTATGAACTTCGCCCACTCAAACAAACTTTCCTACACTTATCGACAGATGAGAGCTGCACCGAATAAAATACAAACTCGTACATATGTATAGGAATATCTTTGTTGACCCAGCAAGCCATGTGTGAAAATGTTTAAAAGCAATCGCAACCAAGTTAATATTAGCACATTGGCCCAAAGCCTTTAGGCCAGTTTAGCACCTTTAATGAGTCGATTGACGCTATAAAAATAGGTATAATTTGGCACATTAAGCTGGTAGTTAAAACTTTCAACTAAGTATCATAACATTTAATAATTTAAATATCCTTAACATATGGTAAAATTTGCTTAAATTTTAAGTTGTGAACAGCGTTGCCCCACTGTCACGCATATCTAGCAATTTATTAGGTGGGTCTCTGCAAGTTTTCAAAACATTTCAATACGTATATGTATATTCAAACGGTTTATTGATGCTGAAAGACGCGCCCCCAGAGAGAAACCTCCATGGCTGATGAACTAAACTGCGAAATGCTTTTAATTGACTTGAACATTTTCTGTCAATGGCAGCAGACAGTTCACCTCAAATTTAACCAATTGACAGTCACGGTTCAAAATTCGAATTCCTAAATGTTTATGGAATTTGGTGTGGTTTTTATTTTAGAATTGTGTTTGTGTTCTTTCGCCCTATGAAGGTCGCCGAAAAAATATATTTTAAGAACCAAGGACTGCCCTGTAATCTTTATAAAGCAGTTTAGCATTAATTTTTTTGATACAAAATAACGTACGGTTCAGATTGCGTATATCGTTGGTGGTTAGCTTTCCCTGTTTGTATTTTTTAATCAGCTCCATTTTGGAATAACATTTGTTGTGGTACACTTTTTAGAAATTTTGTAGATTATTTTGCTTCTTATTCTTTTTTACAAGAACTTATCACGTTGCGAACATATTTTGTACACAATTATTAGCTTTTTGGCCCATAAAATTCTTTAATTAGTTTTTACTCCTCATTTGTTTACTTTTCTGTTTTTTATGGACCTCGTCGAGATGGTTTCATATGGATAACTGAAAATATTTTTTGATGTTACTTTTTGAACGGAACAATATCACATTTTGAACATATTCCGTTGGTTTTAATACTTTAAAAATTTTCTTTTCGTTTTCACTTATTTTTTTTTTAGTTTTCGTTATTTTATGGATCATGTAGGAAATATTTCATGTTTCAAACTGAGGAAGTACTGAGCAGCGCACAGAAATTTATTAGCAAAAAAATAAACAATTTTGATAATTTACATAGAAACAGCGTATGGGCAAATTTAATGAAGCGGGGAGGCTTTTTGATTTTCGCCTCGATTCTGTTCACTTGAGCGATTGGAATAATTGAGATTAATTGATTTAAAATTACCCAACGTGTGTGGGAGTATATGGGTGTGCATATGAAAGGTAGAAAAACAAATTTAGCAATTGTGTTTCAAACACTTTGACTATCAATTTACGTTTGGCGCACACAGCAGTTGTACGAGTTTTCAATTTCCATTTCTATTTTTCTGGCACATTACGTATACGTAGCGGACCAAAATTAACACCTTTTTGTGCTAGTTCTCGAATTTCTATTCTAATTAACCCATGGCTTAAAGTCTGTCGGAGTGTGTGTTTCTGTTTGGGAAAACTGACATCCGTCTGATTTGGACAGTCAAGGTCAGCGGAAAGGGGAAATTTTTCCGTTTGACATTTATTTGTGTTATTTACACGGCTTTGATATCACTGATTTGCATAAAAAGCGATTGGCTTTGTTAATTGCCGAACCCGAAATTAAACCACGCGACGCTCGGGCACGCATCCAAAAGATACAAAACCGAAAATGGGTTCCAAATTCAGCGTACAACTCGTTCGCAATCCGTCCGGCGCTCGTGACTGTTGTTCAGGCACTGAGGCGACGATATGCCAAGCGATAATTCTCCAGCCAATTTCGCCTTTCGCTCTCTATGCTTTGCTCCATAGAGCGATACAGCTCTAGTCCACTTTGTTTTATCTACTTTTTAGGGGGCTCTCAAGAGCGAGCGTCTTCAGTTTTGTTTTGATTTCGGATATTTGCAACTGGTTGCTCGGGATTGTTTTTGTTTGCTCCCTTGTTTTGATTCGGTTCTTTGGTATTGTTGACTGTTTTTTTTGTTTTGCTCACAACAATTTATGAGTGGTGGAGAGGAGGGACTACGGCGTGCGTGGGATGGGAACCATTGTTTTATTTATATTCTTTTTGTTGGTGCGACTTTGGTTTTTAAGATTATATATAACACGTAGTTAGCGGGGTCTTGTGTGGGATTTATAAGAAGTTGCTGAGAATAATCTGTTGGTATCGTGTCAACAAATAATTACGTTTTTCTATTTGCTTCTTACTTAATGGTAGCTTCCTTTCCCTAAATAAAAATTTGTTCCTAATAATAGAAAACATTCACTGTTTTCTATCCTCAATAAACCAAACATTAATCAGGTATTCAGAACAACAAAATCCAGTTCTATTTCCATGTTCATTGTTTCGGCTTTTGGGCAGTTGCCATGGCCGCAATTATCGGCGATGACCTTGAAAGAACCCGCCGCTTTTTCACGTCCAAGGTAAACTTAATTAGCGGCCAAAAGGCCTTCGAAGGACTCGTCGATGTGTGTGCCCAAATCGCGTGCCTGGGAGGCATCTAGTTTATTCTGGTTTCTCAAGCCGAAAGTTAAACTCCGCCTAACTATAAAGCTCGTCACTTGGGAGCTATTCATATCTCGAGGGCGTTATAAACAGGAATAATTATTAGCACTTTTAAACAATTGAAAACAGGTAGAAACTTCAAAAAGTACAAAACAAAATACATTAAGCAGAAATGCCATACAACACATAACATAAATAAAGAATTGGGGTAAATAAACAATTACCACCCGTGAATCTCTGAATACGCCTAATAAAAATAATACCAGTGGTTTTTGGAAACCTTTAGCAGGCCATAAACATTTCCCGCCAACGAATTCTATGGAATACATTTACACATTTCCACACATGTCATAATAAGGTCCCCACCGCCTATAGATAAACAATCAAATCATTTCTTCCTCTAATGTTGAAATTGGCGATGACGTCGCCCCCTTATGCAAATCTCCAGTAGATAATGCGACACACATGAATTCATTACGACGTTACACACAAGGTCTAGGTGAGTTACGATGGGTAATCGATCATGTTTCAAAAAACTTTTGTTAGTCAGTAATCATAATTTGTCATAATGTTATTTTTAGAAATATCTGTAAAGGAAAATTACTGAGAAAACAAGTTATTTTTTGTACTCTAGATTAAGAAATAATAGTTATTTAAAGAGATTTGACATTTATTCCTTTGCCGTTCTATCATGTAATACTGGGCGTATACACATTTTAGATGCAACCACTTACATTCGCAGCGCACCACTTCCCTCCTGGCTTCCCGGGTTAGCATCTGCAGACTGTCGCCAATCCGCCGTATCCGCTGCGGCCTGCTCCCCATCTCTGATCCGCGGCACTTGGCACCCGCATCTAATTACGCCTTTTGTTTACAACAGGCAAACAATTAGCAAAATTGCTAAACAGAAACCTAGCACTTGAGTGCGCATTTTTGGGCTTAAAGAGCTCAGCTCGCGACTTGGCAATAGTTTGGTGTTTGACCCGAAGACCTGAAAAGCTACGGCTGGAGACGTTCAGACGACACGACCGCTCGACGAGAACTGTGCGCACGCCAAGCGGCTAAAGGCCATTAGGGGTATTTGCCGCTGCTCGGGAGAAAATTCAAATTGTATGGCGTCACTTGGCAGTGGTGGTTACAGCACTATGCAAACAACATAGAGCATTCTTCGATCCCTGGCGCTGGTGGTGGAGTACAATCTTTATCCGAGAATTTAAAAGGCATGCGGAACAACTCTATCAAAACAGTTCCAATGAATAAGTAAAAATAAGAAGTTTTGTTTTGGTAAATATTTTTTCCATTCTTTGTATTTGCTATGGTAGCTCAGCAATAAAAAAAAATTATTATCACAAAATTTTAAGCAGAAGAGGCTTAAATTAACTTTTTTATGTGGAATATATAAATGTACCTGAAAAATGTACCCATTTGGCATTAGAACTCCATATATTTTCTACCCAAAAAAAGTTCCTAGACTTACGCCATCGCTGATCCCTGGCAGCGAGCCGACCTGTCTGTCCGTTTCTGGGGATGGGAGGGGGTAAGTCACCCCTAAAAGAGAAAACCACCGAAAACAGGAGTCCAGGCAATGACCTCTCGTGGCCCCGCCTGTAAGTCTGGGCCACCTGGGACACTCGGAATGAGTGTCAGTAGGGCGATTGCGTGCCCAGTTAATTACTACAAAATGTTAACAACATCTGGCCCTCGGGAAAGAGAACTGTGCGTTCACAACAGGATCTCAACTCTTTGAAATTCACGTTATTTATTATACGAAAAATACTCGATTGCTTCTCAAATAAATTAGTAAATTAATATACATATTAAATTGTAGTTGTAAATTTAGATTGTGTATAATCCGTTACTTGGTGTTAGTTACAAATTTCACAAAGCTTTAATTTGCTTTTCTTTTTATTTGTTTACCGATTTTTTATACAAAAATGTTTACTCGCTTATGGTTAATTGTGTTAATTAGACTACAGATTTCATAAAACATTTGTGCAACAAAAAGGCATTGCAATTAACTTTCAGTTGCCCGTTTTACATAAATACAAAATTAACATATCTTGGTGTAAATATATATAAATATAAATCTATCAATTTGATCAATTCGATGAAACAATTCGCAGTGAAATACAAATGAAGAACATCCCTATACTGGTTAATAAATCATCTCGTAACAATTTCATTTTTACACACAAATAAAAGGCGATTGTTTGAACAATTTTAGTTACTCTTTTGTTTTGTTTTCCTTTTAAAGACTCACACTCCTAGTGACGATTGCCATCGACAGTTGATAGGGGATTAAATAGTAGAGAATGCTTACAACTAGGCTACCTATACATATAGCTCGATTACATAATACTAGTAGTTGACGTGTTGCTTTAATGGGCAGAGCAAGTTTCTATGTTCGAATTTTGATTATTCTTGCATTTTGTGCGTGACTTAAAACGTTTTTCGAATTCTTTGAATTTGCATCTCGTTGCCAAGCGTAAAATTTGACATAAAAATGTAAAAAAAAAAATTTGCACTCGAATGCTTAAAGCTCTTTAACTAAATAATCTTACATAACGTTGAATTGTTTAACGTAGTTGAGTGCATAGATAACATAATTTCAAATAAGTGAGTTTGAGTGGACGCAAAATACAGCCGCCTCGCAGACGAGCGGGTTCATCAAATAAATACGTAAAATCATAGTAACTAGGTAAAATTCGCAAAGCATTACAACACAGTGTTATCTTGGAAATGGAAGGGTGTGCATTAGAGAGTAGCGATCGATTAGGCGTAGCAGAAAATAAATAGTTAGATACACCGATAGTTAGACTAAGCTGGAAACCGAAATAAATTACAATAACTAACATAGGAGGAAACGTGTTTCGCAATACTTTTGTTTGCATTAGAACTCTCTGCATCTTTTCGGGCCTCGATTGCCCGATTGGTGGGGGAGGGAATGGGTGCAGTTAGTACCGGAAATCGCAGGAAGGGACAGGCATTATTTGAAGCGCCGCTGGGGCAAGGTCGGACTTTCGGGCGGCGTGTCTCCGCCTGCTCCTCCGCCGCCTCCGACGACAATCTGCTGCAGCGAGTGCTTCTTGGTCACGTTCTTGAACGGCGCACCCAGTTTTCGGTGTCCTCTTGGCGAGGCTGAAGACATTCCGGCGGCTGCCTCCATGGCGGCCGTTGATCCAGCCGAGGCCGAAGGCGCAATTCCCATTACGGGGCCAGAATCAATGGAGGCTTGTACCCAACCTGAAAAAAAAAACAATTATGTTAAATACGCTTCTTATACTCATAATTCATTTAAATTTATACATTTAGTGGGACATTCCTCTAGTATTCTCATTCCGTTTGGACAATGAGATAAAACTGGTTCTAATAAAACCAGACTACGAAATGAAGTCCATTTTTGGTCATTGGTATTCGATTAACTACGACTTTAGGAATCTTAGCATTTCATTATACATATATTCAAATTGATCCTTATGATATCTAAGTAGATTATTCCCTGCCCTCTGCTAATCTACTCACCTTTGACGGAGGCGCGATTGTGATCAAGTAAGGCCGAAGCCAAGGGTGCGGCAGAACTGCTGGCATTAGATTCTCGAAGAGTGCTCAGCGTGGAGAGCGGCATGGGATTGTAGATCCTACTGGCAAAGTCCTCGAAGGTGGTGCTCTCCTTGTATCGTGAAGACACGCTATCCAGCGAACGATTGCGCTCCTCGTAGCTGCAGGAAATTACAGAATATATTTAGTACCTATAAATCAAATATTTCCATATTCAGTAGTACTCACAATTGTTGGTAGAGCGGCAGTGCGGCGCGCTTTGTCCGACTGGCATTGATGGCGGTCGCTCGGATCAGAGTGGCTAAGCAGGCGCCACTCACAACGCTCTCGTTGGCCAGGGGTCCGAACCAAGGAACCTCCGGCTTCCTGTTAACAGTCACCCGGAACAACCCATTCCGCAGGGGATAGACCACAATCAAAACATCGCAAAACTCGGTGGGCAGAATATCCCGTCTGTAATCCCGATGGTGTTCGCTCCACACGATGTGCACCTCGTCGTTGCCCAGATGGCGCGTTTTTAGGAGCATCGCCTCAGAGGAGTCCGACGGCATTCTGGTGGCCACATGGTAGACCACCTCCAGAAAGGGTGTGGCGTAGTACGGAGCTGTGGCTCCGCATCCTTGTCGGGGTAAACCGCCGAGGAAACCGTTGTGCGTCTCCAGATCAATCTCCCAACCCAAGGCGGAAACGAACATCTCGTAGGTGCTGCTACCACTTGTGTTCCTCAGAATGCTTCCCTTATCTTCTTGTCCGGCGCCCACATAAATCACCGCCATCTTATGCGTTTCCCGGCATTTTTGAAGGTCTACGTTTCGTAGCTCTCTCATGAGTTTCTCGCTCCTCTGGAGCAAGTGCGTCCTAGACCGTCGTTCCCAGCCGGCCAATCCTAAGTGTGAGAAGAGCAGTCGGCAGTACTGGAACGGCATCTCCGTGCGCGTCGGCAGGGAATCAAAGGAGGCTGTAGCGGAGTGGAGTGATCTCTGGTCCTGCTGCTGCAGCGAAGAACTGGAGCTGGCATGTCGCAGGGCTGGCGAAGGAGTCTGCGCCGAGTGGGTCACGTATTCCTGCTCCAGGAGGCGTTGATTCAGTATCACTGAAATTGCTTGCGCCTCCTGATTGCCGCTCAAGGGACTGCTGCTTGGAGCATTCAGCTGACTCACAGTGGGGGCCACACACTCCGGACTGGTGTGGCCAATATAGGCCAGCATGTCGTCCAGTTGATCCAGATCCGGGGCCATGTCCTTGGCCAGGGGCAGCACTCCCGCTGGACGGTGTCGAAGCGTGTGACGCGGTACCTGCAGCTCGTGTCCCACCATGGAGGACACCATGGAATCCAGTGGCTGAGTGTGTTGAATCTTTGGTGTGGTTTTTAGAGGAGCCTCCTCCCCCTTTCGTGGCTCCGAATACAGGATAGATGCATCCCAACAGGCCTTGCCATTGAGGTCGCGCATTAGGACCCTCACCTGCTTCTCGGCGGTCACCAAACCAGCAGTGATTCCCCCCACCGGGAAGTTTCAACGTGGGCAGTTCAATGAAACTGGCCACCAGGCCGGAGTTGAGCATAAAGAGCTGCATATTCTGGGCACTCACAACCGAGGGAAGCTCCACAGAGTCGCGTCTCATCTCCACCTGCCCTCCGTATGCAGCGTTGCCAATATCATCCTGCTCCTCCACCATGGAACTCAATCTGGATGCTCCGATTCCCATGGGAAAATGACCGATGTGGGTGACCAGATGCATGGACACCGCCTTGGCACACAACTTGATGGCAGTGATACACTTCTGGATGGTCTCCGATGTCTGATAGGTGGCCTCTGGCAGACGGCCATCCCCTTGAAGATCATCGTGGGCAATCTGCATATCGAAATCATCATCGGCCGTCAGTTTCACCCTCTCGTGGCGAGGAGCTCCCGAGGCTACCTGAAGGAGCACCCTCAGCACTTGGAGCACCAGGGTGTCGCCTTGTTCGTTGAAGGGTGCCAGCATTATCGGGGCAGGAATAGCCATGCAGAACTCTCCCAAGCACAACATCAGCGAGGTGAGCACCACCTTGTCCGAATCCTTGGGCTTCGACACATTCTGGATTTCCAAGGCTTTGCAGATGGCTGTGATGATTAGCTGAGGAACTCTTTCGATCGAAGCCAGCTGGCGTCCACGCTCGGCACACAGCTTCAGTGAATCCACCGCCACAATGGCGATGGTGTGGTGCTTGAACTGCAACGCCTGGAGCAGCACCTGAAGAACCTCCTTGATACGCGGATTGTACACCTGCGACTCCTTGGGATGCACGTCCTTGTGATGAGGCACCGCTTGCTGAAAGAGGTTAGACCGTCCGGAACTCGAAGAGACCCCCAGAGGTTGCGAAAGACGCAATAGCAGCCACTGGCCCAGTTGGGAAAGAGCAATGCATCGAGCCTTAGCCGATGGCTCTCGCCTGGCGCATCTTAGCACAATGTTTAGGATGTGATCCTGTAAATCCGGACACTCCATGAGCTCGAACTTCTGTGGCGTGGGCTGTAGCACGGGGCGTGGCAGCAGCGAGGACGGATAGCAAAGCAGGGATCCCAGAAGAGCCGCCACCTCGGCTCTTGGTGTGCTCCGTGAAACCTCCAGCGAAGTCAGCAGAATAGCACTCGCATGCACCAAATCCAGCAGCAGCAAAGTGTGTCCTGGCAGAAGCAAACTAAGCAGTCTGGGACCTTCCAAGTACTTCAGAATTGCATAAATCAAGTCCCGATCTTCGCCAGTCAGCAGCTGATGGAGAGCATGGTAGAACAGGGGCAACTGCTGCATGCCGACGGCTCCTTGAATCGCCAGCGAGCAGAGCAGCTGCAGAGCCCAGAGTTTACCCTTCTTGAAAGAGCGATCCAACGAAAGGGATCCATAGCACCAGGGCGCCACAATTCCAATCGGTGGCACTAAAGTAGGCAGCGGTGGCGTGCTCTGATTATCCGTGGATATCCCTTGGTTCTGCTTAATCTTGATCAGATTTTGGGTCATCTCCAGCAGATGCATAAACACCTGGGCGTGCAGATCTGATTTTGGAATACGGTTAACATCTCCTAAGGCGCCAAGCATGCGCTTCCACATAATGGAGGTGGAGTCCGGATGCCAACCTTCGGCGGAGCCTCCTAGAATGATGCAACGACGTCCGGACACGCTTCCCGAGTGGCTGCCACTTCCGTAGCTCCCAGAATTGGCATCATCCAAGCTGGCGTCAATCTGCAGCTGGGCATCTTTAATAGATCCTCCCTCGATTCCGCTGCTGGCGGTGGGAGAGGGACTCCGCGAGCCCGCTCCGCTTTCGTTGTCTCCTTCCTGATAGCTATCTGTCTCCTCCGCTTCTCCTTTCCTCGCTAGCGAATCGAGCGACATAGCTCGCCTTAGATCCTGCGGATTACAGCGATTTTCTACCATCTGCGGCTGCTGCAGCAGCTTGGGTTTGGGAGTGGCCGCCCTGCGTCGTCGTATCCTAGAGCTCCTGGCCGCCGAGGCCAAGCTGCCTTCGCTGTAGCTCCGGCTCAGCATGGGCGTAAGTGGAACGGGACGCGATCCATGGCCAGTGCCTCCCTGGGATTGCGAGTGCTGATGGTGTGGGCGTGGATGGCTGGCGAGTGGCACCTGCGACGAGGTCTCCTCCGAGCGACTGCTACTCGACTCCGCCAGGGATTCCCTCTGTCTGTTTTGGCTAATGGCAGCAGAAGCCGCATTGACTCCATTGGCCGTGCTGCCCGATCCCGATCCCTGCCAGACGCTTCCAATCCGACGACGCTTCTCCGCCCGGCTCTCCGCCACTCGATCCAGGGGAAGGTCCAGTAAGCTTATGCCATATGTGTAACGGGAAAACACACGTGTCAATGTTTGCATGGTCTTGTTCCATTCAACGATGAGCTCCTCGCGGTGCGTCAGCGATTGCAGAACGTTTAGGAATTTCTCCCACAGCTGCACGTTGACAGGCACTTTGGTGTGGGCGCGTATCCAAGTGACAATAAGGGTCTGGAATATAGCTGATCCCAAAATGCCACCCAAGGTAGCGCTCTTCGAAGCTCCACTCGGCATTGGATGGTGGTTCTGGTGCAGCACCACTGAAGTCACCTGCAACAGCACCACCAGCAGCTGCTCCCAGGTGCGCGAGTCCATCTCCGTGTTCATCACCATGGTGCGATACACATTCAACACCTTCTTGCAGATCTCCGTCTGCTCCTCCAGCGGCGTCGAGCGATTGGTTCGCGAGCGTGTGGGAAAGCAGATGTTCAGGTTGGCCGTGTTCACCAGAAACACGTTGGCAGCATTGGTCACAAACACCTGTGTAGAATTAAATCTTTAGAGTTTTTTCTACTACTTAAAGAAGTTAAGGATATTTCACCTGCAAAACATTCTGCCTTCCAGCCCGCACGGCCAACTGATCCTTTGAGCCCGCAATGGCGCCCACATACGAGGGAGTGCGAAGTCGCTGGCTTCTGGGCGTTCCACCCGCTGTCGACGGAGGCGGTGGGTCGTCATTTGGCTCCAGCAGGAAGGGTGGTGGCGTTTCTCCCGTCATCCAATCCCTGTAAACAGCAATTGCTGTGCGAATGGCTTCTATCTGCGGCTTGGAGGTGAAGTTCAGCAGAAACGCCTGACGGTACACCTCGTGCACAAAGTTGATGTTCTCGCGACTGACATAGAACACATCCCGGACGATGAGACCCTGCTGATAACCCTGCAGGCGCACATGGTCCACGTCCTCAATGTGCAGAGTGCAGTCCAAGCGATGGCTTAACAAACGTTCGTGTGTGAAACGCGACACCCAATTTATGAGCACCACAACGCACGAAGCCATCACCTCCTCCTTTTTGTTGATTGATCGCATGACGGGAAGATCCAGGCGGGGATTGTAGATCGAGCAGGTCACATCAAAGCTGGGCGAGAACACCGGCAGAAAGACATCCATAAAACGCTGCAGCAGGAAGGCAAATGCACGGTGATCCTTCTGGGCACGATTATCCCGCCAACGCAGACAAGCCGCCGTATGCACCATGCTGTTTAGCAAGACCTCCAGTCCATCTCGCGGATCCGGTGGCGCTGACTTTTCGCTGGACGACGGAGGCAGTAGAGCAACTACCTCCGAACTCTGCACGGGATGAGAGAACGCGTTGTCGTGGAATACGGAGGCCATACCGCCGTCCGCCTTCATGTTTGGGTGGGTGAGAAAGTCCGACGCACTGAACTCCGTGTCCGGACCAACGACTCCCTTTTGTGGCACAATGAGGCCGGGGATGAGGTCCGCGTACATGGCGTGCACATAGCCAGGAGCGTTCTCGCCCAGCGTCTGGTACCACAGCAGAAAATATCTAAAGAAAAAGGAAAAGTTAAATCATTTTTTATATCATTAGGAGGTTCACTCACCTGACGCCCTCGCGTCTCAGCTTAGGTGAGTTGCCCAGATGCAGCAGCTTTGCCATGATGCGACTCAAGGAGTGGCATTGCCACCGGCGGGCAAGCAACTCCGGCAGGAGGCACAGGATCTTCTCGAGCAGCCATAGTGAACCGTCCAGCTCCTCACGGTGCGCCTTGTGTACTAATTAAAGGTATTAAAATATTGATTATTAAGAAATAAAGGTTTAACTCTAGAATTCCTGCTTGCATTAGGGATGCATTTCAAATGTCTGGACAAGCACAAGATGCAGAGAGGCAGAGATGTGCATGTGGTGCATTTTGAAGAGATTCAGAGGTTTACAGCGAAAGGAGAAAGACCATGGTTCATGGGCATATGAGGTTATAGTAAACTGTGGTCAAAAGCAAAGTCGAAGGAAAGGAGGCGGATGCAATTCATGGTCAATTCAAAATGACAATAAGAAACCACATAAACTTACCAATGTGAAACGGAAGTTCTGCCAGTTAGGGAATTTTACAAAAATAGAGAAAAAACGGGGGTAAAATAGAAATAGATGAGGAGTTCAATTTAGAATATCTCGTTTGTTTTCATATAACTATCTCTACAAAACGGGACAAAGCATAAAGATTAACAAATCCCAAAAATGGGGTACGATTTATTATCGTCGCTGTTAGCTTTGTTTAATTGGCGGGACTTAAATCGTCTTAAAAGATATGAGCAAATTAACTAAAAATGGGTCAAAGAAAGAATACGCTTTCTTACAGAGGTTGCCAATCTATACCCTTTTAAACCAGTAATTTATTTAAAAAAAAATTCATTTAAAAAAAATAAAAGTTGTTAACTTTTTTATAAGGAAAAATTGGAAAAGACAGATCATAAAACCTTTTGAAGTAATAAAAAAACATTATAATAAAAACAAATAACGAGGTTGTATTTAATATTTACCTTTTTGTTTTAAGTTCGCTTCGGCTTGAATAAAGGTGTCGTAAAGTATAAAGTAGACATGACTGTAGTTGGTCTCAAACAGTGATTTTGACTCTTCTACCTCCACATTATCTGAAAAAACCAAAAGGGTAAATATGTATTATCTATCTGTGTGAACCCTTTTATAAACAGAAAGGAAAAATAATGATACGTTTAAATATGATTTCAGTTGATATTCGACTGTAATTATGTTGAACCCGTTTCTTTTACTGCTTTGAATACATAGGAGTGTCGCTGATAAGAGTCTAATTAAGTTGAAACATTACCAAATCAAAGAGCAATTTGGATTGGCGAGTTTTTTCCTGTGTATCAATGATAAGAAAATGGAACCCGGGGGCAACAACCAAGATAGTGACGCAACACCAAATTGAGCACCTGTGCATTTTGCTATCGAAAGCCCCTGATAACGCTGAAAATCCAATCCAGGCAGACTATATTTTCCTACTTATCTATATACAAAAACCACGCATGACGATGTCCAATAACAACAAGAAAACCGGGGGCCAGAAACCTATTAAAAGTCAAGTTACGAAAAAAACACGTTATGATGGGTGCTCAGCGATTTGTGATGAATCAGAGGAGTCGAGGCGTAGAGGGGGGCCGCGTGAGGGGGCGAGGGGTTCACTGCCATTGCCGGCTTGCTGTCATCAGCAAAACACACTGCAAAACAGAAGAAAGCTAAACAAAGAGATACAACAGAGTAAGAAACCTTTGAAACCGGTTTCGGCAGAAGGCCAAAACGCAGAGCGAAGATGTCTACCATTGCAGAGGAAATAAAACCCCACAATTTAATAATATTTTAAGAGGTCCATTGTTTTTATGATCTATATTCACATTCATATAACATCAGATCCAGCTCTAAAGTTTTTTTTATAAACTTTTCTTTTCTAAAAAAAAAAAAATTATTTGTTTATATTTTAGAAGTTGAAAAAATAAGGATAACTTTTTTTCGGTGTGCTATTACTGTTGAACTGGTTAAGAAACAACAATTGGGAACGCAGCCATTGGGAAGAATGTCTAATGCGAGTAATTTGCCAAGGGACAATGGCAACCAAGCAACAACAACAATAAGAAATAACAACAATAGTGCACCGGAGGGTGTTAGTCGAGTGTATTTGTATTTTTTTGTATTGGGGGGCACCTGTTGGAAATCGTTTGCCGAGGTGACACAAAAAGAAAGCCACTGAAAGAGGCGGTGCAAATGAAAGGGGTGGAGGTGGGAGATTGCTCATATCGGCGATACGAAAGCCGTACTTGCTTTACATTATTGTACAGGCCGAATTCGCTAAAACAATCACTAGTTCGTCACTAACTACTATAAGGAATTAAAAAAATATTTGTGCCTTTGCTGATAATTTTAAATCTCTTGTCAGTAAGTTATTAAAAAAAATAGAATTATTTGTAAATTTCTGTGAAGATAATCATTAAGCTAATTTCAGTCATTTTTTTATTTTATAAATATAACACTAAGCCTAGCTTTTTTATAATTTCAAGTTTGTCTAAAATAGTTCAACTTATAGAAGTGTAACTGTGACTCCAATTGTTCGTTCCTTTATCATTTAACGTGTTTCACACATTTTCGCTTGCCACATAGCGGAGCATGTGTAGATGTTTTTTTGTAATCTCTTTTCCGTTTTTGCATAAATTAATGTTTTTACTGGAAGAATGGTGGGGTTCAGGGGGCTTATGTGTGGTATATCGTCTATGTGGAGGTTCTTTGCGCCCAACAGGAAATGGCCAACGCTGTGGCCCCACTTTTTGTTGTTTTTGTGCGAAATGTGGGCAGAACGTCATTGAGAGCGAGCCACCGTGGAACGAAAATGGTGCGAACGACACCCACCTGCCCAAAAAAATAATATGTACAAAAACAAACCAACCAGTTTCATTGTTATTGCTATGAATGCAAATAAAATTATGAAATAATTAACAGCCAACAGAACCGCCAACGCGGGACCTTGGTCTACAAGGAGAAAAAAAAGTAAATGGTCAGAAAAAAAGATTTTTAAACAATTACGATGAAGAATGGACTTTCAATAAAAATTATTTTAATAATTATTTATATAAATCTTATAGTTTTAATTTTACATTTTAGTTTTAATAACAAGTTTTGTTGTAAAAGGCGTGTATACATAATTGTTTACGACTGTCTGTAAAACTAAAAACTATAAAATGCTTATAGATAAAACGTATGGGGATTGTTTTGGTTAACCGTTCCTTTTACATGAAGAATCGAGGTAGGGCTTCGTAGGGAATCTGAGGTAAAATGTTTTGTCACTCACCCAATATCATGCGTAAATGACGCAGTCGGGAGGCGGAATCCTTTTTGCAATCCTGTAACTTGGCCGTGGATTTCTTCACGTCGGCATGCGATTTTTTGGTAAACATTTTGCACCTTGCGTTCTCTGCCCCGCACACAAACACACATCACACACACGTACGCACATACACACAGGCACAAGTGCAGGCGGTATACACTTTCTATTTGCTGATTTTTCTGCCTTTTTCTCCGATTTATTTTCTCTGCCTGATTTTCTGCCTTATATTTTCTCTGCCTTTTTCAGCTATTTATTCATACGCGCACGCCAACGGAAAAAAATCACTTTTTGTCCAGCGGAGCACCCCGGAGAAATTATTTAGCAACGCCCGCTCTTTCGCCCGCTGGCGTTGCTCGGTGCACGGGGGATAGTGCGGGAATGTTTCCCGGTGGGGGTTCTCAGGCTTTTGGCTGCTGTTTTTTGCAATTTCCCGACTTTATTCCATTGCGAATTATTCACTGGCACACTCGTCTATGTTTTCTTTTCCATTTGCGTCGCTTCTCCAGATTACCAGTTCAGTTCAGGTTCAGTTCGCCAAGTGTGGTTCTTGTTTTCTACATACGGAACTGGTTCACTTTGGCTCGATGAAACTAGTTTGTGGGAAATGTATTCGTTTATACGGCGGCCTTTTGAATGTGCTTATTGAAAACTTCAAGGATTTATTTATTATATTAAAATTAGGCTTTTTATATCGACATGGTTATTGCTTAAAGCTGATTTAAAACTATCAAAAATAGCTGATTCTGCAGCTGTATAAAGAAAATTGTTGCAGTTAGTAAATTTCAGTCTTAATTCTTATAACAGTCAATAAGTACTGGATATTTATTTTAAGGTGTCAAGGTTATGGTTATTGTCCTTTTTAATTAGTATTCATAACCTTAGATAGCAAATTGTATTACCCTGATAATTTAATATTCAATCTGTGATAAAAAGGCTCGGCAATTAGTCAGCAATTAAATCAAAGGGCGAAAACATCCCCAATTCAGTGCCATGCTGTTCTTGAGAAGACAAACACGTCGATTTCGCTCCTTTCGGGAGCAATTTTTACCTAGTCGATTTAACCGTTGGAAACTCCACAGCAAATTAGTGCTAATATGCATTTACGTCACCATATTCTTCAATTTACTATATGGACTTTATCTCGGGCGCTTCTCCTTTAGACGCAAAAAGTTTGTGTTTTCAAAAGCGGTTACCATATACTGTTTTTTTGTGGCCACAGTCTTTACGCTGTTTTACACCTGGATAATTTATAAAGAAATCTCGACGGGTCAGATTAACGGACGCCACACTATTGGAATCTATTGCTATATGAACGTATGCGTTTGCCTATTCAACTACGTGACACAATACAAGATTACTTTCGAAATAATAAGATTCCAGAATAGCGTTCCGCTTTTTAAGCTGCTTAACTCGTTCGACATGTCGGTTTCGTTGGTGTGGCGATCATTTACCTATAGTATACTGAAGCTCCTTATTTGTCCTCTGATTGCGTTCATAACCCTGATCCTATATGAAAATAGAACCCATGCGGGCGTTCATTGGACTGATTTTACCACAGTGCGGACTATGTTGCCACTAATTGTTTCTAATCAGATAAATAACTGTTTCTTTGGAGGTCTGGTAATAGCCAATTTGATATTTGCTGCCATTAATAAAAGTTTGCATGGCATAGTTAAGGAGGCAAATATGCTGCAGTCACCTATTCAGATGGATCTGCAGAAACCCTATTACCGGATGCGTCGTTTCTGTGAATTGGCCGATAAATTGGACGATTTGGCCAAAAAATATATCTTCACTGCTGGCCGTTCAAGGGGATACCTTCGGTTTACGGACTGGTCAATGGTTATGTCGATGCTAATGAACCTTCTCGGAATCACTCTAGGGTTCTACAATCAGTATTTGGCCATTGCGGACTACTATATAAATGACGAACCCTTCGACCTTTCCGTGGCCATAGTCTTGTTGGTATTTCTTATTGTTCCCTTTTTGGAACTGGCATTGGTGGCTCGGATTAGCAACCAAAGTTTGCTGGAGGTGTGCATATAATGGACAAATAAGGGTTGGAATAATTAATTATATATTGTATATTTAAAGACCAGAACAACTGGGGACCTCCTGCAACAATTTGATCTCCAGTACGCCGATGTCCGTTTTAAGCAAGTGGTGAATGCTTTTTGGCTTCAGGTCGCCACCATCGACTACAAACTAATGCCGCTTGGTCTCCTCGAACTCAATACCTCGTTGGTCAACAAGGTTTTTTCGGCCGTTACCGGATTTCTGTTAATTCTCATTCAGAGTGACTTGACTTTAAGATTTTCTTTAAAATAAATATTGTTGTACCCTTAAAATAAATTGTAACCGTTATCCTGTAGAGCGCCACTGCGGCGGAAAGGGGAAGCTGTAATGGTTTGAATCTCCAATTTGAATTTTTCACAAACCACCGATACCATCGATAGGGTCATCGGTGTTTTTCCATCCCTAGTGAATATTGAAAGTGAAAACTGTAGACGGAATAAATTTAATTAGCTAAAATTTTTTAATACAACATCTTTGGCAGCCACCAGGACTAAACAAACCAGAAACATGTGCGGCGGTTTTACCTGCTCGAAAAACGCGCTTATTGCGCTCAACATTTTGTATGTGGTAAGCCGAAAACAAACATCATAATAAACAACAACAGTTATAAAAACGCAAAAGCAGCAACAACAACAAACACGGAAGAGGAACAATGAATTATTGGCAACAACAACAAGGGGAAATTAGTAATTCAATTATAAATGCTACTGATTATTTGGGGCTATAAATATGTATTGATTTTCCTTTGCGGTGGCAGGTGCAAACTGCCTGTGTGTATGCGCCTTGTATGTGTAGTTGTTGTTGTTGCTGTTCTCGAGACGAGAATCCTTGAGTCCTTTTTAATTTGCCTTCTTCTCATTCTGTGTGTGTGCTTGTGTGACCCCCAGATGATTGGATTCCTGCTGATTGGAGTGGGCGTGTACGCGCGTGCCGCCTCCATCGTGACCAACCTGCCGATTGTGGGCGGGATCCTCGCCTGCGGCGTCATCCTCATCTGCATTTCCATGCTGGGTCTCGCAGGAGCCGTCAAGCACCACCAAGTGATGCTCTTCTTCGTATCCTTTTGCCACAAAACCCACAAATTCACAAACACACAAAGGAAGCAGCCATGCAGCTCAATGGCTACAACTGCGGTCATTTCAGTAGGATCATAAACAGTTAAACCTTTAATTGCTTATTTGCTTTTTGAAGGGTTCTCAAGATCTTCTACTCCCATCTTAAGTACCATTTTCAGAATTTCAATTGCATTTGATTGCTATTTTACTTATATCTTTCTTTTGCACCTTTAAAGGTGCTTTAATAATTAAATTTAATAATTTAATTCAATAATGCATAATTTTAACTATTTGTAGCTATTCTGCTAAGTTTTATAACGAAAGCTTTTGCTGTAATATTCCGGACCGCTAACGTTTTGACCACACTTGTATGCAGCCACGAAGGTCGTGGCATGTGGAACAATTAGCGTACTTAGACGAGTACCCACTTCCGCAGAGAAAGCGGGCCCGTAATGACTGAAATTATGAGTGGGCCACAGTCACTTTAGCTGCCTGCCTCCCTTGTTGTGCTTCCATGACGTCAGCTGGAGGGTATCGCAACGTGACCCCCGGTGAAAACGTGGAACAGCAACTCATATTTCAAAAGCACTGCCGCAGTTTAGCCTTAACCTTTAGACTTTCCCGCCTGCAGTACATGATCATTCTGTTCATGCTGTTCCTGATCCAGTTCTCCATTGCCAGTTCCTGTTTGGCCGTCAATTCCGAGCAGCAGCAGCAGTTCGCCGAGCAAGGATGGATGACGGTGCCCACTGATTTGCGGAAGCAGGTGCAGGATAGCTTGAGATGCTGCGGATTTAATGCCACTGGACCGAGCACAAGTTCCGTTGTGCCCCCGCCGGAGGAGCCGTCGTGCGAGCAGATCAATCTACAATGCTGTGCCCACTCCACCCAGGCGGACTGTCGCTGCGAGCCCTGTGGCCCTCTGCTGGAGGACAAGATCGACTACGCCTTCAAGTTGTGCGGCGGCCTGGGCATCTTCTTCAGCTTCACTGAGGTAAAGTCAGCCCTAATTACATAATCTGGTGAAAGTAATGAAATCTCTGATCATACTAATCCCCACATGCTGCCATTAGTTCGTTGGCGTCTGGCTAACAGTTCGCTATCGCAATCAGAAGGATCCGCGAGGCTTGCCCAGCGCCTTCCTCTAAATTAAGCGCTAGTCGAGAACAAGAAAAACATTTCCCAGATACAGAAACAACCAAAGTTATTTAGTGCATGTATCTCTGCTCTGTCTCTGCTAAATGTTTGGTGTTGCGTTGGAAATTTTCAAGAGCTCTTGGGGCCCACATACCATATATACAAGCATCCTTTATATTTATACCATCTACAGATACATATATACATATATATTTAATCACATTGCCGCAGAACTATGTACGTAATGTGTTAGGTCGTAATTGATATACAACTTTAGACATATATACATATTATAGAGAGATATATATAGAAGGAGAGAGCTACGCGTTTAATCCATATACGAACCCGAAAGCAAGCAATCAGCAAAGAAACATATTTCCCTTTACTCTCAACACACTTTCTCAAACACTTCCCAAACAATTGTACTTACACTTTACTGCCTGCTCTTTGACTAAGCACAAATCCAACAAGTGGCCAAGGGTGAGACCCGTTTATATGTTATTCCCTAAGTTGTATTTATTTTAAGTTTTTTAAATCTCTGCTTGTCAATGTTTAATTCTCTGTTTTAATCACAGGTCCTGGCCGTTTTCCTGGCGCGACGCTACCGCAATCAACACGATCCATGCTATTTGCCCGCCCGCGCCGTCTTTCCACACGATTATTTGTATTGAACGGGCTGAAAACTACAAAATGGAAGTGAAACATTTTAGTCAAAGGGATGAAGGCTGAATTCTTATTTTTACAATCGCGTTTCCTAGCGAGAATCGAATCCAAGAACAAGAGATTACTCTTCGGAGAGAAAGTAGAGGAGAAGTTTTATAAATGGGCTCAACACTGCTGCTATATACGAGTAATTTTATTTTTCTAAATGCTTTGCACAAAGTTAATTAATTATTAAACCTCCATTGAGATTATGTTTAGCTGTAATATTGTTAGTTAAGTTCAACTGTTTTAAACTCCTTAGTTAGCTCTTAATGCCTTTCTTTGCAACTCGCAACAATCATGAACGACTCGACGTGACTCCACTCAAAACTACTGTACCACTACGAGACAAACATTTCAAAAACCTGATCTTACTGTAGAACTAACAACCAAGTCAACAATTGTAACTAGCAACGTAATAAGTATACATCAACCTATATACAAACGTAATTGCATTATTGCCCAGAAGGCGTATAAACAATACTCTAAATGTTAGTTGTGTGTTAAACTTTAAACTAGCGATAAAAAGCCCACAAAATAACAAAAAAAAAGAGTAACCCTCTAAGCATACATGTCAACAATTATACAAGTCTATATAGATAAACCCTACACATAAGAAAACCGCTTCTTCTGAATTTTCACTTCTTTTCCGCACTTGCTCGACTTTCTCTGCAGCTTTTTCTCCTTCTCGACTTTTACCCCGCAAACGCCACCAAGAACAAACACATCACACCCGACACGCTTCTTCCTTTTTGCACACAACACACTCACAAGGAAATAGTTTTCCCTGCAGTTTCCTTTCCAGTTTCTTTTCGAGCGACAAATAAACCATTAGATAATATTCTCTGTATTCTGTGCTGTGATTGAAGTAAATATGATCTATAAAACGACAAAAGCAAAAACAAAAATCAAGTTTTGAGTTTCATTTCCCGCATATCCCCATTCGTTATTAATGAGCGACACTCCCTCGCGGGATTTGTGGTTTGGGATATCATTAGCGAAGTGTCTCGGCTTACCACAACCATCCTTGCTGGTGGGAAAAGTGGCAGAAAGTGGATAAATGAGAACCAGGAGTATAAATGTTAGGTATAGATTTTATGAAAGCTTTGGGAATTTGTAATAGAGTTTTGTCTGTAATTATTTTATAATAAATATATGTTTTGCGGTTCAAAAGTATGTGAAGTTTTGGCCCTATGAACCAAGAAAACTTTAGTTACCAATTAAATATGTATTGATTTCTTTTTTACATTGTTAAACCTAATTTCACATATAGTAAGAAATATAAAAAACTGCACTTTTTTTTATTGTTTTTTAACCACAGTGCTGGTCGTGCCCAAACGCCATAATCATCATAAGCGCCGGAGAAGATTAGCGCTAGCACTTAGTTCGACGCCTCCCATGGGTGGTAGAATGGGAGGTGTCAACAACACCCAAAAAATGGCTCAAATGCGAATCTCTCCGGTGAGAACTCTCACTCAAAGCTGCGATGAATTGGGCCAAGTTCAACGCACTGCGATGCAGAAAATGTTGTTCTCCCAAAGAGCGCGAAAAAGTGGGGCGGTGAGAGAGAATGGCTCAGTTACGTAACATGGACTTATTTCAGGGGGCGGGAAGCCAGGAGGAAGGTTTCCGCTTTTGCGTGGAGGAATGTGGGCGTGGTGGTATCCTGGATGCCGGGTTTGCCTTAGCCACAATGTTCCCCCCACAAAAACATCCGTGCCTTCCTTCTTGGTAGGCATTGTTGACACCCGCAGTAGAAATGGTCAACAACAGATGCGCCTCTGTCACATTTCCTCGCCTGCGAAGTGAAATGGAAAATTCCTCCAAAGAGTCGTGTCAACGAGACGGGGAAAACATCAGTATTTATTTGCCAAATAGATCAACGAAATGAGCGTCTGTGAAGGTGCTTGTGTGACATATCCTGCAGGGGCTGTTGAAGAAATAATAATGCACACAGAAATAAAATATCGATTTAACAAGTATATTTACATTAGACTTTTTTTTCGAATAAAGCTTGTTTTTTTAAAACGAGAACAATATAGCTTAAGTGATATCTTTTAACTCTTAAATGATTTTTCTATACACTTAGCTTAGAGCATTTGGGTTTTTCTATGAACCATTGATTAAAAGTTAAATGTTGTTGACCCCTTTTCCTTTTATTAAGGTACGCATGCCATTGACACGTGTCTGATATTAAAATTCCTAATGGTTTTGTTCGGCCTTTATCCCTGAGCTCACCATATGCTGGGTTCTCAACTGTTGATCCTACGATGCGTATGAGCGATTTCTTGTCAATTGCGTGCCCCATGAGACATAAAAACGATGCAATAATGATTTTTATTATTATGCAGCGAAATGGAAATTTCAGGCCACGGCTATAAAGATTTCTTTCTTGTCACTTGAGCAAGTAAACGTTTTTGAGGGCCTTCGAAGCGAAGCCTCCTCACGATTGTTGCAAATTCATCAAAGCGCACAATTTAGTCACCGTTTTAACGCTCTTCCTCTTTATTTTTGGGGGAGGGCCTTTCCGCCTAACGTAATTCGTAATTCGAATTTACTGCCCATGTCGGTGTCGTGTCATGTTGGACTTATTATCTTCGTCTGGGCCGCAGTCAAGCATGGCGATGTTGGGGCATTAATATATACACACTCGTGTATGTGAAAGCTTAGAAATTAAGCGGTATAGAGCAGGGAAAATTTATTTGAATGCCAATGTCAAGATAAAGTCAAACACACTATTGATTACACTTAATTAAAACAACCCGACAGTTGTGATCTCATCTAAGGGAAAATTTACAGAGGTTCATTGGCTTGTTTGTAGTTTCTGTTTTTGCTTTTTTAGCCTTTATACATTCTTTGGCCATGATATAATAATGTTTGTGAAAAGCTAAACAAATAGTATTTATGGTAAACACCAGACCATAATTATCTTTGAATGTGGATATAAGTAGCCAATTGTTTTGACGAACAAGAAGAAACTCTCCCCAATTTAAATTGATGAAAACAGAAAAACACTTCTATTATACGCTTTTGTTTTGACCATCTAAATAGATTTTACTGAAATATATTTTACTTACCCTTCAATTCAGGGAATTAATTCTAATGTATTCAAGGCTTCCTCTCGAGGCAACAGCAAAAATCCCTTACATTTCTGCTCAATAAAATCCTCAATCCGCTTGAATGGGGAACGTTTTACGACCCTCATAAAACTGAATAAAATGAATAAACAAATACCGACTTTGTGTGTTTGCTTGCCATCGCCCTTATGAGGTGGCGTACATGGCGTATGCGCAACGTGTACTCCCTCAACCTCAACCTGAGCAGGTTGCGTATACAACAAGGTGGCCCATCAAAGGTTACCCTGTTATTGAATTTTTCAACACCTTTAAGTTTTTAAGTGCACATTAAAAAATAATTAAGCCCAGCTTCAATGGTCAACCCATGTCCTGTGGACCGATTAATTAAGAGATGGCAGAAAGGAGGCGCGTGTGGAATTGGTCTGCGCAGCAGCTGTTGCACAGAAAGTTATAACCATTCCCTCACTCATGTTCACCCCCCATTCCGCCCGACTCTCTTTCCGATTCGAGTGAGATTTTCGAGGAAATTGTAAACAGTTTTTATTGGCTTTGCCTGCCTAGATGTGGCTATATAATTAAATAACCCCTGGACAGGGGCAACAATTCGGCGAGTGTCGTTCGAGTGAGTCTGCGGATGAGTGAAAAGTGAGAGAGTGAGCGAATTTCGACCGAGTGGACCGAGTAGAGTCGAACCATTTCGCTATGTGGGACTCCCCTTCAGTCAGTTGGTTTTGGAACCTCGCGCAGTTCTGGTCGTCGCTCTTCGTCCGTGTGCCATTGGTTTTTGTGCGTGCTGCCATCGAAATATAGAGACAGAGGAGAAAGGGGAGAAAGCCTTCCTGTTTGCTTCACGTGCCTCCAGATAAACAAAGCAACTCAGTAATCGAAATACTCCAGTACATCGCGACAAAGCAACGAGGAATAATAGTGCTTCAGCTTTGCCTTTTTGCTGCATATCAGGAAAACTATTGCGATAAAACCAACTCAAACCAAAGCCAAGCAGCACCTAGAACGCTTTACGTAAGTCTGCGGAGTATGACGAGCAGCGACATTAAATATATCCGAACTATGTTGCTTGCAACGGAAAAACTTTCTCTGTTAATGCTGTCTGTGTAGAAAATCAATAGCTCGATTCTTGGTGTTATCCTGTCGCAGGATACACACACACCAGCTCATGTGAATACTGAATGCACTGTCTTGAAAACATCTGCTCGCACAGAAGGGTTCTGGAAATGATTAAAAAAGTTCTCGGGAGAATAGGGAACTAAATAATTGTATCAGCCACTCTCTTTGGACCTTCCTACCCCTATTTCGCCCTATCAGCTGGATATTTGCATTCGTTAGCTTGTTGTTCATTGGAACGGTTCAGCAAACGCTTTCAAGGCTGTACTCACTTTAATGGGTCAACAAGCTGTGCAGACACTGAAATGGATTATCTTAGCTGTCAATGAAGGGGATGATGAACGAGGCTCAACGGCGAACTTTAAACCCTAAATTGGTTTTCGCATAATAATTTTCCTACACAAATTTTAATAATTAGAAAAGAGATTTCAATTAATCTAGTTCAACAAACGCTCAGCGCTTAAGTTTGATAAGCCTCTGCAATATCCTCTTAATAATTGTTTGCTAAGACACTAAGACTAAATCCCTTAAAATAATCTCCTGATTATGCCCCCTTGAAACTCCCTGAAAGTATGCAACAGTTTCTTACGCTTTTCTTTTCCTAATTTAAAATTCAAGGCATAGCCAGCTGCAGAGTAAACATCGCTGCAAAACAAGTATAAACAAAGTGGACAAATTGAGGACTCCGCTGTTTTCCTTTCCTCGAGCGCTTTTGAGTGGCTGCCTGGTCAAGCTAATTGTGGCTGTCCTTGAACTTTTGCCCAGCTCAAAAAAAAACCCAACACCGAAAGATACTTTAGTGCAAAGTGTGTGGCATAACTTTTGTGGGAGCGGCTTCATGTTGGCCCAACGTGACTAATGTTGGGGGCAAAATAATGCGAAAAGAGCGGATAAGCCCCGAAAAATGAAAAGCTTAAACATTTCGCTGGTCCGGCTGAGTCTGCAAACATTTCAAGGACCCCAATGATTCGTCCAAACACCCCAACATTTTCCAACGCACACGAACCCTCGCACGTTGGCACGTGACGTTTCCCTGACGTTTTTTAATTAAAAGCCGTCAAAATGCTTTGTGCGCACTTTCCTCTTTTGCGCTATACACACAAAGAAATGAAAGTCAAATTGAAAACGTTAATTAAATTATATTTTTATATGAGAAATATTGAAAATATATTTATCAAAACCAACTAGGATAGGTTTTTTCCGTGTACCGCTTTTATTTAGAGTTGCCCCCTTTTTTCCAGCCTGCGGCAAGGCTTGTTTAGGCTTCTGAATGTGGCACGCATTTAAATGGGCTTAGCATGCCCTTTCCAAAAGATGCTGTCACTTTACACATAGGCATTACGAGCTATTAAAATTCCATTTGCGTTTTAATTTTAGGGACCACCGCAAGATGTCGCTGCTGCTCACAGGAAACAGTGCCTCCCTTTCCGAGGAGGAACTCGACGAGTAAGTACCATCCCGCCACTAACTTTTCCGCCTGAAATTAACAGCATGGCCTCAACTTTAGTTGACTTAATACAAAGTTTTTGTTTCGCACGGCCGTAAGTTTTGGGCCGGAAGAACAACAACAATGGCGATGCTATAAATATAAGAACTTTCGGTGACAAAACTTCTTAACTGACTAACAATACGCCAACAACTGTTGGTAGGTGGGAAGTTGGTAATGCGGGTATTGCAGCAATTTGAGCTCACAAGGTGTTTTGGATTACCAATTTATTGTCTGGCCTTAGTAAACTTAAAATGATTAAACTATAAAAGGTAGATAAAGGTACTTTTAACCCTCTACTGCATGAGCATAGAAATAATAAGGGAAAAAATTTTTTGAATGTAATTATGTGTTTATTAAGGCCAAAATAATATATTTTTGGACTTTTTTTTGTGGGGGGTGGCATAGTTTGGGGTGGGGGATATGGGGCCATATATGGCTTTGTATGCATTCAGCTTATTCCATAGTTTGCCATATATGGCACTGTATGCATGTATACATTACTTCATGTGAAAGTTGGTGAAACAGTTTCTTTTGTCGTTGTAGCATAGAAATACATTGCATTTCTCACAAAAGGTGTATGAGCGGGAAGAGCAATCATTTTTGCAGAGTTGCCTTTGCTTTTTCCAGGTGGGAAAATGGCCAATATGGTCCTCCCGAACAGAATTCAATGGAATTTCCTGGTGCTTTCGTCTTTTGCTGATAGTAGGGGTACCTTCCCTACTTGTACACGGGGATGAAGTTGGAGTCATCGCAGGTCGTCCGCGCTTCTTTACTTTTCCTGCCTTGCACAGGTGCTCAGCTATAAAAAGCTTGAAATCGAAGAGTGGCATATATTGATCTGACTTACGACGCCATAGAATCCATGAATTCACTACGCACATATTCTTGAGCGCAATTGAATTCTATAAAGAATCCAGTAAGTCAACGCCACCCATATAATTATTGTAAACATCAACTGCCTTAGGAGAGTTGATTTCTACATTGTGCATTCATTTCTAAAAGAAAACAAGTGAAATTGTTAAGCTAATATGCTAAGAATGCATATGTACATAGAATATAAACATGCACGCGTTACTGCATATAGAGCCATATATGGCAAACTATGGAATAAGCTGAATGCATACAAAGCCATATATGGCGTCCACAGTTTTTTGCATAGAATAGTATATGTGATGCTCACCTATAGTCAAATTCTATTTTTTATGAACGAAAACTTTATATTCTCTTAGAAAAAAATACTTTTCAGTGATAAAACTGATTTTTAGTGTAGTAATTTTTATTTTAATTTCACCGCAATTCACTTTCGTTCGTCTGCTTGAGGCGCGAGCACAAAACTGATCGAAACTTGAGATAAGGCAACACAAAGAAGTTCTGAGTATAGACATCTTACATAAAATAGTTGAGAGAGATTTAGTAATAACAAACGAACTAGTATATGTACCGTTTTATTGCAAAAAAAAATTATTGAAAGTGAGAAGCCATATATGGCTTTGTATGCGGTAGAGGGTTAATTAATTTAAATTATTTTCAATCCAACCCTAAAAGAATGCTTTGAAGAAAGCAATAAATATGAATAAATGAAGCTAACAAATAGTATTCTGGTGAAACTTTAGCCCAAACTGTCCTTCAGTTCCCTTACCGGACTATATATTCTCTTTATTCCCGCTATGTCACGAATCATTACTAATTGGTTTAAGTATAATCTCATAATAGCGGCCGCACGCAAATTGCCTTTAATTACTGGACCATTCAGCTATCGGCGTATTATGTCAGCTAAAACCGAAATGTATAAATAGAACGTATCGGCCACAACTTGTTGGCAGAGCAAGTGCGAAAATAAATGGCTAACCAGACGGGGGCGTTCCATTATCTCCATGTGACCTTGGTTTCGGAGTGGGTGGTGCTGCCCTTCCTTACATTGCTCATACGCACAGTAGTCGCAAGTTCACAGCCAGTAAAACAATAAAGAACAATTATCGATTTGGGCTGGCCCTGTGGCATATGCCAGCCAGTCTGATGGCCATATTGCCAAACCACCCACATCCAAATTGGAGCGGGTGTGATCCTTAGTCCGCCGCCAGTGGTGCGTGAGTAATGCAATTTGGGATGACAACATGACTTGGCCCACTGAACTGGCCCTGACATTTGCTTTCTTGCCCGATTTCTCATTGCTTTTCGGGGCTGAGTAATCCCTTAATAAACGGTCTGCATTATCCGCAGCTTCATTTGCATTTCTCGGCTCTTTGTTGGTTCTGCCCGACCTTCTGTCTGGCTTTCACCTTCACTCGCCCTCAGTAATTACCAGACCAGGTCTTATCGGAGGCCCGCAGAAACGCTTAATAGCTTTGTCCGGGTAAATGCAATTCCATTTGCCCGACTTGTGTGAAGGCGAGTTGAGGTCGGAATGAGTGGGCATCTCAAAGGGCTCAAGAATCTTAAAGGACATCCATTTAAAGCTCTTTGATTAATGGCTTGCTGTGTGACGTGACTAATGCAAAACTGTTTCAAAGCTGGCAAAGCTTTTACTCTTCTCGAAGAAATTCCCCCGCATTGGAATCGATTTTAGAAATATAAGCTCACTGAAAAAAAATTGGAAGCTGCTTACTAGGAGTTTTAAGAAACACTTTTCTAGTAAAATTTGTATATTTCATTAGTGCATAATACAATTTCAACAATTACAGTGTTACATATAAATAGATAAAGGGTTTGAGTTCACAAAGGCAAGTCAAGATTCATGCCAGTGACATTTGTTGCTGCCTCTGACAGCCAAGTTATCTCGGGGTAACCAAGTGGAATGACCCAAAGAAAAGACTTGAAATGGCCACGTTTGTGTGCACAGCTCAAATTACAAAGCATTTCTCAAGAAGCTCTCACAAGATGATGATTCGAAAACAAACTTGGTTTTTGGTATTGAACAGTTTTTAATGGTCATTCTTGGTTAATGAGTTTTCCTTTTTTCTTGTTGTTTAGGCAAATATCAAAGCTACTCTCGCATAGTTATATAAACAGCGATTTTTGTTTGGCTTTGCAGCTGGCGAAGTCAATCAATGAACCGAATGTTGGTTGCGGGGAATTGGCCAAGTTAATTACGAGTATGGCCATTAAGTGAATTCCACCGCCATCCGCTCACCGTTCAAGAGCGACCTCAAAATAAAATTGTGAGCCCCGTCACGTACATAGAAACCTCCTCCATCCTCTTTCTCCTGCACTCTCTATCTCTCTCTGTCACTGTTATTGTTTCTCTCCCTCTCTCTCGCTCTGTCTATATTGTATTACTGAGCCAACACAGCCGAGCCCCCTTTTCGGCTGCTTTTGCCTAAGCTTTGCTTTTGTCTTTGCTCTTTTCATTTCTGTTGGTACCTCCTATTTTTTGGGATGTCGGGTGTATTCGATTTTCAGTTACGCTTGAATTGTATGTTTTGAAAATTGAAGAAGAAACAAATGTTAACAGCAAACCGTTCAAAGAGCATCTTTAAGTATGCTACGAATATGTTTAATTTAATTAAAAGGACATCCCTTAACAGAATGTTAACAAAAATAAGATTGCATATTTAAGGGACCAAAAATTTCCCTTTCATGCCTGTGAGACACTGAAACTTACAGTTTCAAGGTTTTTTTTTTTTTTAACTATCGAATCGTTATTTTAGCATCATTACAATAACGGGGTTCCGAAGCTGTTAATTTTATACAATTATTTTCCAGTTTATTTCATTAGGCATTATTTGCATATCATTTGCAAATATCAGAGTTGAAGAATGTGAAATGAAATTTGTAGCCAAAAACCAGTTTAAAATATACAAGACCAAAAATACCAAATTCGATTAGCATTTTCTTGGAATTAAACCAAAGGTCCGGCTGATTGAACCGAACTAAGCACCCTGTTCTTACAGCAAATAAAATAGCGAAATTGCAATAATTGGATTACGCAAATCCGTTATGCTGCGCTGCAAATTCGCCTTTAAGGTGGCAGTCAATTGCGCTTGATTAGGGATGCATTAGGCGCTCTCAAATGATAACAATCCGTTGTATTGCTATTGCGATGACCTTGCCCCAAGACTTACACGTTTTCATTGTAAGACTTCGACTTCCATAATCAAATTGCGCAGCATAAGTGACTGTGAACTTCCGAATGGCAGATAAGGCAACAGTTAGAAAACATTAGCAAACACAACAGCGCACAGCTAACAGAGCTCTGTTAACCGGCCTATATAAGACCCGGCGAAACCCAAGCAATTTTTTTAGTTTCACTCGAAGCGTTGACGTGTCTATACGAAATCCGATTTCTATTCGTACGTTAGTTTGTTTTGTTTGTTTGTGAGTCACAGTCAGAAAAAAGGACATTAAGGAGGTGACATCATGCCGCCCACCATTACCGATAATCAGTCGCACGACTTTAAGGCCCACTACGATTGCGCCCACAGGTCCTCGCTGCAGGACGATGAGACCGATGATGCCTACGTGAAAAGGATAACGCGGTAAGGATGTCAGAACCGGTTTTTGGCAAGCAGCTGCTCCTTAACAGGGGTTGTTGTTCTTGGCGGGAAGATCACTCCCCTTATCCAAACTATTTTGCTGTAGAGATCCCTGAGTTCTTTAAATTTATAATCAAAATACGAATGTATTTTATTCAATTTGTAATTTTTATAATAATATGTATATAATATATAAGTTGAATCAGTGCACTGCACTGCGGTTTATAGTTGCTTCGATGACGAATCGCTGTGTTGGCACAACACCACATCGTCTGAGTAAACGCCAAGAAAAACCGCCTTTGCCAAAGAGCAAAAAAAAAAGCGAAGTGCTTTGCCAGTTGGCCAAATATTTGCGCAGACCGGTGGGCGTGAAGCCGACTTGATTACCCTGTATTCATTTCAAAGATTAAATTTCTTGTGATCCGGTTTCGAAGCTAATCAAATCATCAGTTATGCTTATTCCGCTACACATTATAATCGGATGTTTGTCGGCCCGATTACGAAATACTTCGCTTATCAATCAAGGTTAAGACTTCACTGGGGTTTTTTGCTTATGCTCTAGTCATTCGAATTTTGCTTTTTGTTTTGGTCTTGTTTTTTATTCCGTTTGACGCACAAATAAATAACGACTATCGCTGGGTATATTTGGGCCCCCTACTGAGTATATAAATAATGTCACTAATACATACAACTTTGTTAATGCGACATTGATTATAAATCGAAACTCAACGCCGTCACTCGAACCCAAGAAATATAAAATATGTACATATATACCATATACCACTTTATGCTTAATCATACTTAAGCGATTAAATTACTAGAATTTCTTTATTAAACTAATCTTTTTCAGCTTCATTTGAATAGAAGGAAGTTTAAATATATAATATGCGAAATAGAAAGGCAAAAAACTTCCACCAATAACGAATTTTTCTGATTAACTTTTGGGGGCTTGTTCGTACAACCACATTTCTGCGAAATAGATTACGTTATCGTTTATCAAATAACGAGCACTTTTTTTAATGGGTTTCCCACTTGTCAGCTGAAAGTAATTAACCCATTCATTCTCTTGGCCAAAAGTGGGCGTAATTTATAGCACCCACAGGTTGTGTTTTTATAATGTTTCTGGGGCTTTTAATTTAATTTGCATTTGCTTTAATTGCAGGTACTCCGATGGAACCGTCAAGCTGCGCAACTCAAACATTGAGCTCATGGACCAGGATATTCTATACCATCTCGCTTTGGGCAGCGAGAGCCACGACCTGCAGGAGATGTTTGGCGATGTTAAGGTGTGTATTTCAAGAACTAGTCTCTTGAATTATTCATAGCCGTTAGTAAGTGGTTGAGACTAGACCCAGACCCAGACCTTGATTGTTATCAAACCAAGTGGAGCGCCAGCGAAACGAGTTCCCTTTGCCAATTAAGTTAATAATATGCTTTGCAGTCAGGTTAGGAGACTAATAGAACTTGAAAACGATACTTGAGCTGGTGCAGGTTTATTTTGCAAATGTAAATAAAAGCTATTACAAGTGTATCAGTATTTTTATATATATATAAATTCTTTGAGGTATTTCTTACGAGTACTTTTTGCTAAGCGAGTCAATATTTCAACGACGTGTGCTGATAACATCAGCCTATAAGCTTGTGTAAATGCTTAAGTAACCTGTATTGCAATTTATTGAATCAGGGTATTCCCCTTAATTCAAAAACCATAGTAAATGCTTTTTGAACTCTTGCAGTTTGTTTGCATGGGAGGAACTCCGAAGCGCATGGAGAACTTTGCCCATTTCATAATGAACGAGATCGGCTACAAGTTGCCAGCGGGCACTCAGCTGCAGGACATCAGTGCCTACTCGTACCGATACTCGATGTACAAAGTTGGTCCTGTGCTCTGCGTCAGCCACGGCATGGGAACGCCCTCCGTGAGCATCCTGATGCACGAGATGATCAAGCTGATGTACCACGCCAAGTGCAAGGACCCCGTCTTCATCAGGATAGGCACCTGCGGAGGAGTGGGTGTGGACGGGGGCACCGTCATCATCACCGAGGACGCTCTGGATGGCCAGCTGCGGAACTCCCACGAGTTTGTAAGTGTTGCTGTCAGCTAAACTTGTCAAAATCAATTGTATTTAATACCTGCTATTTGGTTTACAGACCATTCTGGGCGAAACCATTCATCGGCCAGCCAAGCTGGACAAGAAACTGGCCCGCGAACTGAAGTCCCTGGCCAGTGCCGACGATCCGTACGACACCATTATTGGAAAGACGCTGTGCACCAACGACTTCTACGAGGGTCAGGGCCGTTTGGACGGCGCCTTCTGCGAGTTCAGCGAGAACGACAAGATGGCCTACCTGGAGAAGCTGCGCGAGCACGGGGTGGTCAATATCGAAATGGAGAGCACCATCTTCGCGGCGCTGACCCACCATGCCGGCATCAAGGCGGCGGTGGTCTGTGTGGCCCTTCTGAACCGCTTGAACGGGGATCAGGTCAATGCCCCCAAGGAGGTGATGAACGAGTGGCAGCAGGTGGGTGCACAACAACTATTTCCTAGAACAGAAATCACTTAGTTAACGTTTCTTGTTTTCTTTAGCGCCCCCAGATCCTCGTGTCACGCTATATACGCAAGATCCTCACGCATAATGGCCAGCTAAAATCGCTGTTTGGGCACCAAGGATCCATCAAGTCGCCCCGGCGCTTCAAGCTCGTCCAGCAGGAATCTCAGGCCCACGAGTAATCCGGGTTGCATCGCCAGTTTCATTTAAAGTTACCTTCTTACCGTATATGTATGTGCGCATCTCTCCAGTTTTAACATTCCCTAGTTTAGCTTTGATTAAGTTTCTAGTTTTATTTCCGTGTATATCGCCCTCATATGATAATTTAAACCCCAGCATATTGTACGTATTTTCATTGAGCTGTTCAGCGCCGAAATATGTTAACACAAATCTAATATATATAACTATAATTAATAAAAAATATCACTGTGTGTGACGTTCAAAGGTTATCAGAAATAAACGCTTTTGAGATCACAAAACTGCTTTGAAAGTGAGCCAGAAAAATACGAATAATATAGAAAAATTATATTGTTAATTGTTATGTTGCATATTTTAAATGGGGATAACCAATAAGAAAAGGTTTAACTATAATATCGTTATGCTACATTTCTATTTCATAAATTATTGTCCTATTGTATTGAATTTCCTAAATATTTGTTAAATATACATGTTGATAAGTGTTGCTACCTTACACTTAACTTACAGTTTAAAACAAAACCAACAGCACTAATTCCTTCTCTGTCTAGTTATATTCAAATAAATTCAAAAATATGAAAAAGAACAAAATGCTGAAAAATAACATCAATATGTTTATGTGAAGCACATGGAAAATATACAAGTTATATTGTAAAAACAAAGTTTATAAAAAAATATTTCAACGGCATATTAAAAAACAATTGCAATTTATGTATACACCCTACTTCTTTCGCTGAAATTGCATTCTTCAAGTGCTAAGTAATAAGATAAGGAGAGCCACTGAATGTTGCACCGCGTATAACCGGTCTCTTGATTCCGAACAGTTCTGTTCCAGCACTCGAAGTGATCGCACGCGCCTCTCAATCGTACGTGCTTTGTCTGAGTTTACAGGCCCCCTTAGGTGTGACCTTACACAAATACATATAACCAACACACATATAGGGAAAAGTTAAAGATTGCACATATTAAATCGATGACCACATGGACCACGCCTTTTTAAATCAACAATGTTTTAATCATATTTAATGTGTATGCTTTAGATAACCCGGCTAATCACATTTACTTGTGGAGGGCAATACATATATCAACAAACTAACATATTTCTAAACAGATAAATATAGACAAAGCTTTTGGTAAAATCTAAAAAAAAACACATAAACAATTTTCCTTCAGATTGTCATCCATTTTAAAAAATTATCAACATGTCGAAGAAGTAAGTTCACGCCAACCTTAAAACGAATAAAATACTACAAATATAATCTCTTTGATAGAGTTGCAAAATTGGCCAATCCGCATTTGGATACCATGCCGGCGGATTTTTTGTACCACCTGGACATTAACGTGGCCGATACCCAGGACACTAGTGATATTCAGCGGAAGTTCGGCGACGTCAGGGTGAGTCGTTGAGACCAAATCAGTTTTGTTCTTCGGCTCATCAGGGTTATCTCAGGTTATCTGCATGGGGGGAACTATTAGCCGGATGCGGGACCTAACCCTACACTTGCGAGGGGTTTTGGTACTGCCTGACTCCAGCGATCCTGTGGATTTGTGTGAGCGCGGCCATCGGTACGCCATGTTCAAAGTGGGTCCAGTTTTGTGCGTGAGTCACGGCGTTGGCTCCTCAACATTCAGTGTGGTCCTTCACGAGCTGCTCAAGTTGGTCAGGTACGCCCAGTGCCAGGACCCCGTCTTCGTGAGGATCGGAACTTGCGGAGGAGTCGGAGTGCCACCTGGTACTGTGGTGGTCACTAAGGATGCATTCAATGGTCTGCTGCGCAACGAACATGAGATCGTACGTATAAGGAGTATTTAATTCCATACCTTATAGATACGATGACTCTCAATTTAAATTTTTCAGGCTATTCTTGGGAAGCGAGTGGTGCGACCAGCGAAGTTTTCCGAAGAAGTGATCAAGGAGATTATGGCATATGGTGCCGATCCCAATGACAAATTTCAAATCATAAGTGCCAACACAATGGGAACAGATTGCTTCTACGAGGGTAAGTGGTATCGGTTGCCTCTCATGTGCATGCCCTGCTTAATACGAATTTGTTTGGTCCAGGTCAGGGACGCACCGACGGAGCAATATGCGAGTATACAGAAGAGGACAAGATGGTTTTCCTGCAGAAGTGCCACGATCTGGGAATCCGCAACATTGAAATGGAGGCCAGCATGTTTGCCTCAGTGACCCAAAAAGTGGGGGTCAAGGCGGGCGACGTCTGCGTGACACTAATTAATCGCCTTAAAGGGGATCAGGTGGGTTGGGGACTCAACATGTATTGCAGAAGACAGAAGACTAATACCCATTTTCCAACAGGTTACTATTACCATGGATCAGAAGCACGAATTCGAGCAACGGCCTTTCTTGGTCGTGGGTCGTTACATTAAAAAACTTCTGCAGCAGTAGTTCTGCCATCATTTATTTGCATTTTATACATTTATATTTTTGAATAAACTTTATGAAACAGCGCACGTTTAGTGCGGCATTTATCCAACCTTTAAATCTCCTGGATCAGAAGTTTATTGCTAGCGTTGAGATTGTCCTGTGGCAAACGCAAAGTGTTTTCCTTGGGCGGCGGGGTCAAAGGTGGATTCTGCACAGCGTTGGCCTTAGGAGCTTGAAACTTATTTCCTAAGGCCTCGGCGGCTGACATAAGTTTGCTTTTAACCATGCGATTTGGCTTTATCAACTCGGCTAGATCGTAGTCCTTGGCGACTGGTGCATTTGCAGTCTCGTTGCTCTGCGGTTTTTTGGCCAAAGATCCTGCCTTTTTTACTATCTTTTTTTGGAATCGCTAGTCTTGATTTCCGGCGGATCGAGCTCCTCAATTATCAAACGTGTGGCGTTGGCGGGGGCCACCTCACCCAGCAGTGAGGACAACTCTGTCACTGATTTTTTGGCAAACACGTTATCCGGCTCCAATTCGAGGACTTTCTGGTACACACTTAGGGCCTAAAGATATATATATCATATAATAAATAAATAAATATAAATAAAAGAAAACAAATATTCACCTCAAGCTGTTTTCCTTCGGCACACTTAGCTTCTGCCAGGCGTAGATGAGCTTTTACATTATGCGGATCCAATTGCAGACAGGCTTGGCAGTCCGAAATGGCAGAAAAGTATTTCTTTAATTTTAAATCTGTTAAGAACAGCAATTAAAAATTTCTTTTAACATTAATAATAATTTAAATAATGACTAAAAACTTACGAGATACAGCGCGATTATTGTATGCACGTGCCGCATTTTCGGGATCGTAAAGAATGGCACAGTTGTATTCCTCAATAGCACTTTCGTACTCCTTGGCCTTAAAATTCTCATTACCCCGCAGTCGATGTCTTTAAGAAATACAGTTTTATAGAAGGATAACAATAAGCTGATCATAGCACATACCTTTCTGCAAATTGTTCCCGCTCCAGTTGACTAAGATTTTTCAGTTGTGATTGGAGGCGCTGAAAAAGAGATTCCTTTTCGTTTCTTAACTCTTTTTCGGTAGACGGTTTTTGGTGGACGGAAAGCTTCTGCTCTGCCTGCTCCTTATCACGTTCTTCGTCCAGATCCATGCGGAGTATCTCCTCGTCCGGATCGTACTTATCCCATTTTCTGTAGTCTGTCGACTTGATTCGAGAATCCTGGGTTTTGGTCTTTGGCTGAGATGGTTTAGATTCAGCAGGTTTGGGTTTCTCAGTAGCCTCTTGTTTATCCAGCTCGATTTTGGACAATTTACGCACAGATGGAAGATCCCAATTCTGTTTAACTTTCTTTAGTTCGTTCAATGCGCAGTCCTTGGATTTTATGTCATCGGTCCAATCCTGGCAGAGGCGAAAATCAGCTTACATACACAAATTTAATTACCAGTTTGTAGACCTACCAGAATGGGTTTTAGTTCCTGTTTGTCCAAGACATTGCTCTGCTTTATCTGCTCCTCATAGCGAAACAACTTGCTATCCGGCTTTAACTCCTTCAGCTTTTCCTCTGAGCATCGCATCAAGTCCGGAAAATATCCTTCCTCACCGGAACGAAGGATTTGCACGATTTTCTCCATTTCCCTTGCATTTGTGCACGTTTCCACGTAGGCAAAGTCCAAGTGATGAATTGGTATGTCATACTTTTCCAACAGGGATTTCTTTTTTTCCGCTTCCATCTTTTTTGCTTTGAAACAAATATAAGATGTGCTTCAGACTTTTAAAATTGTTTTTGTATGTACGTAGAAACATACAAATGTATATCGACTAAACAAATACTTGATGTAAGCTGAGGGGCTTGCTTAGTAACCAACAACAACCTAAAAAGTAAACATTTTTCGTTACGGTTCTTAATGTAAAAAGATCGACACGTCATGTTAATTACATATTCCTATTCCTCATTTTATGTATATAATAAAGCTAAAACGCTTCAGTAATAAAAGTAAGAAATATCAGGGAAAGTCCCAACTTCAAAAATATCACAATGATTTCACAACCAGTCTTTTTTATTGTCTTGCTTGCACTTCTTGCTGATTCTGATATCCACACGATTGTAGGATTTTCTACCCCCCTCATGCAATGACCCCCTATTCGATAAAAAGTTTGCTCCGAACAAAAAAACTGTGTTTTAGCAGCCCACATTGTATAGCGGTTCTATGGTGTAATGGTTAGCACTCTGGACTTTGAATCCAGCGATCCGAGTTCAAATCTCGGTAGAACCTGAATTTATTTTTTTTTTTTAATTTAAAATTGTGTGCTTTTTTATTATGAAAGTTGACTTTTAAATAGTATTACACATTTCTATCCTTATCTTTTTTAAATACGTTATAACAAAAATGCTATTTCTTTGTAGTGTTTGAGGCGACAGCATAAGTTTCGTTTTGCGCCTGCCTGACAACGCGGTTCTATGGTGTAATGGTTAGCACTCTGGACTTTGAATCCAGCGATCCGAGTTCAAATCTCGGTAGAACCTAGTTTTTTTTTTTTTTAATTTGAAATAACTGTTGAAATTATAAATTATATTTAAATTTGCTATACCTCAGTGTATGGGACTAGAAATTTAAATTATTAAAACATTTTTTTTAATCATAGTGGTAGGTAACATTCTTTATTTGAAGAAAATATAGGTACTTTAATGTTCAATTATTAGTTTTTACTAACATTATTTTGTTTCTTCTGTAAGACACATATAATATTGTAAATTTGGCGCTTTGCTTCGATTAGCAAATCGTCATTCAAAACGGCTAACTCTTTAGTTACAAATTGACTGAATTCTTCAGCTGATTTTTTTTTATCAAGAGGAATGTTTCCGAGGGGTTTGATTTTATCATCTTGTTCCAATATTTCAATAGACACTTTGCAGTTCCTAGGATCGGGATCAATTAGAGAATAGTCTATACTGGAAACAGAAGAGCCCAGCTGGGCGTTAACCTCGAAATTATTAACAACATTATCGTGGGAGCTCGAGAAATTGTTGATGTGGTCGGGATTTGATTTTGGCTCCATTTCCTTAAACCAGGCCGAGTCATCTTCGGAGCTGCAGCTGCTGGGGTCGGGAAATGGCTCAAACTTTGGCAAATCTAAAGGACTTAAGATCTGGGCTATTTTGGAATAATGAATCCACTCGGATTTGTCTCCCACAGTATCACGTTGAGTTCTACAAGGAATTTATTAATGAATTTTACAAGATTAAGAGGTTAAGAAAATTCTTACCTAAACGAGCGCGTAAGTGATTCAATTTTGGACTTGATATCACCAGGTAATATATTAAGCCCACGCTGCTGGAGCTCATTTTGCATATCCTTATAAACGTCCATTTTTTTCCTATCACTATGTATATGACAGGCAAACTTTTCCCAGACATCCACAAATACATTTTCTTCTGCCGGCTGCCAAACTTTTCGGGACTTTGCTTGAACTCTGCTCGTATTGCTGAACCTTTGCCTTTTCTTCTTAGCTTTAGGTTTTTCCTCGTCGTTGAAGAAGTGCCCTGCGCACTCTTCGAGGTAGACTGTATTAAATGGTCCCTCTGTATAATAAAAATTAATAGTTTTAATTTTTTTTTTAAAGATCTTTATAATTTCCAACCTGATTCGCTTTGGGATTGAGCTCGATCGTCCAAATAAACAGATGTTCGACTTATGTCTGAAATAGAAAAAATCCCTGATTATTTGATGTGTTTGGTGAATACCAGTTGTATCTCACGAGTAGTCTTCGAGGGCTGCGTATAGTCCTTCCATTCCAGATCCTTGACCTCCTTGGATGTTCCCGCCACCACAATTGCCATCGTATCGAAATGTCGCCAAGTTGTCGATGGATCCTCGCGCTCTAACAAGCTAAAAACTTCAAAGTATTTAAACTACTTCTATATCTTGACGTGTTATTACTGACTTGAAGTATTTCCGTTTTAACGTCTCCATTTTCGACTTTATTCCTTGGGCGCTGATTTCAATGCCTACTTCGCGGAAATATGGTTCCATTTCCGTATAAGTTTCCATTAACCTCTTGCCAGGGGTAAAAAGGTGGAGGTTGTGCACCCAGATATCGATGAATCTGTCCTCCTCGGAAGCCAGCCACTTCCGCTTGTTGGACACTACATGGAAATATTTAAAAATTAAGAATAAAATAGATTATCCTGAAAATGCGACTCATTTTTGCCGTTGTCATAGAAAATGTTTTAAAAGGACGATCCAAAAGTCTGGTTTCTAGCCTACCTAGACTCTTTGTCATTATATCGGGCTGATTAAAACGTTTTCTTCTTATGCTTTTTAAATCTATAACTTGTTTACTTTTAAATCGAGCTCAATGTTTGTTTACAATATTTTAGTTGGTGGTATGACCGTATTACAAAATGCCAAAAACCCCTGAAAACGTGGACTAAGGTTACCATTCTTGTTAACACGCCACTCGATCTCAGTGTGACCGTATAAGCCTGCGCGCGATACCAGGGGTAGGTATTCAGCCTCATTAACCGCCAAATTTAAATCTCTGCTGATAAATGCCAGACAATAAAAACAACGAGTTTTGAATAAAATTACGTAAATACATAGTTTATTTAAATGTTTAGTTTAAGCTTTAAAACTTATTTACATGGTTGTGCAGCAGCGATACAAGTATTTCCGTGTGGGGCTTTACAAAATACATAATAGGTACTCGTACATTAATAAATATATTTGTGTGTGTACTATCCTTGCTTTAGCAAACATTTTAAACCATGCATAAGGACACTCAGTTTCAATATCTTTCTAAACTCCAACCCTTTCCTGCTGTTCCTTCCCAGGGCCTTTTAACACCTTGATTGAATCGACTACAAAATATATTTTTGGTTCACTTAGTGCTAAATTGATTCACTTAGGATCTAATGGTGTACGAACATAAAGTACTATAGATTTTACACAAGCAGCATTAGATATTTCGTGGCAGATATTGTTGACTTAAACTGATGCCTGAAGTGATGAATGAGAGTTATTCGAATTCCGAACTAATTTCCGGTTACTTTCTATTTTTAGTAGGAACCTTGCCAAAAAGCTGAAGAAGCGCGACTTACAAATAAATAAATATACAGTTGCAAAAAGTAAATCGGTTACCTATATCATTATGCTGGCTAACTTACATGTTTATATCACTTTTCGCAAATAATTCGGTTCATTAAATTAATTTGAGGCCTTCGCACGAATACAAGTAATGGTAATAGATACAGTAACTAAATCGCGTTTTTGGTTGAAATCAATTTGAGTTTTCCCTTCTGCCAATGTTGATCTAGAAGATGTTGATCTGGAACTCGCTAACGATGCCCTCGAGGAAGTTCTTCAGGCTGTGGTAGGAGTGGCTGCGCCAATAGATGTTGTTGTTCACCTGCTCGATGGCCAAATCGATGGCCGATTCCACGGCCCGGAGGCCCAGTTTCCGGCATGTGGCGGCCAGTTCCAGAAGTTGGTGCTTGTGGTAATCCTTGTTCATGTAGATGGTCAGCGACTTGATCATCTCGGACAGAGTGGAGAAGCCATCGCCATAGCTGGGGTAATTTACAAAAAAAATGATTATCACAGGACATTGGATATATCCATTTAAACAGCACTTACTAGTCTGCTATCTCCTTGATGTTGCCCTGCAAAAAGTCGAAGGCTATCTCGTGGCCAATTGCATTGGAGGCCACTGCACGGAAGGCCAAGGCTCCGTCCTGCTTCAATATGCCTGAAGTGGGGTTGATGGTCATGTTGAGGTACCTGTTGAATAGTCATAAATTAGACTTTGATCTTGAGCTGCTCCCGAAGCACTCACTTTGATAGCAGCCAGGGCTTGGTGGTGCAGCCCAGCGAGGTCAGTATCTCCTCCTTCTCCGAAGCACTCGTGGTCGTCTTGTACTGCCTGTAGGCAAAGTACCATTCCGGCGAGGAGCCCTCGGCCAGAGAAGTGCAGTAAATCACAGACTTGAGGTTTGGCTTGATGCTGTGGATTTAATCGAAATGTGACTTTAAAAAAGTGACTCGCTATGGGGGACAATTGAAAACTCACGGATTCTTCTTGGGATTGCGCATCCACTCGCGGAACTTTATCTGCGCCGACTGAGTGCATCGATCGTAGTTGAATTTGCAGGCAAAGTAGGCCACCAAAGCGCGGTGTTTCAGCTGCAAGTGGGACTCATTGTCCGGCTCGTTCAAGCCGTAGTGTTCGAAGGCGGGACGAACAATGAACTTCATGAAAGCCTAGTTTTCCGAGGAACGGAATTAGTAACTTTAGGAGATGAAAATGATTAATGCCCTACCCTGAAAGTCTCGAAGGCTGGCTCCCTTTTGAGATTGTTAATGAGATAGTTGAGACCTGGCTTGGCAGCGCTCCACAGCAGCTCGTCATCCACAGCATCGAACAGCTCCATGAGGAAGGTCAATCTGCAGAGGAGGAACATTTGATAAACACATTTATGGACTATTTTCCGGCTGCCACTTACGGTATATCGTAGGTGAGGTACTCCGCCTGCGACAAGTGCAGGGCGTCGTCCAACAGCTGGGCCCTCGTGATCCTGGGCAGCGAGCTGAAGTTCTTCTTGAGCGCCAGCCAGGAGGTCATGTCGTAGTTGACCCTGTAGTAGCCCTGCCGGTTGAGATTCAGGTAGATGACGTTCTCCGGGTTGCTGCCCTGCCCAAACACGTTGCTCACGACGAGCTCCTCGTCGTCCTGGCTCCTCATCCAGTGGCTGGGAATGTTGTCGCCCTTGCGCAGCGCGTCCGTCTCGAAGGTAATGGGGATGAACCAGCGGCTGTGGTCCTCGGGATTCCGAGAGGGCAGCAGGTAGCGCTCCTGGCGCAGCACCAGATCGGATCCCCGCCGCTCCACATTGACCACCGGATAGCCGGGCTGCGTGATCCACGAGTCCATGATCTGCTTGACACTCAGGTCCATGGGCAGAGTGCCCTGCTCGTGGCCGTGGTGCGTGAGGATGGCCCACAGGTCGTCCCTGTCCATGTTATCGTAGGCGAACCTCTTCAGCAGATCCCGCGTCGCCGAGCGGAAGGCCTCGTCGCCTACAATCGAGTTGAGCATGCTCAGCAGGATGGTGCCCTTCGAGTAGCTGATCGGGTCGAAGATGCGCCGCACATCGCTGGTGGTCTGCACATCAAAGGATATGGCGTGCGTGGTGTTGTCCGCATCGTGCTCCATCGACTCCTTGAACTCCAGCGTGGTCAGGGTGTCCATGATCTGGAACTCGGGGTGGGCGTGCTCCAAAGCCTTGTAGCTCATGTAGCAGGCGAAGCCCTCTTTCAGCCAGAGGTCGTCCCACCACTTGGGGGTCACCAGGTTGCCGAACCACTGGTGGGCCAGCTCGTGGGCAATGATCTGGGCCACGTACTGCATGTGCTCCGAGGAGGAGGCCAACTCCAGGTCCTCGGGCACCAGGAGCGCCGAATCGCGGAAGGTGATCAGGCCCCAGTTCTCCATGGCGCCGAAACCGAAGTCGGGCACAGATACCAGATCGATCTTGGGCAGCTTGTTCTTCACTCCGAAGTAGTCCTCGTAGTAGGGCAGGAACTTTCGCACCATCTTGTAGGCATAGTGGGTCATGCCCACGAACGTTGGCCTGGTCCAGATCTCAACCCGCGGACTTATTTCTCGATCCAGAGCTGCATACTGCGAGTCCACCATGTTGGACACTATGAAGGCCACCAGGTAGGTGGGCATCTTGGGCGTGGTCACGAAGTCATCCCGCACGTAACCCCGGCGATAGGAACTGCTGTGCGATTTGGGCATGTTCGAGAGGGACATCTTGTACATCGTACTCCGGACTATGCTGATGGAGAAGTTGGCCTTCATGTCGGGACGATCGAAGCAGGGGAAGGCGCGACGGGCATCGATGGGCGAGAACTGGGTGCTGATCATCCACCTAAAGAGTAACCAAGTTGTAAAAGGGATTTCCTATATTACAAAGGGACTACTTACTCTTCCTTCTTGGTGTCTGGATTGGTGTAGCTGGTCTTGTAGACGCCCTGCAGCGTGTCCGTCACCTGGCTGACAAAGTCCAGACTGAGCAGCAGCTTCAGCTGGGACTCCTCGGCCAGAGCCTTCTCCAAGTTGATCACAAAGGTGGTATTGTCGTCGCCGTAATCGCTGTCGAAGTCCAACTCCTGCTCCTCAGTGGCATTGATCGCCTTATCAGGAGTGGCACGGATGACCCGGACATTGGAGATGCTGACATTGTGAACGTCGAGTACGATGGGCTCCCAGCTGGTCACCTCGCTCACATCCCGCTCGATTTCGATGGTCAGGCTGCCGTTGCTAACCGATTTCTCCGCATTTGGTTCAATCAGCAGGCTGCAATGAGGAGGGGGAATTACCGAATTAGACCGGGAAATGCCAAACAAACATCTACCACAGGTGAAATGCAAATGGCTGCCAAAAATGTCAGTGCGGCCAAATCAAAAGTGCCAGTCAATCAATCAGCCGCCAAGAGGGCAAATTAGAAGGGACCAGAGCCAAACATGTGTGTTTGGCATCCCATGCCATCCGCACTGCGATCTGCCTCGAACTTCGGTCGCCGCCATTAGTCCGGGATGGCGGCAAATGAAATGCATGCCATCATACATAAGTCGCATCAGTAATATCAGCAATCAAATCAAAGCAAACAAGAAGCGGTGTGAATGCCTGGTTAAGCAAGTCGAATCATTAATGCTCTATTTGAAAAGCTAATTCCATATGAAGTTAAAATTGATTTTCAGCACAGTGCTGTAATCTTTTTCCCTGAGCATCCCCTACAAATATTTGTGAACAAATACTATAACTTTCTTCTACTAATCAACGAAGCCATGATGACAGAGTATTGCACTCGATTGAATATCAATTCCCTCAGCTCGGTTTCTTACACGAATGCCAAGAATGCCGAGACCCGCTGGCAGATGCAGAAAGTTGCAGACCCATCCTCCAGCCTCCAATTCCCCACTCCTTGCCAATCTGAAGTCCCCTGGGTGCGGACTTTGCGCCTAGTTGCAATTAATTGAGCCGATTGGCTTACAACGCGTGTGCCGGGGGCAACCAGGAAGCGAGCTTCGAGATAGTATCTCCCAGATACGGCTCACCACTGGCCGCCACTGAGCAAAGTGGCTTTGATCGGCAGCTGCACAATCACTTGCCATCGGTAGGCTCGAGTGGCAAAGCGCTGCTGCACTTGCCGCCATCCATCAAGAATCGACTTTAGCCACCGATTCCCCCGGAGTTTTTGAGGCTGCGTGCGGTGCTCAAATTATTGCCCAGCTTGGGCTTTCTGTGTCAATTATAATTAATGCACATCTTCACTGGGCAAAGTATCTTTCTATCTGGCCATCTATTTGGCGCATTATGTCATGCCGACTGTCGGCGTGCGTTAATTCTTTCCTCAGATCTGTGCCGCAACTTCTCCGATGTGTGACCGATGGATGGATGGATAAACAGATGTATGGATGGTTTCTGTGTTTCGGCCATCTCCTGCGGAGGCCCAAACAAGTTGTACTATTAGTATGCCTGCCTTCAAGTAGCTGGCTGGTGTCCACTTTGTAGCACGGCGACTACTGAACTGCAACGGCTCAATCCTTGACCCACTTTGGGCCGTGGAAATAGAAAAATAAACGTGTACTCACGACCCCAGAAAAGTGACGTCAATGGGGTTAGTTTGGGGTGGATGCGAGTGAAGAAGTTTGCCAAGGATAAAGATAAAAACTCGCCGGCTACGAAGCGATATTTATGAGATGGGCTTTGAATAAGTTTGCTCCATAACCCTATATGCATATATTAGCATTTTAACATTGCATGCCATAAAAAACTTATTCGAAATTACTTAAGTACTAGCAGCAAAAACCGGATATGATTCTGATTTATTTAATTTTGACGAGGCTGCTTTTTCAATATATCATCATTATTATCTTGTTGACCGATTAAGCTATCATTCTAAATTTAACATCTTCGACAGACTTTCCTCTTAAATTGGCATAACTCATCGAGATAGAAACGTTTTAGCTGAAACAAATTGATCTAGCTTTCCATCAAATGTCAGCGGGACAAGATCTAGATAGATTCCGGCATTTGCAGCGACAGCAAAAAGAGCCGGAAATTGTGGAAAATCTGAGTGAGCAATTTAGATGTCAGTGGGATTGCATCTGGGCTTGAATTGAAATGCGAGCATGCAAAGCAATTTAAACAGAAGACGGGGTTTCAGCGCGTGTTGTTGGGCTTAATTTTCATTGAGAGTAAATGGTGGACTAAGTGGTAAATTGCTCTACTTGCCTGTAGTGAAGTGGACGCCATCCTTCGTAGAGTTTCAAAGGACGACTTGTGGGCTTGGTAGATTGGTTGGATTTATTGGTGCTGCTTTCCTCGACTTCCACCGGAATGTCACCCACTTGTGGAACCAGCATTTTAGTTTCGGGCTTCGCACTTGACGGGAGCGGTTCGCCCCTCGTGGACGTGGCCAAGGTTGTACCAGTGGGCGTAGGTGTGGGCGTGGCCAGGGGAGCGGGCGGGGGAGAATTCAGGCTCACCCAGCCAGCCGTTTGGATGGGCGTGGCATTCACATCGGGATGATCGGCGGTGATGCAACTAAAACGAAGGATATCGTACAAATCAGTTTTGGGCTTGCTTTATGCAAAGTGCTCGGGTCACACCCAATTCGCATATTTTTTTGACCCTTCCACACCTCGAAATGCGTCGTCTCTTTTGGGAGGCGAAGGAAAAGCTTGTGAGCTGCTTTCACTTTCCGAATGAGGTCATTTCGCCTTCGACTGCCAATTAGCACGCTTGCCAAAACGCTTAGCGAAAATGCAAAACGGAACCGCGAAGCAAAGCAAATACCGGACCAAACTTAAAAAGCAGAACACACCCAGATTGAATTAATATCGGGTTCACCATCACTTACTTAGGAGTCACTTCCTTGGGATTCAATCCTTGTCTGGTCACAAAGTAGGTTATGGCAATGGTGAAGAGAAGGGCCACGACTGCCACAAAGGCTGAGATGATCAAACACGCCTTGGAAACGTAGAATCCCGATGGCGGCCCGTTGAATACGTATTTCTGGCCATTCTTGGTCTTGAGCTGACCCCCTGGAAAAAAAAACAAGAATCATTTTAGAATTAATTTTCTTTTTGCTTAGTAATTAAATGTAATCCCTATTTTCCTCTAAAAAATCGATCATTTTCCCAAGAAAGGAAAAATAATGGGCTGAAGTTGTATCGTCATATCTCATTAAACTCTTAATAAAATTCTTAATCCATAGGCATTCTTACCCAAAAAATTTTGTTATGTCAATTTTTTGCAAAAAAAAAAATGGTGAAAAAATGCAAAATTCTGGAAAATTAGTTTTCAAGTATGAGCCGAAAAGTGACAGGGATTGTTAGGCGTGGTCACCAGTTGGCTAAAACAGTGCTCGTTTCAGCTCTAGGGCACCTTTTGACCACGTTATGCATATTTCAGTTTTAACAAATTGTTTCTAATATTTTATTTTTTGCTAGTCAAATTGTTGGAGTTTTTCACACCCACACTCAGCAATAAAGTTTATGCTTTGTCCAAATAATTGATTGCTTTCACTGCATTTAAAAATTGTTTATAGATCTTTTATTGTTTCGAAATTTCTGGGATGCCGATGCAATATATGCATATTTATGTTCATTCATTCAATGTAAACAAACGATGGCAACATCAAACTGATTTATAGCATAATTTAGCCAAGAGTGGAGTGGCTGTAAGCAAAGTTATCTAGCCATTTAGCGTAGCGTTAAGAACGACATGTGGAAAACCAAGCCCCGGGTTCCCCGTTCTTCCCGCTGCGTTTCTGGCCTAAACTGATCGTTAAACTCGCTCTTTATGGCAAAAAATGAAGTTGAGGAAAAATAATGTTTTTCTAATTTGAAAGGGCAAAACACTCTGTTAAGCAAGCTAAGAAGTACCAAAGTAGTTGGGCTTTGCGCCGGAACATATGAAAACAGTGATGCACAAAAGTATTTATATTAAAAAAATGCATAGAAATATTTACGGCATTGTTTTGATTAGCAAACTAGACTATAGCATTCAAGAATTTTCTGATGAGTAAAATGTAAGGCATGGCATTCAAGTGAAAACTATACTTTTCCTGGTATACTGTTATCTGAAAACCTTGCGCTAAAAAAAGAACTCGATCATCCTGATAAGATATAAACATGACGATAAGCTAAAATTTGTACGTACGCTCACGAAGCAATGCGGAAGTAGATAAAAAGCTTTTCAAGAGCTCTTCAGATGAAAGAGTGGATTCGCACTTTCCGCACTCACTGTTTCCCTGTCATCGAACGGGAGCAGAAATAGAAGCACGTGCTGGGAATTTTCAATTACCCGATTACCATTTCACGCTGGCCTTCACCGAAGGAGGCCTCAAACTTTTTATGATGTGTGCGCATGGCACTTTTATAGGAAAGGCATCGGTATGTCAGTGAACTATCGCTTCTTGTTTTAATTAAATTTCACTAAGAGGCCGACCGTGTTTCGTGGAAAGGTTGCGGTAACTTTCTAACGCACGCTTTTCGATTTTCCACCTTTTCCACCTGTTGCAATGTATCTGCAGTTCATCTGAAAGGCCAACACACATCTGCTCCCGCAACCCCGCCCCAATTCCCTAGATTCCCCCGCTTTGATCTTCGACCACAGTGCGATGGAATTTATGTGGTGCGGCCGAAAATAAAATCAACTGCACCACCTGCAGCTGCGAGCTGATTAGAGGGGCAATGCGGATCTCATGCTCGACTGATAAATCAGTTGTCAAGAACTATAACTCAGAGATAGCAACGCCCTGAAAGCTTTTCACATCTTTCCCTGTTTTTCCATTCCATTTTACAATTATTTATTGTTTGTTTGGCTCTGCTCCAACGAGTGGGAGGTGGAAAAAATCTCGTTTTGATGAACACATGATGAACCTCAATTTCCGCCATGGAGGGTGTTCCTTTGGAGTTGCTTCATTAGCAGCGGGAGACAAACAACTCCATCGCATCGATCCCCACCTCCCAGCTATTCCCACCCCAAACGGCGGTTTAATATTCATAAGTCGAAGTTTAAGTAGCGTCAAGTGACAATAAAACATTCAAATTAAGTTGAGTAAAGTGAAATTGTGTGGGCGCAAGCGTGAGGCGCCATCAAAATTGGGCACGCCCACGGTATTTGGGCCGATTCGACTTTAATGTGGGAATGCCGAACCCGTAAAACTTAACGAAAATGGTTAATGAAAATGCTAATTCGGCTTGATTAAAGATTGGAATCATCTGGAGCGATCAAAATTCGAAATGTTCTTTATATGGCTGGATGCCTATTAACATCAGTGTAAAACCTAAAAAAAACAAAATCTTAAATATGCTTACTTTTCTAAGTCGGTTTTACTCTTTATTTAGTTCTCCCCCTTTTTATATTTTTTTTCTGTTTTTTATTGATTTTCTATTTCAAGTATAAATGAGAAAAATTGTCATATAAATTTTGAAACATACCCAAAAATCTGTCCTTTGATATGTAATCGAAATGGAAACGTTTTCGTATGTTTTTCGTGTCGTCGAATCTAAAACTACGCAACTTGGCAACGAATCCTTGGAGAGGACCTCCACCCGCGTGGGCGGAGGAGCCAGGAGCCGATCCTGCCGACGACGAAGGACCTGGCGGTGATGATAATGAAGCGGAAGCAGATGCGTTTTTGGATGCGTTTGTGGCTGCGGTGGCTGATGTCGGAGTGCCGGCTGCTGATATTGATGTGGTGGTGGGCGCGTAAACTGCAGATGCCATTAATGGTATTTGCAGTTTGGGATTGGAATAGGATATGATGGCTGCATTAGACGAGAGGGAGTAGAAGAAAAAACAGAGAGCGAGCTGAATTTCAAGCCGAATGAATTTGAAAGCAAGGTGAAATGGATGAGATGGTGTTTATTAATCGTACAATATGGTTACTACTAGCGTGTCCAATGTGAGCGAAATAAGGAAAGAAAATGAAAATGGGGTGTAGGAAACTGAAAGCAAAAGTAAATTCGTGGTACATATGTGCGGGTGAAGTCGAATCGTTGGCAATTTAATTGAACGGCATTCGATCAAATTGACGCCGTCGCTGATGAGGGGGAAAATGCCGAAGGGAAAGGGGCTTGGAAAATGAGAATGCGGCTTGGAAAATGAGAATGCGTTCAGTGGCACGTGTCGCTGCAGGGAGCGGGTCCCAGTTTTCATGCCCCCAAGCCGTTGAATTTCCCTATTTGATTTTCGTTCCCTTTGTTATTTACCAGCGATGCGTGAGTGTAAATTACACAGAGGCGATTTGCCGATTGCCGGCGCCAAATGTTTGAAATATCGCTAAAAATACACACCCAAGCAAACGCACATTTACAGCATGTTCTTGCAATCTGCGAGTGTGTGTCAGCACTTCGGTGTTATTCAACTTTGGCAGATCGGCAGCTTCTATAATTAGCCATAAGGAAATTTGAAATGATTTTTACACATTTATAGAACAATAAAGAGAACAATGGCTGGCGAAATTGCTTCCTAATAGTCTATGTTTTGATACCCTCCAAGTGTGTAAATAAACAGAAATCGAACAGAAACATTCAAATAAATTTCCGCATGGAGATTTTAACCACAAGAAAATCTGCATATCTGCAGATAACCATTCTATTCTAATTTTTTTCGAAGCAGTTTTCATTTTAATTTGAAAATATTGACCATATTCAAATGGGTATTGAAATTTTCCTTTGAAATTAATAGAGATTTTGTCGACACCTCTTCATAGATTAATATTCATTGCGGGTTTCCGCATATCCCCACATTAAAGTCAATATTTTTCAAACACATCCCATTTGTATTAAATGTTAGCACTTTCTGGTGTTGAACATCAAAGTCCGGTGCGTTCACGTTCTCGGTCGCCAAATGAATCATCGCCGGATCAGTTGATCAGTCAAACGAAACCATGAGCCCAGCGAACACCTATAGATCCCCAGAACCCCTTACCCTTATTTAGTTTTATTATACTGGTTCTGGTTTGGTTTGGTTTGCTTTTACTCCGTTGGTTAACGAAATCGAAAATGAACTGAACTCATAAAATTTAAACGCGGCAACTGTTTGCTTTTCGCACACACACCAGATCGTTTTACTCGAAATTACTTTGGTTTTGCGGGCTCGAATTACGCGCAGAGGGTACTACTCCATATCTTAATGACTCAATCATGCGTTAAATGCCAAAACATCACAAGCACCTTTTTACACATGTAGACGCTAACAAGAATTCAATAGCAGCAATAACAAAAATTTGATTACTCGACTTTGAACTTGGGGAAGTGATTGAGCTAAATCGAAGAATGTTTAAGTGGCGTTTTCTTTGTTTAAGCGAGTAAAATAAACATATTGGACTGCTTTTTAGAACGCATTATAAATTACAATGTATATATATGTATATGTATGTATTTAAGCTGTTGATAATGGCTTCATGAAACACTAAAATTGGTAAACTTATTCAAAATATTTTAAATCCCAACGGAAAGGACACAGATTTGTCAAAAGATTGGATTTTTAAGAATAAATAAACATCCCGATGGGAATTACTATCTAGAAACTTTGTAATAACATGATTCCTGCGAGAGTTGTGATAAGAAAGCCAAAGGGAAGTAATAGGGGAACTAGTTTAACAAAAATGACATTGCGAAAGACCCAAAAGCGATACATAAATTCTTATCGCGACGCTGACATTTAATTGGAAAGAAATTGTCGCATTTACGTCATCAAGCTGCCGCGACTGCTTTCTTCTTTTGTCACAGGGCCAACATAATGGACCCGGTATCTTATCGGACCCATCGAAATCACAGGCAGCCAAACAAACGTTTCTCTTCACTCGGCCTGTTATTTTCGTTAATTGTGCATGTTGGCAGTGGAAAGGGCAGAGCTCTTTCTCCGCTTCACACTTGCATGGAGTGCGATTCAATTGGTTACGTTCGCCGAGTGTGTCATATTTAATGATAACCCATATTCCCAAAGGGGTACGCGGTATGTGGGTTATGTAAACAACTTCTGGTCATGCTTACAAGTGAATTTCTTTCAACTGGCCCCAGACAAAGATGCCCCAACTGCGATAGCCGCTGTGGAATCCCTTTTCACGCTCTTTTTTTCGAGAGGGTCTCAAACTGGGTTGAGTCACTTTTAATGCCCGCCATCTGCCAGGAATCTGTTGGCAGCTTTTCTGCATTTCCTTGTGCCTTGGTGACCCAGTTCTCGAGCCCCTTCGCAGGAAGTTTCCTGATATTTTCAGCCTTAATTAGCGCCGAAAGAGGAGGATGTCTCCGAAGTCTCCGAACTCAAAACACATGGTTTTCTGCACGAAAATGTTATATAGGTCAGAACAACATGTGCGAGATTGAAATTGACACCCCGAGGCGCATTTTACAAGAAGAAGATATTATGTCACATACAAAGTCGCGTTAGACTTTTAATTGGCAGCCACTTAAGTTGTTGAAAAAACATTGTACGCCGGGGTTTTTCGCGTTTCTATACTTTCCGCTTCGTTTTATACGCTTTTTATCGTTTTGCAGAGGCAGCCGAAATGTCTGGCCTTAACAATAACAAATGTTAACCCGCCTCGCATTGTCAATTGCTGAATGTTTACACATTCGAGGGAGAGCGAGCAAACTGATCCAATCGGACGCGAGTTTAGTGAACTCGGGCCAGAACGTGTCGAGGAACTCCAATGGAGCTGCTTTTATTTTTCCCCATTTCTCCGTTTTGCATGCCTCTAATGAACCATTCAGCCGATGATTAAAGGGAGTGCTGGCCCCGGGAATACTACATATATTCTGCGGAAACGTCAGCATAACTCATGGAACTCCAATTGCTAATGTTGCATGCGCGGAGGTAATAAACCATTCATTTCTTGTCGCATCCACAAAAAAACAAAAGAGGAACAAATCTCATCTACGAAAACCCACAGCCGCAATGTTTATTCGATGTATATCTTTGTAGGCATTAGCTTTCTGACGCCTCGACAAAACTGTTTACTTCTGGACGAGCTTGACCTAATGCATTCCCTTTGATTGAAGCCGCTGCTCGAATTCGTTGAATTGCGAAGAGTTTTCGGGGGAAAAGCAAACAAATAAAAGTGAAACATGACATTAGCATAACCCGACTGAAAGCCCGGTTAGGGATTTTTTTAATATTCAATATTTTTCGGTTGCAAAAGGGAAAACAAAGAGCGAACTGCTAATGAAGTTGTTCACAAAATGCAGTTAATTATGCGTCGCCTGGAAGTCAAGTTCCAGATGTGATTTTTCCCCCTTTGGGTCACGTTTCCGGTGCAGAGCAGAAAGAAACCGAAAACCAGTCGCACTGTTTGCAGTTACCCAACGGTAGCCAGAAGAATTACCTCCCGACATAATTATAATTGTGTATCGTCTACATGGGCGGAGATTTAAGGGGTGCATCAAGGGAGGGATTCATCTTGATGAGAAAAGCTGTCCAACACATTGTATCAACATGCGAGCTGACAGAGCACCGAGATATCCGACAGAACTTGCCACCTTTGTGGCACAAAGCACCAGAAACTGAAGATCTCCGCAGTTTGGGGGGACACATAAAGTGTGTAGAGGATGGAATGGGAATGACAACATTTGGAATCCAAATATCTGGCTGGCGACAAACAAGCCTTGAGATTTAAATGTTTTTCTTCGGCTCTGGCGGAGTGTTGGCTGTTGTTTGTGATTTATCATAAACTGCCGTTGACACCCTTACCGAAAGTGGGCGTGGCAGCAGAGCATTCGCCATGCCTCTTCATGCCCCACGAGTCGTGCAACTCGAAATGCAATTCGCTTCACTCCGCCAATTACCATAAGATTACCATTATGGCCAAGCAAAGCGAGCTATTTTTCATGCCCAGATCAAGTGGTTGTTGAAAATAAAGGAAAGAGTGAGTTACAGATAAGTTTCGCGGCGAAAAAAGAACTGAACAAAATCTTTAAACACGTAAAAAAGTTTTAAGCATGTTCGACAAAAGGTATCTTTACAGGTAAAATCATTGGAGGTGATCTGAATTCCAATCACATACGCTATCCAAAGTTTGCCCATCAGGTTGTAAACTTTACACCAAGTCCATTATGCTAGGCACAACCTTCCCCAGCTTAAAAATGACAAATTAAAGCACTCAGAAACGACACCAAAATTCGACACTTTGCCGTGCAGTTTTTCGAGTGCGGCTAATTTGTAAATTAAATTAGCGCTCATTCCCATTTGACGGTAGCGAATGACGCCACCGGGCAACAAAGCAGCCGTCAGTATTTCAGACAGTCATAAACCTCGCACAACCCAATTTTAATTAGCCGGGCAAACCATCAGATACCAAACCGAAAAAGCCGTTCATGCAGCTTGTGGGTGAAGCTTTTTCAGAAACATTTTGCATGTCGAACAAGGCCCACGAAATGCCATAAAAACTGGACGATATAAAACCGCCGAAACGAAATTTTACCTGAGAAGAATACTTGAGATTGGATAAACTTCAAAGCTGCCAAAATGTTGTATGAAAACAATTCTCTATCCAAACTGCCAGAGGCCCAGTCTTAAACTTTATTGGGGGATCTTCAAACAAGCCCCCTTGAAGGCACTTCACTGCTCGAATTATACATTTTTAAAAGGCTTAAACAATTCTCCGTTTTAATTATCGACGACACGTAAACCAAGCACATGTAGAAAAACCAATTTGTTTCCTTTACAATTCTTTATAACTAATAGGAAGAAACGTTGCGTTTTTTATGTAGTTTTGATTGTTATATGACATGCAACCATTCTGATGAATTTCAGATTTGAGGAC